CCGTCGACTCGGGGCTCTCTCTTTCTCTGCTGAGCAGCAGCAGCAGCAGCCGCACCTATATAGTCTAGTATGTGCAATGCATAGAGCTGCTACTGCTACACTGTACTATACTCTCTCACTCGCAGCAAAGTCTTCTCTCTCTCTCTCTCTCTCTCCTCCTTCTTCTTCTTCCTACTTCGCCCTCTTCCTTCGCGAATTTCCTACTTGCGGAATGTCTGCTCGAGTTTTACGCGCGCGGCGCTAGAGCTAGAGACTTTGTGTGCTGCTGCTGCTAGCTGCTAGCTGCAAAAGCGCGCAACTTTTCACCCGGCGTATAACGCGAAGTTGCAAGCCCGAGTGAGAGCAGCCCCGAAGAGAAAGAGAGAGAAGAAAACTCTACCTATCGATTACACACTCACTCTTGTCGTCGTCGTCGTCGTCGTCGGGAGTATACGCGCGCCACCGAGAAAGACTACAAGTGCTCGCTCTGCATTTTTTCCTCTCACTCTCTCTCTCTTTCTTTAGAGCTACAAAGCAGAAGCGGCAGCAATCCGGAGATACCCGAGCGCTGATAACCAGACACCGTTCTTGGGTGCGCGCGAGCTCGCGATAGCTAGCTATACGCGCGCTCGCGGACTCGCACCAACATCAATGTAATAAATTGATGAGCTTGAAGCCCGCCACCTTATCGCGTACCTACTTAAATCGGAACTATTGTCTCTGTATCTCTGCTCGTATGGAAATAAGTTCACTTATAGCCCTGCACCCAACCACTCGCGGTATTCCTCCCAAAAAAATTCGTCCGCGTCGTTCCGATCGACCGACCTTTCTTACTTATACTCTTCTCGTCTTTTTGCCGATATCGCCAGCTAGCTCGTCGCTCGTCGCGCGAGCTGCGATTGCGTCCGTCAGCTAGCCGCAGTCCTTTCCCGATGAGTCTCGATACACACGCGTACACCAGCTATTTATCGAGCACACTGTGCTACTCATGGCGTGACCGCGCGCGTGTGTCTCGTATATATATCTGCTGTACGTACGTATTATACCTCCTTCCCTCCTTTCAGCAGCAGCCTCGGGATCGACTTTGATAAACTTTTTCTATATACTTACTTAGCTACTCGCCGCAGCAGCAGCAGCAGCAGCAGTATAGAGTAGAGTCTAAGTGCGCGGAGCCATTGTCCGACCTTGTTCGCGCGACGCCGACGACGACGATCTGCCGATCGCAAAATCCAATTCAATCTCCGAGCGAGCCTTACGTCTATCTATATACACTTCCGATCCGTTTCGCTTATAATCTCGAGCTTCGTGGACTTTTGTTTCCCGACGACATTTATACACTATATTCTATATTGCGTTGCACGAAAAGGCCAAAGAGTAGAGAAAGAAAAATAGTAGAAATGTATAACCGAGTCCTCGATCGCGTTAGCGCCGATCGGATCAGGAGACGAGCGAGGGTGCGTGCGTGGTCGAGGCAAAAAAGTAATAGGGCAAAAGAAAGAAGAGGTCAAAGGAGCGCGACATCGAGGCCAATGCCTCGTACCGCTGCTTGGGAGGGTCATTGCAGAACGAAAAGGGGTGCTCGATCGACCGTATGTATAGCCGCGCGATGATAATGTTAATGAGCTATGTACACCACGGAGGAGACGCAAAAGAATTTTCGGCTCGCGCCCATTTATGTCATTTTGTAAACACATCGCGCGTCGATTACGAACGTTATTTTGGAGAATCGATCGCAGATCGTGTCGCGCATAATCGCGTGTATTTTTTATTTACATCGTGTTTATGAATTTCAAGTAGCTGCGCGCGCGCGCGATTTATTTTTCAATAATTCACTTTCATTTTTTTGTACTTTTTAATTCGTTCGCGCATACAATGTATCGGTATACATGCGTATTCGAGAAATATATAAAGACGAGAGCCGCTCGAGCGCGCGCGTGATTATAATCGAGCCGCTCGCGATGCGCCGCGCGATCTGCCACTCGCCGTTGTTGTGCTGCTGCTGCTGCTGCGGGGTTATCCGCATCGCGTTATAGCCACGATCGACGCGCTACAATCTAATCTTATCGACGTTTATATAAAGTACGAGAGTCGAATTAAACTGTCGTCGATCGGCTTGTACATACATATTTTATATATATTTTTTTTTTTTTACATCGACTGTATGTACTTAAACGCACCGTCGCATTTACGCGATCGAAAGACTCGAAAACGAGGAGAATCGATAAGAAAGATCAAGAAGAGAGAAGAAGAAATTGCGCTAATTATCGGGAGAGACTTGGCGCAGAAGAAAGCAGCGGCTCGAGTTGCGAGTTCCGATCGACGCGTCGCGCGAGCCGAGCCGATCGATGCACTTTCGAGGCATTTCCCGATGAGCTTGCACTATGTAATTACATATTTGCAAGTCTACGCATACAATGTACGGATAGCGGCGCGTAAAAAGTGCGCGCGGTATCGTCCTTCGGATCAAGTGCGAATGTACATTTCGCCTTTCTTAAATTGCTCCTTAATTTTCGATTCGCGCGAGAGCCATATAGTGTACACGAGCAGACAGCACAAACTTTCCATTGATTCAAAAACCGCAGAGGATCGAGCTAGATTTTTAAGCAATCTCACAAAGTACGTCGATCGCGTGTATGCATACTAATTTTTTTTGTTTCCTTCTTACAAATTTTCATCCCGTATATATATACACGCCCCGTTTTCTTTTTTGCTTCTTCTTTCGGTATTACATATACGTAAGCGCGACGAAGATCGCCTGCGCTGCAATCCCAATTGGCTCAATAACGCTTGTATATAATACATAGTATTTGCGAATTATTGAGTGCGACGACGACGTTGACAACGAAGCGATGTTCGTTGCAGCGGTGCCCCTCGTCTCTCGCGACGCAGTTGCACCCGTTATTAACGAGTTGATATTCTATTTATTTATCGCTGCAGCTTATACACTGTGCTGCAGCAGTGGCATCAGCAGCGAAGATCAGAGATTCCCTGACTCGTTTCGTCGTCGTCGGCGCGCTTTTGCATAAACTGCAGAGCCAAACTGCGTGTAGCATAAAAGTCTCCAAAGTCCGATGCCGCACGCGATAAATCTCTGCACCTCGTGCGTAAAATTCCATCTCTCGCTCTCGGTCAGCCGCCCGTGTGTGTGTGTGTGTGTGTGTGTGTGTGTGTGTGTGTGTGTGTTGGTAAGAGATCGCTCTGCTGCTGCTGCTCGTCGTAAATAATAGCCAATAATTGCGTGCGACACTTTTTTTGCTGCTGCTGCTACCCACACGTGAGCACGCACGACCGCACAACTCTTAAATACGAGTGCAAAGTGATAAAAAAATAAAGATGGAAATAAAAATAAAAGAAAAATAAATAAAAATGCTGCTGATGATGATGATGATGGAATTGTGTGTTATGAAACAACGTCTATACACATTGCAATTGCGTGCGTACATACACTTAACACGTTATCGTGTGGCTTTGTTGCTGCTGCTGCTGCTGCTGCTGCCTGCGCCTCTCTCATTAATTCATGTATTTAATATCGTATTTTAAAGAGCTCTCTCGCGAACGAGCGAGTAATAATCGCGCCTCGCCGCCACCGCCGCTGCTCCAAGGTCGAAAAAACGTTTATGTGTGTAGCAATATACGCGCAGCTCGAAAGAGATACATAAATTCGAGCGTTTGTGTGTGTGTGTGTGTGTGTGTATACTCCTATGGTCATTGACGCGCGCCGCGAGGCTCTCGATAGACATTTCATTAGACGCCGATCGTGTATATATATATAGCTGCGAGGACATCGTGCGCGACGATGAGGAAACTTTTTCGAGTTTGTAAAACTCCGGCTTTTTCGAAAGCTGCTGCTGCTGCTACACGATGATCTCGTTTTTGGGACACACTCATTATACATTCGCGCGCGTTGAATGTTTTGTTGTGTGTGTGTGTCCCCGCGATATTATAACGCAGAGATTCTCGGAATGATCGATGCAGCTACGCGACGAACTCGCAAGCTGCGCATACACGCGAGCGACGACGACGATGATTCTCTGAGCGCTCGAGCTATACATCGAACACAACTGCGACTGCTGCCTGCGCCAAGCCGCGCGATCTGCATGAGAAATGAAGTGGCATTAGCCTTGATTCGACTTTGTGGCAGCAGCAGCAGCAGCGGCAACGGCAACGGCGGCGGCGCGCGTGTAAAATCTCTGTGTAATACGTCGCCGTGTCCAAGATAGCGTGCCGAAGCAGCAGCAGCAGCAGCAGCAGCTATAGCAACTCGCACATTGTGTTGCATAATTCACCGAGCTGCTGAGTACAGTAGTATAAGTAGTAGGGAAAACCCGCCGCGCTCTCGTACCAAAAGAGTCCGATGATCGTCGCTGCGCGCGGAAGGCCTATACACATGTGCGCTGTATATATTCCGCACGATGTGCAGGCTATAATACGACGATTGAAAATCATTTATTCACGACGAGCAGCAGTAAGGCAGTATATTGCCGATATGTCGCGTAATTGCAGCTCGTACGACAACACAAAGTCCGCAAGTTGCTGTCCCCCCGCGCGAGTACTTTTCCCTTCAAAGTCGAGTGCGTTGTTGTATGGACAGCTCCCACGCATACTTACACAAAAGCACGTATACGCACGCGTCCACGCGCGCCGCGAGCTTAATTGGCAATCTTATCGCGGTTTTTTCGTCCAGGCGAGGATGTGGTCTATTATATTATGCAGCGCATATATAGCTCTCTCTCTCTCTCACATGACCGAATATTGTACGTATCTCGGCTTATTATATACGTACACTTTTGGCTAGCTATCAAACGCCGTGACCCCTGGCCCGATAAGGAGTCAAAGATAAGGCTGCTGCCGAGAGAGAGAGAGAAGATGTGCCTGCCTTACTTTTATAATAAGTCGATACGAATCGCCCAATGACTCGGCCGTAATTTCTTCCTTCCTATATCTCTCGCTCTCTTTCTTTCTTTCATCGTGACGAAATAATAATATATTTATAAACGCGCTTATGAATTGCGTGATTGCAGAACTCGATCCGGCACAATCTCTCGCTGCACAATCGCTTCATGAGGGTGCAGAACGAGGGCACGGGCAAGAGCTCCTGGTGGATGATCAATCCGGACGCGAAGCCGGGCAAGTCGGCGCGCCGACGAGCCACCTCCATGGAGACGAGCAAGTTCGAGAAGCGACGCGGCCGCGCCAAGAAGAAGGTCGAGGCCATACGCAACGGCAGCGTGGGCTCGAGCAATCTGCAGGCAGCGGCGGCCAGGGCCGCGGCGTCGGCGGCCGCCGCGGCATCCTCGATCGCGGGAGGAGCGGCGGGAGGCAGCGGCGGCATCAACGTGAGCAGCGGCGCCGACGAGGATCCGAGTCCGCACAGCAGCGCCAGCGAGGGATTGGACGTGTTTCCCGACAGTCCGTTACAGACCACTTTTCAACTGTCGCCAGATTTCCGGTGAGTCCGCGTTGATTACTGGTAAAAAAAAGGATATTTTAATGCAGATTCTGTGTAAAATCTGATGTTAAATTTGAAGGGTTTGAGACTGGGTTTCTGGTTCAAAAATGCATGAAGATTTAACTGAATACAATATTTTATTTTTTAATAAAAAAAAAGGAATAAAAAAGATTCAATTATCTATTTAAATTTAAAAATTGTGATTGAGACCGCTCAAATAATTCATTGAAATTCAATCATAATTGAAACCAACATTCACCACTAGACGGCGAGAACCTTTATTTGTAAATCTGCAAATGGTAAAGTCAAAATAATTGTATGAGTCGAAGCAACGTTTACATAAATTCAATCGTTCGGATTTAAAAAGATTCATAATCGTACTTTTTCATAGGTCCGAAAGAATAACAATTAATGAGATATGCGTAAAATCAAAATAATTTTACATAAAATCCCATTGATCTTTGCGGAGGAAAAAGCTTCGTCTACTTTCACACCAATATTGATGGAAATATTTTTAAAAGTGTATTCCATTACACAGTATAAAATTTAATGCTAATTTAATGTAAAATCACACATTAAAATTAAAGTAACAGATACCGAATTTTATTGAATGTGTTTTTATTGCTGTAATTTATTATTTTTTTTCGCGAAAGATGCAAGAAAATGCAACGCAAAAAAGGATTCATGCAATTCCATGCTCGAATTTAAACACATCCATTGAAAATTAATATTTTAATACTGTTTGAGTTTTTGCGTTGATTGTACAAACGATTTAAAAACACAAATTAACTATAATTAAATTCAGTCTCTACCACTAGATGGCGAATATACCTTTATATCTGTAAATCCGCAAGTGTCAAAGTCAAAATAATTTCATAAGTAAAGCGCGATTAGGAATAAATATAACCTTCTATATTCTTGAAATGTTTGATACTAAAGATTCCATCTTTTCATCTGGGTACTTTTTTGCAGGCCGCGCGCTTCGAGCAACGCCTCGTCGTGCAGCCGACTGAGTCCCATTCCGGCGGTGATCAGCGAGACCGACTGGCAGCCGAATTACACGTCGTCCTACAGTCCGGCCGAGGCGCTTGCCGGCAATCTGGCCGAGTCGATGAACATCGCCTCGGGCGCCTACCAGATGTACCAGACCTCGCCGCCTTCCACGAGCTCGGCTCAGCAGCAATCGACGCAACAGCAGCAGCAGCAGCAAACGCAGCAGCAGCAGCAACAGTCACAAACTCAAACTGCGCAGACGAGTCAGCAACAACAGCAACAGCAGCAACAGACGCAGCAGCAGCAGCAGCAGCAACAGAGCCAGCAACAGTCGAACGGCCAGACCGGACCGCCGCCGTCGTACTTCGAGGCGCAGTTCCAGAGGAACAACGGCGCGAGTCTGTGCAACAGTCCGACGGCTTATCACCTACCGCCCACGCCCCAGTCGACCAGTCAGCAGCCCAGGTGTCCGATACATCATCTGCAGCCTTGCAGCTGTCAAATGGTAGATAATTCTCTCTCTTCTTGATGATTTTTCGTATATATTTATGTTGCATGATTATAAATTTTTTGTACATCGCAGCAATCGAACATGAACCTCGTTTCCTCGTACCAGCAAAACGACGCCGTCTCGACTCCAGTCAGTCAAGCCCAAACTGCGGCGATTCAGCAATACTTGATGCAGCGACAGCAGCAACAAGTCGAGCAGCAGCAGCAAGTACAGTCGCCGAGTCAACAACAGTCACAGCAGCAGCAGCAGCAGCAACAAGCGCAAACGAATCAGGCGCAGCAGCAGCAGATCACGCCACCGGACTCGCCGATACCGAGCACGATGATGGGCCAGCTGATGGGCGCACTGAACAACTCTAGCATCCTGGACGACCTGAACATCAACATCGAGAATCTGCAGGGCTTCGACTGCGACATCGACGAGGTCATCAATCACGAGCTCCAGCTCACGGGCAAGCTGGATTTCGGCCCCGTGGGCCTCGGTCCGTTCCTGGGCAACGGCCCCGCGACCGGCAACGGCATCCCGGAGACCGGCGAGGCGAGCTTGGAACAATTGGCCGCCGAAGCCCTGCAGCATCATCATCTGACGACGGCGGATCTGCTCCAGCAGAACGGCATGATCGTGACCACGCAAGCTCAGCAGCAACAGAACCTCGTTCAGCAGCAGCAGCAGCAGCAGCAGCAACAGATGCAGGTGGGTAGCAACGCGGCAGCCGCGGCGGCCGTGTACGCCTCGAGCCAGGCGGCGACCCCTGCGACGGCCAGCGCCGCGGCCGCCTCGCCCTCCTGGGTTCACTAGCACTGGGTGCCCCTGCCCTCGACGCCACCGCAGCTGTCGAGCGAGCAGCCCAGGACTTACCAGGACTTGGCTAGAATCAGGCTCTCCGGTAAGTCCACTTCACAAGCAGCGGAGCATTTTGCGAGCCAACGCGCGCAGCGGGAAGGTCGATGGTGGTGGTCGAAAAGCAGCGCATAGCCTTTGCCTCGAGCGCGCGCGAAAAAAATCGATCCTCCCTCGCTCCATTCCCGGGGAGAGTTGCTTGCCGCGCGCGTATCCATACACGTTTATTAAAAAAGATAGAAGATTGTACGTGCACATACGGGGATTGAAAGCGCGCACTTTTTCTACAAACATCGCAGCGTGGTGGGCTACTACCAACGCTGCTCTACGCGCGCGCGCTTCAGAAAGAAGTAATCGAAAAACACGCTGTAATGTTGAGAGAGGGAGAGAGAACTGCACGCACGCAGAGCCTCGGGTGCTAATAGCCCGAGTCCCGCGCGCGCTTTTTTTCCTCCCTGCGTAGCAGCAGTGCTCCTCTCTCTCTCTCTCTCTCTCTGCGCAAGTTCAAATATTTTTCTCAATTTTTTGTTTATATCTTTCCATTCGCGTTAAATACCTACAGCAGCAGCGTGCGAGTGGTATTTCGATGTTGCGGTTCTTCGAGCTCTCCCGAGCGTTGTGTGTCGCGTTTGACGGGAGGAAAACAGCCGCGCTCTGTGTGAGGCACACGATAATGGTAAACATGAAATTTTGTACCGTGCACTACTGCAAGGGGGGTAGGGGGGCCGGCGCAAGGAATGCAATTGATCTTAGTCGTGCTGCCAGAGTAAGAGAGAGATAGAGAGAGAGAGAAAAGTCACGCGAGGGGAGTTAATAAAAAAAATAAAGGAGACTCGAGCGCACAGAAAAAGAAAGAAGTCTTAGGAACCGAGAGGTAGAGAGGACTCAATTATGGTTTTCTTCCGCGCGCGGCTTCCGAAATTGTTATACGTACACGGAGAGAGAATGAGAGTAAACGAACGAACGCGGGCTTCTCGCAGAACGCGGCGCGCTGGAAGTGATTCGCGGGGTGGATATAGAGGTAGGTAATATCGATCGACCATGTACTTTTGCTCTGGCTCTCTTTTGTGCCCTCTTCATCGCGCGCAATTTCCAACGGCAATTTAGTATAGTGGAAGCATGAGTAGCAAAAGCAGCAGCAGCAGCAGTAGCAACAGAGCGATCTTGACTGCGGTTATAGTATAGGCAGAGAGAGAGAGAGAGAGAGAGAGAGAGACGACGACGACCTTGCTGAATATGCATGAATACGCAGCTTAGTCGCGTCCCGCAAGCCAAGCGCGAGCCAAGACCGAGAGAGAGAGAGATAGAGAGAAATTACACGGATCGCGGCAATATTATATATTATGTATCTCTTTGAATACGCGTGCGTGCGCGACGCAGCGCACAAGTAGGCCGCGAGACGTCCACGGTCACTCCCGCGAGCTGCTTTAAACGCGCGCTTCTTACAATGATCTCTTTTTTATATCCAATATAGTATAGTGTAAATTTATAATAATCATGGCGATGATTAATAATAATAATAATAATAACAATGTACGATAGGCTCACCTCGCCGCTGCGTAGTACATTATAAGATGGCGTCATGCAGTCGGTCGAGCGAGCGGCCAAGCCGCGCCGCAGCAACCGGTCGACCTCGTCTGGTAACCCTCGTGCGATGCAGGAGACGCCGCCGCCGCCGCCGCCGTTGCCTCCGCGTGCGCTTATCGTCGTCGCGGCGCGCGTATAATAAAGAGCCGGTTTTCCCCACCTTTCGAGGAAACAAGACATTATTACGTTTCTTACGCATACACGCGCCGCAAGTACGAGCGAGCGCGTCCTTTAACACGACAGTTTCGTGCCCCGCGCGCATTTATAAGGAATTATGTAAATGGCGCGTTTCCCGTTCGAGAACAGTAGAGAGGAGGTGGAGGAGTAAGAGGGAGTGCGTAGTGTGTATATAAGACGCTAACGCCTTGATTGGTGACAAACGTTATTCTAATAGATTCAAAATGCTCCAGGGCTCTCTCTCAGGCTCTCTTGTCTCGTCGCCAAAGCGGAGCAGCTCTCGGGCGTTATTATGCTAATATGATTCGGTCCTGCAGCTTCGTCCACGCGCGCGCGTTTCTTCGTCGTTGCGTACTTTGTGCGTTTCCGCGTTTATATAATAATATATATAGAGGAGAGCGATTATCGAAAGCCTCCTTCGTGCAGTCAGCTGCGCCGCGACTACTAGCGGAGCAACACAAGGGAGGAAGGAAATGAGCTAAAGAGCGAGAGAGAGAGAGAGAGAGAAGCGAAACGCGCGTGTATCGCCAAGTATCTCTGCCAAGTAGCGCGCTAGTCCAGCAGCAGCAGCAGCAGCACTTGTTGCTGCTGGCACGCGCGTTATTATATTGCCAACTGCTGCTACGCGGAGTCGCGCGAGCGAGGAATCGCAAAACGAGCATCGGGAACAGACTATCCGAATAATCTCGGATAGAGAGCTGCGAGCTTTTTTGCAAGCTCGCGCTCGCAGATAGAGAGAGAGAGAGAGCAACAAGCTCCTCTCTGCGCCCGTTGCCAAACGTATTACAGAGATCGAAGAGGCGGCGCACGCCCCTAGAGAGAAAGAGAGAGAGAGAGAGAGAGAGAAACGAAGCTACTGCTGCCGAACATCGCTGATAATTAGCATTGGCTCGACGAGCTCGATGAGCCATGGAGCTTTCGCGCGATTAGCTCAGCGAGCTTGCAGCAGCTGAAAACTGCCTGCAGTGAGCCGCTCGGCTCGAGATAAGGAAACTGGCTCGGCAAGAGAGAGAGAGAGAGAGATCGGTGGCTCATCGGACAAATCGCATTATGTGCTGCCTGCCCGGCTGCGACTTGGCTCGAGCCGCGCTACTCATTCTTCTTTCCGTCCAGCTAGCTAGCTACTCCTACAACTGCTGCTGCCGCTGCTGGCTCCTTCTTCTTTTCTGCCGGACGATTGTTTGATGATTTAATTTATACGAACAAACGAGCTGCCGCTACTGCTTCCTTATTCGCTCGCTAATCTCATTCTGGGCGAGCTGGCTAACTAGCCCCTTCTCGAAAGAGAGAGAGTACAGTATAGAGCTTTTCTCTGGGCTCACTGCGATCGGTCCGTCGGTCGTCGTCGTCTCTCTCTCCGGGGCGACTTTTCCGAAAACGTCCGCGTCGTAATATTTCACTTAAGCCCGAAAGAAGGAGAGCAACAGCAGCAGCAGCAGTAAGAAGAAGAAGAAGAAGTAAAAGAAGTATAGAAGAAGATGAGGAGAGGGTGGGAGAGAGAGAGGGCAGTAAGTCATTCACGGGTAGTTAGAGCTTGCAAGCTCGCAAGCTCGGCCTCGACGACGACGAGTGAGCGAGCGAAGGGAAGAAATCCAGGGCAAATTATTTATGCACAGAGAGAGAGAGAGAGAGAGCTTTCGTGCATCGTCGTCGTCCTGTGTGTCCGCGCGCCGTCGCGAGCTTTATACATACTTATACATAGATAGATAGATATAGAGAGGATCGACGACATTGCGCCGCGCGTTCCCCGTTTCTCGACCGAGTCTCGGTGTCATCGGTTCGAGAGCTCTGCTCTGCGGAGCAAGTAAGACGACGACGACGACGACGACGACGACGCGATGACGCAGTCTTATATTATATACATACATATTGACGGCGGTGGTGGTGGTGGTGCGCGGCGCGTTCATATGTGCGATAGCACTTGAAATATCTCGTCGCCGGAGCCGAGAGAGGAAAGCGAGAAACTTTGGCCCACCAGAGGCTCTGAGAATGTTGGTGGTAGTGGTAGTTTTAGCGTGTGCGTGGTATAGTAGTCGCCACCCACGGCAGCAGCAGCGTAAGCTCCGAAACGCGAAAGATGCTGACGCAAGCCACCGCCATAAAGATGGCTCGCTACGACGAGAGTAAGACAGAGAGAGAGAGAGAGAGAGAGAAAATCTACGAGGCAAGAAGGGAAGGGGCGCAGAGAAAAGCAGCAGCAGAACTTTTCTTCTTCTTCTTCTTCTACTTCTTCTACTTCGTTCCATCGCTGCTATGCCGCACACTGGAAGCAGCAGCAGCCGTCGTTTTTGGTGATGACCGACTGGTACCTCGAGGTGGCGGACTAGACTCTTTCTCTCTCTCTCTCTCTATCTCTATCTCGCGAGCGCAGAGCACATAGCGCCTTAAGCTGCTGCATCGAGCTCCGCTAGCTCTGATCGCTCGAACTCTCGCCTATATCTTAGCCTCCACTGCTGCTGCTGCTGTCTCTCGCTTTCTCTCTCCCTCTCGGCGTCCTCCTGGCGCCGAGACGGCGCGTCGCCGACGAGCACAGCAACGCCGCTCTCTTTTGCACAGAGAGAGAGAGAGAGGCGCATATAGCTGCTCTGCCTCTCTTCTCTCTCTCTCTCTACTATGCGACGTCGTTGTCGTCGTCGTCGTCGACCGTCGACCGTCGTCATGTGTATAAATACATGTATATCCATACAGCGTGGTGAACAGATAATGTGCACGTGGATAGAAAGAGAGAGAGAGAGAGAGAGAACGACGAGTCTGCTGCTGCTGCTGCTGCTACTGCTACTAGTGCAGCCGTTTCTATGCGAAAAATCGCTCGGCGTTTTAGCGATGAATTTTCTTTTTTTTTAATTTTTCCCAAAAGCTCGCCACGCACCCGCGCGCGTAAATAAGCCGTGCAGTAGTAGTACGTACTGCGAACGCGTTGATCGTAATTTTTCCTGCTCTCGGACAGGCTTCGAATCGGGGGTGGAGTGAGAGAGAAAAAATCAGCGGCCGCGCGCTAAACCGAACCCGTTTCGGGGGTAACGAGCGACAAATAGCCAGTAGTAGTAGTCGTCCTTTTTTTCTATATCCGCGCGCTGCACCGCGACCTATGTGCAGTACCAGAGAGCGAGAGAGAGAGAGAGAGATCACCAATCATGCGGCATCGTGGATACATACATTTATGCAACACTCGCGCGCTCGCTTTTTTTTTGTAGGCGAGACGCGCGCGCGGAAAAAGCCCTACTGTATAGTACGCCGCGAGAGAGAGAGAGAGAGTCGAAAACGTCGTCGCGGCTGAAAGTCATATACGTAGTCGCATTTCTCTCTCTCTCTCTCTCTAATGGATTTGCCACACTCTCTGGGGTTCGCAACTTGCGCAAAGCTCCGTTGTATTTAATATCGCGTCGCACGTCGGGCTACGTTACTATACCAACGCCTCGTGCGCTTTTTTTTCGTTTTTTTCTTTTTTTTTTTTTTTTTTGCTACTATAAATACTTCTAAAACCAATCGATAACGAACATAACTCTAAATTTCGTCGTATTTTTTTCTACGGACATTTTTGCAGATGAACAGCCGATGGTGCGGGGGCCACAATTTGTGATAAGAAATCGAACGAGCCGCGACAACAGATTGAGCCGCCAGCGCTACACGTACAACTACAGCAGGAATCTACGCTGATGACGACGACGTAGACGTAGACGACGATATCACGCGCCAAAAAAGAAGAAGAAGAAGGAATAGCAAGCAGCATCGTCACGCACACGGGGAGCAGCGGACACATTCATTTGTGCAGAGAGAAGGGCAGCATCACGATCAGCTGTGGCGCGAGACGAGAAGCCTACTTTCGGGCGCTTCGCTCGCCTCGCAAGCTCTGCTGCTGCGGCTGCTGCTCTCTTCCCCCATGTACACATGCGAGTACGAACGTGTATCATACGTAAGCTCGAGCCAAATTATAATACATATTATGTGAGTGGAGTAGCGCGTCGTGTATCCGTACGATGTCGCACCGCTGCTGACTTGGCTATCGTCTCGTACTCCAACCCGATGATACGCCGAATACGATTTCATTTGGACGACGATGCCCTACATCATCGCACAGATGATGGGCCGCTGCTGCTCCGCGAGGAGGGTGCGTGCGTGTCTGTGTTGCGTTCGTAGCTTTTTCGTGTGTGTATGTGTGTGTAGTATAGGCGCGCTTTTTTTCTGTTCGTCGACTCTGTTCACACTACGTAGGAATTATTTAATGCTATTTAGGTCGTATACTCTGAATATATGTTACGTTATGTTATTATAGACATATTATAGATTACCTGAATTATGTTGAATCGTGCAAACTACTATTATTATATTTTATGTTTATTGATTATTGCCTAATTTTTTAGATATCGTCTACCTATTACCTATAGTGTATCTTATACATTATATTATTGCCTTTTTTTCATTGTTGTTGATGAAATCGTTATCGCATAGCAATATTTACATTTAGACATGTAAGCATTGATTTACATTATTAAGTTTACAATCATGCTCCTTATTAATTGAGATTCTATATATATTATGGTTTAAGATAATCATTAATACCATGTTACTATATATTGTAAAAGCAGTTACGTTTCGTCGTGCACTCGAGAAACGAGATGAGTTATCTTTCGTTCGAACGCGCGTTGTTTGCCGTTGTACAATCGACACAACCGGTCATGCCATTGAACAATTTTTGATTTGCGTACATCTACGTTTTTGTAAGATTTTTTTTATTGTACACGTCGCAGACGTATATAAAGACGATGCAATTATCGCCATCACAGAAGGTGGAATGATTTTTTTTGGGTGAAAATCATTACTGCGGGCATTTTTTGTTCTATCCTTTTCTCTCTTTTTTTAACTTGCATATAATACGAAAAATAGCTAACGAGCAGAGCGACAGACGCATATGCGTCGGTAGTAGGCCGAAAATCTATAATCTTATAGTCATCTCGCTCAGCCAAGGTCAATACCTATACGATGCGTGTGCGAGCGTGCGCGCTTCGGTGCGTATGTGTGTGTGCGTGTGCGTGTGTGTGAGTTTGTTGGTACATGTGTGCGTGAACAAATCAATAAAGTTTACCATTGTGTCAGAAAAGAGAGGCCGTGCGCTGAATATACTCGAAAAAATCGTTTGCGCGCCTCTACACGTGTGTGAGTGTGTGTAAAAAAGACGTGTGTACTTTGTCAAAAGTACTTTTACCTACGTGAACGATGCTACTCTGCGGAATCAATCGTTGAAATTGCGAGATGCTAATGAAATATAGATATGCATTATATTACGCTACATCGAAGTCCTATGTGCGAAAGAAACACACACACACACAACTTTTTAATCGACAATAATCTCTGCGAAAAAAATCATATGAATTTTTGTAAATTCTTAAATTTACTCGAGAATAGTTACACTATGAAAGTAAATTAAAATAAGTATATTGCTGTATTAATGGATGTTTTAACGAATTAAAAAGAGGCGCGAATGCATTCAGAATTGAGATGCTTTGCATCAGGGCAGACCCGCGGGCGAGTACTTGTTAAAATTGTGTTTGCGTAATGTAATCGAAAATTGATACTTATACATGGATTCGAGCTTGCAAAAGAAAGTAAAAAAAACGTAGTGAACGCGGAAATTTTTCGAGATTCTTATTGCGCACAAAATGTAAATATGTTTAAATCAAAAAATGCTCGAAGATTGATGCCGTAAAATAGCGTACGTACTTGTATGACTGGATCAAATGATGGATGCGATGCAACGCATTCTTCAATATCAACTATTACGCGCGCACATACACGTAAATGTTTTATTAACTAATTTATGCTATAAGGGTTGTTATACGATGACAATAAAAGGTTTCATGGCGAAAGCACGGAGTAGTCAAATTTTGCGCTTGCTTTGGTATAACCGGAAATCCGAATCATTACGATATCCGTTTAGGACACGCACACGCGCATAGCATAAAATGAAATAGGAAAATGCATACGATATACATACATACTTATACATACAAATAATTGTGATCGCGGGAAACGCAGAGGAAAAAAGAGGGGCGTTCGCTATAAACGATGATTACCCGTCATCGTCAATGATAATTCAATAATCAAGGCAAGTTAAATCTGGCTATTACCCGGTGAGGCAACGTTAAGCACTTATTTATAGGGAAAAATGTTCCCTGCAATCGGTAGACAATCATCATTTTACCCTAGAAAATAAATTATACGTATCACACAGACATATATACAGACACACGTACACATACACGTGTACACACTCATATTTAAACTTAGCATTTATTATAAGCTTATACACAACGTAGTGAATTAAAACGAGCCATACATAATATTTATCGATTAGGCCCTGAAGAAAAGATATAAACGAGACGGACACACAAGACAACATTTACACACATACACACACACGTATATATTTATTATTATTGAAATGAGTGCGTACACAACGAAGACTACCCCAAAAAAGCCAAAAAAAAGCTCTCGTGCGCACACGTCTGCGATAAGTAGAAAGTATAATCTTAATGTAGCATCAAAAAAATGTAACAAAATTATATAAGACTTTGTCAATTCTCAATGATTGTGACTGAATTTCAAATTACATCAATGGTAGTAGACGTCTCTATTATTAAAAAAAAAAAAAAAGCTGCGAGCGCCTTTTCACTATCTTAATATATTCATAGCAATCAATTAAAAAACGACGTACGAGCTTTCACGTAGATTTTAGAGAGCCTCTGCCAGTGTATGTAATAATAAATATATCGACGGTGCGCGACGAAGGAAAGTAAAAGACGTTTGTGGCGATCTCGACAAGGGGCTGCGTATTATATAGACACGAGCCACGGCGTGCAAAATCAATGTATATAATGTATGTGTATGTGTGGGTACGGAGTAGCACAGCCCCTCTCGTCGCGTTGAAGACTCGAAAGAGACTTTTGTAAGTTTTCCGTCGCAAGCGCGCGCAATATTTGACTTGTGCGCGAGCACTTACATCATTTATTAATAACACACACATGATGTCTGTAGCAAAGCTTAAACGGCTGTGAATGAAAACGATTTCAACGAAGGCCCTAAACAAAAAAAAAAAAAAAAAAATTAAAATAGATAAAATGAAACGAAGCAAAATTGTGGAATCAATTGTAGTAGAGACATGCATGCCCATCATAGATAATTTTTTGCACACAATAGTGTCGTGGGTGTGCGTGTGTGCGGGCGCCTCGTTGATGTTTTATTATACCCGTATATAAGACAACGAACTCTCTGTCTCGCTTCGTATATATTATTCTTATATATTAAACATGTTCTGCGTGTAAAAGCGATCAGAGACGATCCAAAGCGCAATTAGAGTGTGACCTTTGGCCTGCTGCGTGCGAGTAGTTGAAGTAGTAGTAGTATCATCCGAATTTCGGCGACGATCGGTCTGTTGTTGTTACCGTTGCTGCCGTCGTCGTCGTCGTCGTCAACGTCGTGGGTAATTGTTACACGTTGATGATGCATGAATTAGGTGAATGTGTTCGCGTGTATGGGTGTGTTTGAGTTTGCGTGTGCGTACAAACACCATTGGCTTGACCTGATGCCAAATAAAAAAAAATCGCGTCCGAGCTGCAATGTACATTTATTATTATATGAGATGCCGCGCGCGATTAATTTGTATATCATTTAATATGTACCGTGTTATTCATCTTTAATCGTTTAACCGATCCAATCATTTTTGGCAAATGTGTTCATGCGTATGTACGTGGAGAAGAGTCGTGCGAAAAAAAACTCAAACCTCTGTATGTGGCGTTAGAGGAAAAAAAAAGAGAACTCTGGCTGGGTACCATTGCCCGAACTCTCATTGTGCGACTCATCTCTACGTATGTATTTTATTTCATACGTAATTATATTTTAATTTATTTGTATCGTCATATTATAAATATAACGTCAAAATGATTTTATTTAAGTTTACAATTATTGTGTACATTTGATGAATTTTTGTTGTTGTTTCTACGGGATATAACTACTCTGTATGCGTGTATGCGTGGGAAAATTGCCGCGTCGAAAGTTGTGAGCACGAGAAAAAGTTAATTATAAATATAAATATTAATACACAACGATGCACGAGAGTAAAGTGTATATGTCACGTAACCGTTGAAGCTCTAACAATTATTGTTCCGCGCAGCGACTACGAGGGGTCGAGAGTTGATATTAAACCCCATGGTTGTAAGCTGTGTGTGCAAATGCCGAGAACCCGTGCGAGCGATTGACTCTGACTGACTAACTGTGCGCGGCTTGAGTATCGGAAAACGAGAGAGAGAGAGAGAGAGAGAGAGAGAAAGAGAGAGTTGAGAAAGTGAATTTGTACATTTGTAGAGATATTACAATTAACATATTATTATTATGGTTATACACGTATCGGCATCGCATTCACGTTCGCTTATATGTCGATAATGATGACGATGATATAAGTAACGCGATCGACCGTACATGAGTGTGTAATTTATAAATAAAAAAAAATTATACATATATGAGAATATGAAAATATCTACACATAAAAACATATAAATATATAAATATATATATATTAAATAAACGGGTTGTATAGAAAAAATATACACAAGCTGATTTGTCATTTGCAAAAATAATCCTGCTTATCCTCGAGACGCGTTCCTTCGATCCATACAGCGAGAGAGAACCCCGACGGAAAAAAATTCCTTCAAGAAAAAGTAAAAGTAGCAACTAAAACCATCATATTGAATTGTAAAATGTAATAAAATGGAAAAAAATGTAAAATTACTAGCGATTTCGCATGGCCAATGCATTAAAAAAGGCAGCAGAAAATCACATTTTTCACACTTTTTTACATTTTCTTCAATATGCTATCCGCGCGCGATCGCATCGGCCGCAGCAAGTGATTTTCGTGAAAAAAATGTATTAATTTTCATGAATAAATAAGACAAATTATGATGGATATATATATCTGTGGTGGAAAGGGAGAACCGACCAACTCCATTTTTCATGTTTTCGAGAAAAACGTGTTTAAAGTTGCGTATGAATTCGTAGCTAGACGCAGGTGGCTAGAAGTCTGTAAGTATGGTATTTTAACATACTATGAGGTATCTTTTGGGCCATGTATCTATGAAATCGAAAGGTGCACTAGAGCGTGAGCACGAAGCAAAAAGTATGGACTTGGTCGGTTTGTCCGGGAAACGTTTGTGCGACCAAGTCCACTGGTCGCGGAAACTGATGACTTTAAAATGAATATTTCTCCATAGTTTTGTATTGATTACGTGTTATTCATCTTCTGACTTGAAAAAATAACTCCTAATCAATACGATTGTGTCGAGTGGAGAATCGAGACGCCGCACATCACTAGGCCGCGACGCGCCTCGGAGTGAGCCAATTGTCGCACTGCGATAGGCCGGTATAGCATCCAATGACGCGAAAATTATACTTACACGTCGTCCGAATATTATTTTCTATTATTTTAAACAAAAGTATATTCCATTACACGTTGTGGGTCTCGTTCGAGGTGGACTTGGTCGGTTTGACCGGTCACCGTTTCTCATGAAATGGACTTAATCGGTTTGGCATTGTTCTGTACCAAGCGATTGACGCGATTTTCGGCCATTCAGACACTTGCACATCAAAGTTGACACTAAATGTACATGTTTAACGTCATAAACTCGATTTCGAAAAAAATGGAGTTGGTCGGTTCTCCCTTTCCACCACAGAATATACAAAACCAAATTCAGTCATCTCAGTACTCCCCAGTACATCTATGATGATGTTATAAGGCTTTCTGCTGCATTAGAGTGAATTCAATTTTTTCACGAAAATCACTTGCTGCTGTCCCAAATTGTATCATTTAAAATTATTATTACCGAATTTTATGTTTTTTTACACTTTTTTAGTTTTTCCATGTAACTTTAATAAGCCTCATTCATAGGTTTTTCATCTCTCTAATTATAGGTAAACAAATGTAATAAACTGTAATAAAAAGTAAATAAGAGTAGAAAAAAGTATCACATGTCCGAAGTCGTTAGTAATCTTACATTTTTTTACTTTTTATTACAGTTTACAACATTATTATGCACTTTATTAAAAAAAAAAAAAAATGTTCGCTGGGGAGTATTTAAACGTTTATTTTTTAAGCGTTCCATCGATCATTCGTCAGCCGAGGGCGGCGCAGTATAGTTATATAGTGCACAGACCACCTGTCGCGTCGCGCAATTCGTCCGTGCCCCGCGAGTGATTCGTCTATATATTATATATGCGAGAGCTTGCAAGAGAGCTTTTCATCGTATACAACGGGAACGTACGCACGAGCCACACGATGCAATCGATACAAGATTAAAAGAAGAGGCCCCTCTGGCTTGCCAGCGTCCGATATCTGTTTAAATATCTATATACTACGACTACCAAGCGCATGTGCTGCTGCTGCTGCACTGCTCTCTCTCTCTCTCTCGCTTAAAATGTAAATTTTTCCGTAAAGTAACTTTGCCCCAACAGCTGCTGCTGCTGCTGCTGCATTGGCCATAGAGAGTCAAGACGAGAGCGACTCGCTCTCGCCCTCTCCCGAGCGCGCGCGCGTCTCGGGACTTTCTTTTAATTCAATTAGCCGAGAAAGAGCCCCCCGAATCTTTTCCGCTCGACTATTCAGTCGAGTCGTGTACATCTATATATATATAAGCTATATATGTGCCGCTGTGCTGCGAGCTTCGACAATGAGGCACGCGACTGACTCTCCTCGTCCTTTTCCTATACCTTCCCTCGTCCCTCCCTCGCTCGCTCGCATGCATAATGCGGAGCCGCAGTAGCAGAGCTGCTGCTGCTGCTGCGTGTGAAATTTTTTCTAAATTAAATTCAACGGCCAGCTGACTACCGTTCTGATTCCGAGGGAGAAGAAACGGGAACTTGCGAGGATCCTTTTTTCCTTCGCTGCGCGTGTCTACGACCGACGATCCTCGCTTTACGGACGATGGATTTTTGCCGCTCGACTATCTTTTTTTTTTTTTTTTCGGGTCAAAAAGTGCGTATCCTGCGCACCGTAAGCTCGAGCTGTTGCTCGATCCCGCAGCCCTTCCGGCCACGAATGCTAGCGCACGGTGAACTTTATTGTTTACTTCGAGTACATACTCGCGTTTCAATATTCATAGTCATGTAACTTCCGCAGCTAGATTCGAATTCTCGTGACACATATTTTCATAGATATCCAGTCGAGCGCAGGCCGTGAGAAATCCAATAACAATGTTTATACGGATGCGCAACAAATCTACGCAACTAAATATGCAAGGACACGTAACGTAGTAATCCACGCGTGTTTTTCGCCGTCAACTAGAATCTAATGCAATACATTTTTCGAAAAAAATTAAAAAAATAAAAAAAAGGAACGAAGCCCCACGCACGAAGCAGTTTGTACCAATGTGCAGACACAAAAATCGGTTTATGCAGCATTCGAGTATAAAATCTTGGATATATCTCACGTATAGGCAATCTCGCGGAACGTTAGTGCCATCACAAGTAGATATCGGTAAGTTCGAAGGTAATGGATCGACGGTCGGCATAATACGGAACTCGAGCTTGCGGCTAGAGGTCGCAGAAAATCCGTGCGACGAGTCGGGAAAGAAGTTTTCCTCGCGGGGGTCGGTCGGCGATGCAGATCTCTACACAGCGCAGACACGAGCTTGCAAGCAGTTCCCGCTAGTCGCAAGCTCGGCTCTTGTATAGATTCAGCCGCGTTCGGTCGAGATTGTTCGAGGGGTAAACTATAGGCAATGCGATCGTCGTCGTCGTCGTCGTCGTCGCCCGGCGCGCGCCTCTTTCGATGTGCCGCAACGGGCAGGAAAAGACCGCTCGAACAAGCGTCAAAGGAAACAAAAGCGAGCAAAAGTAAAAGAGAAAGAACGAGAGTGGAGGGTGGCAAAAGGCCTAAGCGGGTAAACTCTCGGTCACTTGTTGCCTACTCAGCTGCTGCTTCGCTCGAATGCCCTAGGCCCTGTGCAGCCAAAGAAAGGTACGTAAGATCAAAAAGCGGTTGCATCGCACGCGGAACTCCGCTCGCGCTGCGACTCGATTTCGGGGGGCGCTGCTTCACAGTGCGCAGCGATAAGTGCAACGTACATATATATAGGATAGGTGCGTGAGAGAGCGCGAATGCGTGTATACACACATGGAGGGTGGTAAGCGCAATTCCTGAAAGAGAGGAGTAGCGGGGGGGGTGGGGGCGGTGGTGGTGGTGGTGCATAGAGCGACAGATCACAGTGTGTATCTCGCCGCCGCCGTTGCGCTGGCGCACACAGAGTAGTACCTACAGCAGCAGCAGCAGCAGCAGCAGCAGGACGATACGACGACTCGAGTGCAGCACAGACCAGCACGGAGTGTGTGTGCGAGAGGAGGAACAGCGAGCTGAACTGGCCGCGAGCAGACAGGCAGGCAGACGCAGCAGGATCAGTCGGTCGCCGCTCGCTCGACGAAGCCCGTGTGCAGCAGCAGCAGCAGAGAGCTTGCAAAAAGCTTGCGCGTGATTATTAAACTGGCGGTGCGTCGAGGAGGGCTGCGTGATGGATCGGTCGAGTAGTAGTAGTAGTAGTAGTAGTAGCAGCAGTAGTAGCGCCTGAAGACGGTGCAGCAGGATATAATTTTGTCTAAGGGCCGGGGGCTGGGCTGGTCATGACTGCTCGACGACAACGAGCAGCAGCAGCAGCAGCAGCAGCAGATTGTAGCAGCGGGCCAAGTCAGGTGAGTGTATACGAGCGTTTTATTAAACGCGCCCGAATTGCGTTCAGCGGCTGCTGCGTCGGCGGCGCGGGGGATATGGACTCGCTCGAAACACGAGTCCTCTACATTTACTCCGCTCTCAGCAAACTAATTTCATACGTATCATCTGGCTTTGCAGGATCAGTAGCTCTGCGTTGGCACTCAGCTAAGAGAGTAGAAAGAAGAAGAAGAAGCAGTTAGTCCAGTTAGAGGAGGAAGAGGATCGATCGTCGACGTTCAACATCGCAAGCTCTCTCTCTCTCTCTCATTCCGGACCGCGACTCGCGCTAACGAGCTGCTGCACACGGATCAGGAGGAGGAGGAGGAGTGGATATCAGTGGCATAAGCCGAGCTTGCGGGGCTTTTTTCGTTGTTGTTAAGTGCCACGAAGACGACGACGACGACGACGACGACGACGATTACGACGACGACTAGACGATGGGCCGAGGCGACAAGAAGACGGGCTCGCAGCGCGAAGGTGAGCATCGCTTGTAACACAAAACTTAATACACAGTACACACACGCGCGCACACACACACACACACACACACACTTCTGTAGGTAGCGAGAGATACTACTCGGACAAAATTCGAAGCGAAAGCTTATACGGGGGTGGGGGTGAAGAAGGAGCGAGCGCGCAGGAGGGCTGTATAGCACCTACCTACCTACCTACCTACATATATATAAGTGTTACATACAAGCAGCAGTGTGACACAGTGTCTGGCTGCCCGCGACGGGGTGACTCGAGACTCGGCTCTCGAGCTTTTCTCGACACGTACGGGGTGGAAAGGCACGTCGCTGCTACACCTGTTGTGTGCTGGGGTCCTTTGATCGGCGCCTGCCTGCCACTTGCGCTGCTGCCGCTGGCAACGCCTCTCTCTCTCTCTCTCTCTCTCTCTCTCTCTCTCTCTCGATCGATCTTCGCATTTCTATACTGGCTGCGTGCGTGCGCTATTACGGGCTGCTGCTCCTGCACTTTGCAAGCTCTCCATAAACGAGAGCTTTTTAATGTAATTGCGGTGTATATGGGTGATTGTTTTTTTTTTATTCGTTCGAACGATCTCTACGATATAACGCGTGCTTTGATCATTTTCCTATATGTACTATATACATGGAAAGCACTGCACACACACCGGCTGTGTACATATATAAGCGAATAGAGTGGGTGAAAGACGAAACGACGAGAGAGGAATATAAAAAAGCCGAAAGCTCCCCTGTACTTGATGCACATATATGTAGGACGAAGAAAGTATTCGCAAGCACACGGCATTATTATTATCATCATCATCAGGTGTATATAAAAGAGGATCGCCTGTTGCTTTTTGGCACGAGAGCAGCTAGCTCTCCGTCCTACTACTACCACCATCTATCTATCTATACAATCTCTCTCTGGCAGGCTTCGTAAAGCATTATATATAATACGTATATATACGTAGGGGCGGCTCGCGTGCTCGCGACTCGGCGGCCACAGCTGATCGCGACTGGTGCATTATACGAAATCACACGCAGCAGCGGCACACGAGCGAGAGCCGCGCTTGGCACGCGCGCGCGTTATGTCACACACACACACACACGAGCACATACTCGAGGTAAAGTATAGTAGTACAGAATGTATATTATGCCGCGCGGATAAGAGCGAGAAAGAGATACGAAGAGAATGCTGGCAAAAAGCGCCGTGCCAGATGCAACAAGCTGATTATATAGGTAGTGTGTACACCCACACCCAGCTGCGCGTCGCAAGAGCACAGAAGAGAGAACACACAATGACACTCTCTCGCGAGATCCGCTGCTACTTCTCTCGCGCGTTGATATTCTCGCCGCTGCTGCATTTGTTCTCCGCATGCACACATATTATTCTTCTTCTTCTCTCTCTCTCTCTCTCTCTCTCTCCTATATTCTATTATAATACCTGAGAGTGCGCGAGAGAAGCTATTCTAATTTTCTTCACGCGTCTCTGCGCGCCTTTATATATTATTGTACGTACACGCGAGTAGGTATATATGTACATAGTCAAATAGACAAACGCGCGCGCGCGCGAAACTCGGCCACTCTCGAGAGGTACGTACGCATACATTGCATTATGTATCTATACGTACGTAGCATACGTGCACGATTATTCTTTGTGCAGCAGCTCTTCGTGTGCGATCCTACGTATATATCCTCTTTATTTACCGTTACGCTACTCTCGCGCTGCAGCAGCAGCAGCAGCGGGCCAATTATTATTATATCTCGGCGTAGGCGCAGGAGTGGCCAAATATAATGCGCTAATGTATATATTACGCGCGCCACGCCGACCATGTATAGCTGGTGTAAAGCCTCCCCCGGCACGATCGTAATTGCCAATTCAGTGTATATAGCGAGTCGAGAGAGAGAAAATAGACGCGATCGGCTTTTAATAAAATAAATCATTTATTGACTGAGAAAATAATTTACATTTGTATAAATCAAAGTACATACGTGTAATATTGTCTGTTGTTGTTATTATTATTATTGTTGTTTCTCTCTGCTTATTGTCGGGGATTATTTGTCACTGATTTATTCACATAATATTGGCCGATTAATCGACCATCGCTCGTATGCGTTGTATACATGCTACAGAGAGAAAGAGATATTTATCGATAGATAATTTTGAATGTAAGTCGCGCCTGCCAGCTCACATTCACACTTATTATATATTATTATTATTACATTACAATATTATTTCCTTAATGCACAGAATCTGTTAAGTAATGAATGCGTTATAAAATAATCGGAGCAAGCTATTATATATAATTGTATTATCGAGGCAAATTCGCTCTTCTCGTCGTCGTTAAATATTGTAATATTCGGTAAATAGCGCATCATAAGTATAACGTCATCGTTGGGCAGTGGCAGTGGTTCTGGCCGCGGCGCTTCCCCGATAAAACTGGCCGACCTCGTGATTGGCGGCGCCGACGATCGGCGGCGCGCAGCGTCCCTCGTCCCAGTTGCCGTCCGGACAGTTGATGGCCTCGAAGCAGCGCACGAGCTTCTCCTGGTCGCGCTGCACGCGGCAGCAGACGACGACGGCCCAGACGCAGGCCGAGGGTGATCTGGCCGCGGGCGGTGCTCGGGGGGTCGGAGGCGCCGGGAAATTCGAGGCCACGGGGCCGGGACGGTCGGGCCTCAGACCGCGCTGAAACAGACGGGAGCAAAACAAACGTTCGGACATCACAAACGCACACAGACATTAAAGGCATTAGAGATGAAAGAGCTTGCGATAATATACGCGATCGATTTCGCTGTGTATCGTGAGTTTGTATGTGCGAATGTGTGCGCGACGATGACGCGAAGGCGATCTCTAAACGAGACTCTCGAGTTGTCGGAAATATCGTCTCCTCTCGTGCGGCGCCACAGCCCGAAGGTCCTAGAGTTCGCGCGAGATAGATAGAATTTCTCCTCCAAACTCGAGAGACTCTCTTCGCTGTACACCTTACATATAGCAGCAGCAGCAACCAGCGTAACGAGTTGATGCAGAGTCTCAAAAGCAATATGTAGAGCACGAGGAAAATTTAGAGAGAGAGAGAGCGAGAGAGCCTCGAGACAGTCGTAATTAGTCTTTGCTCGCTGCTGCCGGGCGACTATCGATCGAAATTCGCGCTACATCGCACGCGACGATGCTGCTGCTGGTGCTTGCTGCTGCTGCATCTCTCTTTCTCTCTCTCTCTCTCTCTCTGACTCACCATAAAATCGATCGCGTTATCGTTGCGCCGAAGCGCGTTCGGGGCGCGATTCTCGCTCGTCGTCGCGTTCCTGCTGCTCGCCTGCACCGGCGTCGTTGTTGTTGCTGGAGGCCTGCTCGTCGTATGGTTAGCGTTAAGCTGTCGTCCTGACTCTGGCTGCTGCTGCTGCTGCTGCTTGACAGGATTCGTGCCCGGGGCGACTGCCTCGTTCCGACGATGCTCCTCGTACCTGCGTGTGGGGTAGCAAGTATATAGTAGTAGATGGATCGTTACACGCAACATGATCACGACCTCGACGCGCGCGCGCGCACCTCTGCAGGCGATAATCACACAGCGCAGCGCAGCACACACACACACAGCGCAGCAAACAGCGTGTGCCATATCCCTTAATGTGTATAATATACTGTCTGTGTGTGTGTGTGTGTGTGGGTGTGTGTCGTGTCATGTATGTTACACGCGTTTTCGAGCTATAGTCGATCCTCGATTATTTCGAAATCGATGCTGAACCAACCTGACGTTGCTCGTGCTGCCGGCCTGGTCGTCGTCGCCGTCGACGTCGGAATGATTGGGCCGGGCTGCTGCTGCTGCTGCTGGATGACTGCCGTAACGAGAAGACGGTGCTCCTGCGGACTGCGGTCGCTGCGGACGCGTTGGCTCCTGCTGCTCTCGACCGCTATCTCTGCCGGAGCTATCGCAACGATTCGATTCGCAAAATGTAATATCGATTTTGTTTCAATTTATTTATCGCGGACGCATCTGTGGCGAGAATATCGACTGTCCGTTGTTACACGTGACATTTAACTACGATACTAGTATAAGTCTATATTATAGGTATTATTGCGATCGAAACGCGTCGGGAATGAACTCGGCGATAATTACAACGGTTATATCGCAATTATTATATATATACGATACGTATTTTTGCGCGAGCCGCGCAATTTTACGACCGTAGCTAGACACGCTACTACCACACGTGCAGCTCGAGGCCATTTAATACGCGAGAGTCAAGTTCAATTATAAATCTGCGACGTATAAAAAGTAATCGCGCGCGGCGAGCGAGACTTACTGCGACGACGAGGACGACTCGGCAGGATCGCCGCCGGCTCGATGGTAGCTGGCCTGATAGACTCGATTCCAGACCTCCGGCTGGAGCGTCTCCTGTCCGTCGTCGTTGGGCCTGCCGTTGCTCGAGCTACCCTTGCTGGCCGCCGGCTGGATCCTCGTGGCATCCTCGGCCCTCCTCATCTCCTCGTATCTCCTCCAATCCGGCTCCGACTGCTCGTCCCCGTATCTGCCCGCTGGCGGTGGCGTCACTACTCCCTTGTTCTGCTCGGCCCTGTATCTGGCCTCCTCCTGGGCCCTCCTCGACTCCTCGTAAGGCGCCGGGGCCGGTCCCTTGTTCCGCTGGGCCAGGTATCTGGCCTCCTCGGCGCGACGCAGCTCGGCGTACGGATCCACCACGGGTCCCTTGTTCTGCTCGGCCCTCCATCTGGCCTCGGCGGCGCGCACCTGCTCCTCGTACCGATTGTCCGGCTCGGGTCCCTTGCTCTGCTCCGGTCGGTATCTCGACTCCTGGGTGCGTCTGTACTGCTCGTACGGGTCCCGATCGTTGCTCGGACCCTTGGTCTCACCTCTCGATTGATGCGGCGGTGGACAGGGCCGACCGTCGGGCCCGCGATTGGCGTAGCGAGCGTCGCCGTAGGGTGGATAGGGCCCGCTGGCGCACGGATCGACCACGGCGCCCTTGATCGAGCTCGCGGGAGGTGGTCGGCGCTGGGCTTGTCCTTTGACACCGCTATGGTCGCTGCTGGTTTGATTGCAGCCCGTCTTCTCTCGCAGATGGTCCTGCTGCAGTCGCCGCCTGTACTCGTCCTCGCGCTGTCGGGCCTGACGCTCGAACTCCTGCCTCGCGGGCCCCTGCAGTTGGGCCAACTGCATCTCCAGGCGCTCGTGGTACTCGGCGATCTGGCGCTCGTCCTCGGGCGTCAGCTGCTGCTGCTCTCCACTACCGCCTTCGTGATGACGACTTCGTTCGGGCTCGTTGTAGTTGTAGGCCGGATAGCCTCGCTGCTCGTGAGACTCGTAGGGATCTCGCTGACCAGCAGGCCAAGGCTGTCGACTCGCCGGGGGCCTACTGTGAGCCATCAGCTGACCCCTGCCCGGGGCGTTGATCGGCGTGTTGCGCTCGATGTAGTCCTGCAGCTTGCGCTCGTTCTCCGCCTCGTCGTCGGTCAGGGAGCCCGGCGGTGCTCGCTGGACGTTGCTGGGTGCCGACTGCGAGACCGGCGGGCCCAGTGGTCGCACCGTCAGCGCCTCGTACTCCTTCTCGCGCTCGCGCACCAGTCGGTCGTGCTCCTCTTTTTGTCGCTGCCACTCGCGCAGTCGCTCCTCGTAAGTCGGTCGCCGAGTCGTGGGCCTTTAACGTATAATAACATTAGAATTGAATCGGGGGCTCGTGCGAGGGTCAATTGGTATTCATCTGGTAGAAATGCTCGATATTTTACGACATCTCATTTTATCTATAGTCACGCACTATTGAATAGAAACTGGTGATCAAATTTTACTTCAACCTTGTGTTACGGTTATACAATTATGTTTGCTTTGCCACTTGTGGATTTATAGGTACACGAGTACTCGCCATCTGGCGGTAGAGGCTTAAAGAAACGATTTAATTGTCATATTTTCAAGTCGAGTAAAATACGCTTGACACTCGAGTAACGCGATCGTATCCGAAAAATGACCAAAAACTAGCCGAAATCGAGCATCGCTAGCGCAGAAGCTACGATAACAACAATACGAACTGGGGTGGCTCCTCGGGCCTCGGCGGCTCGTGGGCCCTCCTGCGCTCCTCGTCCACTCGTCTCCTCTCCTGCTGCTCCCACAGTCTGCGGCGTCGCTCCTCCTCCTCGGGACTATTATGCTGACTGCGTCGCTTGTGCTTGCGCCTGACTCTCCGAGCCTCGTGGCGAATCTCGTCCTCGGCGAGTTGCTGCAGCTCCACCGGCAGCCAGACATCGCGTCGAATCCTCGTCGAATCCAAACGACGTCGTTCGTTGCTGGATGAGAGTTCGGTCGGCTGGTCGAATCCGTCGGTCGGGCTCGGGGAGAGCGCGAGCAGCAGCAACGAGGCCAGCAGCAGCGGCATCCAGGCCGCCGCCGCGCCTTTGCCCTCCATCATCGTCGTATCCTCTATACGTCCCTTTTTTCCAACTAGCGCTGCTCTGCACATATGTAGAGGAAAATATAGAGCTTATCGTGTTCGTTTATTCGCATATGTATAAATGTATATATAAGTCATTTATTGTGTCGCGTGCAGCAGCAGCAGCAGCAGCACAGTCAAAGAGATTATAAGTGCGTCGTCGTCGTCGTCGTCGTCTCTCTCTCTCTTTGTATAGATCGATAAAAGAGCGCGCGAGTCTCTCGCGAGCGCGCACAAGTTTATTACTCTTTGTATGTGCGCCTGTAAATGCAATGCGCGCACATATATGAGAGAGCCGAACGAGCTGCCGCATATGTAGGCCAGCTGCCGAGCAGCATAGTATATAAGAAAAGCTGCTGCTGCCGCGCGTAAGTCGCGAGTGCGTGTAAATGTCCCGAAGCGCTTCTCTCTCTCTCTCTCGAGTATGCAATAATATATAGACCATATGTATATATGCAAGAAGCGAAACAAATGAGCCGGGCGTATACACGCGCGCACGCACACACACACGAGCTGTGTGCAGTATGGAAGAGAGAGAGAGAGAAAGAATCGCTCGCGAGACTGATTAGCTACGTGCCGAGAGAGAGAGAGAGAAAGTATATAGAGCTTCCGGCAGGCAAGTGATTCGCGCGCGCCGCCGACGACGTTGCAATCGAAATAAAGCTCGACTACTACCACTACTACTACGCGACTCCACTTGGTCGGAGCTGCTGGCGAGTAATCGGAGAGAAAGCAGCAGCAGCAGCAGCAGCAAAAGAGGCATATAAAGTCATATATGTGTGTGTGTGTGTGTATGTGTTGGTACGAGAATATAAGAGTAAGAGCTGAGATAAAATAAGAGCGTGGAAAAAAAAGGCGGCCATCGCGTAATCCGAACTGTTGCAACGGCGATACACAGTACACACATATAAACTGCGCGAGCTATATTTTATTGTTATTCTCGAAATGTCTCGAGCATTGTATACACACAACGCTATAGACTGCCCCGAAGCTCTCTCGCGTGATGACTTTTCTCTCTCTTTCTCGCCGTGTCGAGAGCTTCTCTCGCGCTCGGGGGACGCTTATCGGGGAATTCGTTTGTAGTCGGTTTTCATTTCGCATTAAATCTGCCGCGGCCGATCGGCTTTCGTCGCCAGCCCTGCGCGCGGGGGCCAACTTAATACCGCTGCTATGTATAACGATACACATTTGCGGGCGCGATCGAGTTGCATATATATACATATAAATTTTTGTGATATCGCGCGTCGCCGCCGCCGCCGCCGCTGGAGAAGTGTTTATGTTTTTGTCCTTTGGCGCATAACTCTCTGCCACGAGTGAGAGAGTGAGAGAGTGGGAATCCCTGCACGCACGCCATTTATTTTTATTTCGCTCATAAATTCGCAACGAGTAGATATACGCGTGTAACGTTATATATATAATAAAAGCTGCATACATGTAAATTCATCGAGTGCTATGGTATACAGCTCGCACGAGTCTCGCGCGCGAGTCGTCCGCGATGTTGTTACTCTCTCTCTCTCTCTTTCCCTGCAGACACACATATGCAGCACTGCATATATAATTAATAGCACGTGCGGAGCGCGAGAGACGACGACGTCTCTATGCGCGCGGATCGAGCCGAGCACATAGGGCACGCGCTGTATACTGCCTGCGTTATATAGCTTTTTTTTTTTTTTTATACATTCGCCGTTTTTATTTAGTCTGGCTGGCGATGAATGCAGCTCGTCAGAGCCGCGCACACACACATGTATATCGGAGTCGGGAGATGCTGCTGCCCCTTCCTCTCTCTCTCGAATCGGATTTTCTCATTTCCGCGAATAAATCACGCGCGCCGCGCTTCTCTCGAATGGCTTTTTGCTCTTTATACTCGAGTCGCGCAGTGCATTTATTTATACGAGGAATTATCGACGTGCCAGCTATATACGTATTTCCAAATGACAATTGCCGAGTGTTTAAGCATCGCGTCCATATAACAATACAATGGATCTCTCTCGCGACGACGGAGAGAGATGCAAATGAAGTTTACGATCGTAGTCGCGCGCGTTGATTGTCGCCGACGTGAACGACGACGACGACGACGACGACGACGACGACCTTGGGGGAGGAGCGCAACGATTATTACGGTATATACAGATCAATTAGTCACGTCGCGGCCGCGGCTCGCCAAGTGCCGATCCGGATTATTATATATGTGGGGTAGCTATTTTTCTCTCCTTTTTTTCTCTCTCTCTCTCTCGCGCGCGCGACACGCGAATACATATATATATAGCGAGCCGCATCATGTGCTCTCCGATGTATGCCAGAGTGTATAGCGTCATGTACGCCTCTTATAACCGACTGACGTAATACACGCACGTATGCTACAATAGCTGTGTATAGTGTATGTAACGCACAAGGCACACGCACAACAAGTACTCGCTCGCTGCGCTCGGACTTTTATGATTCAGCGGCGGCAGATGCGGGGATTAATGCCGCTCCGCGGCGGACCTCGCGCGCGATGCGCTCATACTTCATTGTGTATATATCTAGCAATATACAAATGAATATCGCGCTTGCCTATTAAACACAAATGCGTTCTGCGTGCACCTTATACGTATCGCGCAATTGAAAATAGACTTCCTCGAATTGAAAAGCCCCGATCGAGGCGGCCGCGAGCCATATTTCATCGTATTTCGAATATCGCTTATTCTTTTTCTGCGCTCCCGTCTTTTCGTTTGCTGACGTCCGCTCGACGAATCTCGAGATGCGCCAATCAAGCCTCGCGGCTATGTGTAGCTTCGAATTTCGCGTGCGTCGGCACGATATTTAGTGCTCGATGTCTGAAAGACACGCTATATGCCGCGGACTCGACGTTATATTATACACGTAGCCGCACGTGCAGCGTGCAGGTGTCCGTATATAGAGAATGATATTCGCGACGAACGCTAAAATATGAATCTCGAGTATATAAAATGTGGATGTACCATCGTACTCGCGACTGGAGAATACATTAGCCTATCCAGCAGCTACTATATGCCCACACATATAAGATGCACATTATACAGTCCCTCGCATCGCGGGTAATCGCGCGCCTCGATCTCTCGACTCCGATATTCCGGTGTATACATACGACGGCGTAACTTTTGGCCCGCGGGGCTGCATATATACATAGCTATATGTGTTCTGTACGCGACGAATCGATCAGCTTCGCTTTTTGCCAGCAGCCCCTTATCTGCCCGAGCGAAAGCTACTTTTTCCCTGTATCAGACTGTGCATATATAGCCGAGTTTTGATTCATGCGCAGAACATTGAGGAGCTCGATTCCGAGAGTCGCGTACTCGATATACAGCTGTCACGGATCGCGCGCGACGGATAATTATTACGCGAGATCGTCTCGAGGTAGCAGCAGCCTCGTGGGCCTAAACTTGACCTTGCAATGGACAATTTGGGATGCGAAAAAACAAAAAAGATCAAAGCTATTTCAGCCGGGAGTACAATAAAGCGATGTACGCGTCGTAGCACGATCCGACACGATTGTTCTCTGGCAGCAGCTTGATCTCTCTCGGCTTCTCTACGCTGCAAGCTCTCTGCGCGCAGGGCCCGATGTGTGTGTGTGTGCGTGTGTGTGTGCTTACCGATCAGCAGCAGCACTACAAGCTTGCGACGTCTTTATTTAGCAGGGCCGGGTGTACGATTGGAAGGCAGCGAGGAATTCGCAGCGCACAAGCTCGTTTCTCGTCTCTCGTCTCGCTGCAGCTGGGGCTTGTGGCTGTGCACGCACATATATGCATTGGCTATGCGCGGCTCTCTATATTGGCAGGTCGACCGATCGGTTATACATAAAGCAGGCGTGTGCGTGCGTGTGTGCCGTTGTGTGCATTGCGAAATTGCGAAAGCGTGTGTGCGCGTGGCCGATATTATTCCGAAGAGCGGCGCATAGGAGGTCAGCTGCCTTCTCGTACAGTATATAGTCGGCTTCGAAATGCCTCGAGTGCACGCGCGTACAAATTCTTTTCGACACGATTGTGTATACATATATAACGTATAATAGCGATGCTCGGCGTCCAGACTAAATAAATAATCCCAAAAAAAGACTCACGCGTTCGAGGGGAGGTATCCCTTTGTAGGTCGCTCGAAGCTCGGTCCCTCTTGATGCGTTGCGCCGATCGCTACTCGTTTATACCTTGATCGAGACGAAAGAAAAAAGTCGTGCGACGATCGGTGAACAAGACGATCGCGCTGCCGACCCGCGAGCGGAATAGGCTGCGCGGATGCGGTGCGAGTTGTATACTGCAGCGACCAAGTGCCCCGCACGAATGGTAAATACACGCACTGCCTGCCTGCCGCTGCTGCTGCTGCTTTACTTTTGCGCGCTGAGACGTCCTCGCGTGCGGAGGCGCTCTACGAGTGAGTTCCGAGAGACACGCGCTCGCACAGCGGCGGGGCCTGCCTCTCTCGAGCCGGCAGCAGCTCCTTCTACTCCCACTAACCGGATCGTCGTCGTCGTAAGCGCGCAAACTTTTTGACCGTCCCCCGCGCTCTACCCCCCCCCCCCCCCCCCCCCCCCCCCCCCCCCCCCCCCCCCCCCCCCCCCCCCCCCCCCCCCCCCCCCCCCCCCCCCCCCCCCCCCCCCCCCCCCCCCCCCCCCCCCCCCCCCCCCCCCCCCCCCCCCCCCCCCCCCCCCCCCCCCCCCCCCCCCCCCCCCCCCCCCCCCCCCCCCCCCCCCCCCCCCCCCCCCCCCCCCCCCCCCCCCCCCCCCCCCCCCCCCCCCCCCCCCCCCCCCCCCCCCCCCCCCCCCCCCCCCCCCCCCCCCCCCCCCCCCCCCCCCCCCCCCCCCCCCCGCGTCCATCCAATAGGCTTATATAGTAGGCTCTTTTCTTCACTCTCCGTATCTCGAGCACGACACAATGTATAGTAGTAGTAGTTCGAGCGTGCGGGGCCTGTACAAGCTCGATCCCGTGCGAGCTGTGCACCTGACCCTCCTGCACACACTCACACACACACACAGCGCAAACACACCGTCGCAGTCAGGATGACAGAGAGAGAGAGAGAGAGAGAGAGAGACTTGCACAGAGCTCTATGTGCGTAATCGGATTTTACGCTTCGACGGACGCTCGACTCTTTGTATATATACGTCAGTTGCCGCCACTACCACAGCCTCTCTCTCTATTGTCGTCGTCGTCGTCGAGCGAATTGGAGCTCTCTCTCTCTCTCTCTCTCTCTCTCTCTGTCTGTATATATGCCAGCACACACGCATCGACGACGACGACGACGACGATCGTCGGGCCGAGCGTCGGTTGGGCAACAACCACGCGCCGAGTATAAGCGACGGAGAGAGTCGACCAAAGCCTATATTGTTATATACCCACTAACGAGTAATATAGCGACCGACCAAGTCGATAAATCGATTATATCGACTTGACTTTTTCTCTCTCTCTCTGCCTCTCGCGCGCACACGCGTGCACCACGCTACACCGCTGCTTTGTCCTATATACCTATATATATGTCACGTGTGTATCAACGATAAGAATATTTGTGAACGCGAAAATCGTTGCTATCGTTTGCTACTTACTATATAGGCGCGCTACTGCATCATCAAGCAGAGTACTCGCGAGGCATCGTCATCTCGCGATCGCAGAAATAACTATACTCGTATCTATGAGAGAGAGAGAAAGATCATAATAAGCTCTGACTGGTCTGTTTATCAATTATTCATGAGTTCCGAGAGCAAAACGTGTCTCTCTCTCTCTTTGTCGAGGTCGTGGGTCGTGTCATATTCTCTCTCGAGAACCGAGACAGGAGCACCTCGACTTTATTTCTTCTTCTTCTCTCTCTCTCTCTCTCTTTTACTCTTCTCTTTCGTCTTGTGTTTCTTTTTTTTTTCTTCCTTGCTCATATACTTACTCGCGTATGCGTGGAACGATTCCTCGCTCGAGAGTCCTGCCATGCTGCCTCGCGATGATTTACACCGGCGTTAAACGATGTAAAACACAACAAAAATCCCTTCACTTTTTTGCGCGCAGCTCAGGGCTACGTATATAAAAGCCTTTATTATATTACCGAGCCAGGAGCTCGCTCGTGTTGCTATAGCTGTTTCCGAAAATAAAATTAATGATTGGCGTGACGAGATGACTTCTTCTTCTTCTTCTTTTTTTTTGCCGGTCCTTCGATCGCTTGCAAATATTGACGCAATAGCTCAAACCTAATCCTGTAAGTTTCCATTTTTCCTACGAGTCCCAATCATTGCCTCGAAATATCTTCACTCGCTGCATCATGTGTGTGTGTGTGTACAGTTTGGGCTAAACTATCTCTAGTATACCCTCGATAAAGTTAGCACTTTCGAGAATAATATAAAGTATCGTGATCGAGTCGCGCGAGTCTGAAAATCAGCTGGTTAAGTTTCAACTTTGACACTACACACAGCGCCAAGGCATTATATCGAGGCTTTAAGTTACCTCGGCGTTATTACCACATCGCTCGCATACACAGGCTCGCATCTTTACTCAACAGTCTCAACTTTATCTTTCGCAAAAATATATATATATATATGTGCACGTATATAAGTTTACGAGCAAATATTGATCTGCTAGCTATAAGCGAGTATATCGTTACTCTCGATGTAAGCGAGCGCGCGAGAGTCTTTTATGCCGCCTCGTCGAGATAAGGCGATTTTACCAAATTTATGGGGAGTTGCCGCCGCCACCGAAGTATTACACAACTTGAATGTATATACAGCACCGAGTGCCGCGTTCTATAGTCTAATAATGAGCTATCGCTGCAGCCTAACAAGTATACTATACAGGGATGCGGCTTATATACAGTAGCGCCTTGTCGAACGATTCAAGTTAAGCGTGTAGCGGGCACAATACGACAGCTTTGCAGTGTGACAATAACGACCAACTTGGTGTTATATTTGTTTCTTCGTGCCAAATCGTAAGGGTTTCGCGCTCGAATGCAAACTTCGCCAAGTATTTCAATCGTCGCAACAGCTATCTCTCTGCAATCGCGAGAGCTGCTGCTGCCGCCGCTTCGCTATAGAGACGATAAAAAGATAATACAATTAGGCCTGCTAACGCGATTCGAGGATTATGAAATCGAGTTTCGATCGCGGGGCCGCGCGCGCAAGTTGAAAAAAAAAATATATATATATATAAAATCCTAAGGATAATTAGAAAAAAATAATAATACGATAATAATGCAGGAAGCTCGAGACAGCAGCCACTGCAGCCGACGACGACGATCGAGAGGGTGGCAAAATGGCTCCCGGAATCGTATATACGCAGCTCGATAGAACGAGCTATTTCGTATTATCTATATACGCGCGGATTGCGGAAAAAGGCATCTCTCGTCGTTCGTGGGGGGGTACATAAAAACGGTATGTATATAGGCTTGCTGCGAGCTTGCGACTAGTTCTGTGCTTGCGCGCAATTCTGGCTACGGTCAATGCAACAATGTATATGGGAGGGCTTTTATACAGTTTGTATACCAGTGTTATACAGTGGTGGTAGTGTGGTAGCGGTCGCGAAACAAACGACACAAAGCGACCCCCGCGCGCTAGTTGAAATACTCTATGTGTACAGCATGCGGCTCGTAGGCCAAAAAGCGGCTTCGGGATCCGTCAAAGCCTCGTCGTTTTCTCTCTCTCTCTCTCTCTTTCCCTCTATATAGTCCAATATAGCATTCGCAGCAGCAGCAGCAACAACGTCGCGCTGGGTGATAAGTAAATTTTCGCTCGATACTCGTCGAGAGAGAGAGAGCAGCTCAAGCCGCAGATTCAGTTTGCTGCTGCTGCCGCTGCTACTGCCATGCTACTGGGCTTATACACGGAGAGAAACTCTCGTCGACTCGAGGTGAGAAGAAGCTTCGCTGCTCTCCGTGGATTAGTTATGATATATACAGAGCCGTGGTGATAAGTCGCGGTGTTATACAGGCGATATAACCCTTGGAAAATTAATAGAGATCATGGCTAAGCAGGAACAACAGCAGCAGCAAAACAATATAAACAGGAGCTCGATGCGCAACTCTCGCATCGTGCGCAGTGAGTTCGTTCGTGGCTACCCGCACCTATACCCACCCCACACCCCCACCTCCGATTCGAACGAAAGCTCGATCGTGACGTGACATAATGAGCGAACGATTTCTGTATCTATTTCGTTTTTGTGTTCGCAGCGAGCACGAATCTCGTGGGCAAGTTCACGCAGAGCGTCAGGCGCATCGTGCAGGACGTCAAAGACGAGGGCACTGCCAGTGAGTATTATTACGACTATTATGCATTGCCTCGTAATTCGATTTAATTTCTTCTTTTTTTTGTTTTATTTCGAAAGGCGGACAAACGAAGGAGGAGGTGATCGAGACGAACGAGCGTCTGCGCGCCGTGCGCATCCGCCTCGAGGGCAGCTACGAGACGGCGAAGAAGGCCCTGGTCGAGCTCATGCGCAAGTACACGGACAGCAAGCAGGTGCGCAACGTGTTCGAGCGCTACGCCCTGCTCAAGGCCATGATCAAGCAGGTGGTGAAGCTCGAGACGCAGTACTGGACGCTGGTCGACATACCGCGGCAGGAGAAGCAGGAGACGGTGCCGGCCTTCGTGCTGAGGGCCTGCACGATCATGGAGAAGAGCCACAAAAGCGGTGGAGCGGCCGGCAACAACAGCAGCAACGACCAGCAGAAGACGTCGGCGAGGCTCGCCGAGGAGGCCGAATCGAGGCGAGAGCGCATAGATCGACTCGAGAGTGAGTACATAACAACGATCGCGACTTGGATGCACCGGTTGTTTTCGAGTACAAAAGAACTGCCACGATTTATACGACCCTCTTGCAGACATGACGATATCGCAGATCGAGGCCGAGAACACGCAGATGACCAACGACCTGTATCGGCTGCTCAAGAAGTACACGGGCCTGCGGAACCTCATCAAAGAGCTGAAGGAGGAGTACAACAGCTCGAAGCTGTACCCGATCGTGCCGCGCTACACCATGCTCAAGGACATGATCAAGGACATAATGCACAATCCCGACTACATGGAGGTCTGTCACGAGCTCGACTGCACATAGTCCTCGTAGACCGGCCACCAGCAGATCGTGGCCAGCGGCAGTTGCGGCAGAAAGAACAAGGGCAGTCTGAGGAGCTTGCGCTGAATCGAGTTCGCCGGCATATACACGTTTTCTCGAACAAGCCTTAAGTATATTATAATATACGATACGAAACGAACGAATGTAGCGCCGAGGCGTGCATATAGCGGCCGATCATGGGAGAATTCGAATCGTATCTCCAAGGGAGAGACCACGTCCGGATCGCTTAGGATATTATCGTACTCGTGCAATACTTCGAGCCCAAGTCGTGTATACACTGCATGTACACATTCAACAAGTCGGACTTTTATCGCGTAGGCTCGTTTTCTATTATTTACGATATTATAACACTTGTGTGTGGTGCGCGTCGATATAGGGAGAGAGCTACTTATTGTACCTACAGATCGAGTATAAAATTAGGATTTTATGATCGTAGTTTATATGATGAAAAAAAAAAAATAATAATAATAATAAGGCGCTCGCGAGTCGACGACGACGGGCGTCAAGGCCTCGATTAGCTATATCATTAAACATCGTACGTTATAAAAATAGTATAATAGAGAATTTTACCTGTACACCGATAAAAAAATTCGGCAGAGTGTAGCTTTTCTGTAATTAACGAGAAGAAACGCTGTTTCTCGGGATAAAGCGCGTGGCTAACGTTATGGCTTTTATATACATAATACGGTCCGATCTCGCGGACTTTTTTCCACGTTACCAAAAAAAAGCAGCGAAAAAGCTCCGCTACATAAATCTCTCGGCGCGTTAATCTCTCGTTTGCGTGCGCGGGCGGGCGTTTATACTCGAGCGTCGACGTCGCGCGCGTTATTCTATGTATATAGTGCCTATTATTGCAGCCACAGAGATAATGGCATAATTATTGGGACGAGCCGCCGCCGCCGCACGCAGAGATTTAGCCCCCCGCGCGCCGCGTACTGTACCAACGTATTATATAGCCGCTGTCACGTATGCTCAAGCGAAATACACACACACAATGTACACGTACGCACACATAGACATACACATAGCTAGAGATCCGCCCTCCCTTTCTCTATTTGTGTGCCACTCTGCTGTAGCGTTATTTAAGCCTATATATATGCATAATATGCGTGTGCAGCAGTAGCAGCAGCTGTTGCTAATATCAGCTGATGCCACTGCTCTCTTTCTCTCTCTCTCTCTCTCTCTCTCTCTCTCTCTCTCTCTCTCTCTAGCACATTGTTGTGTCCTATATATATATGCATGAGAGATGTTGTTGTATAGTATACAGCGTAAGCGAGATCTCCCTTCGTGTGTACCTATAGATAGTTCAGCCCGCGCCGAGCTCTATGCATTCGGTACGAGCAGCCACGTACGATATATATATACGAGCGAAGCGCGCAACAACGTACCTATATCCCCATATACACACCGATCGCCACCGTTATTATTACTCTCGCGTACGAGATGCACACACAAGTTCCTATATATGAATAAAGTCCCGCGCGGCTCGAGCGCAACCACGGCACGGGCATCGTCTTCTCTCTTTCTCCTTGAAGAAGCAGCGAGCGATGATCGTTTTTCGCCATAATTAATACACACGTGGAAAAATAAGAGAGCAGAAAAGCGCCTCGCGTATATATAAGACAGTCGTGCTGTGCACACGTGCGATCGATACTACGCTATTTTCATCGGCACACAGCTCTCTGTCTCTTCTCGTGTGTATACAAACAGCAGCAGCAACATCCACACATGTATACAGCTCTTATACATACGTTCCATATATATTCATGTATACGAGTCCGAAAGCACATCGCGCAGCCTATAGGCAGCTGGAGCTTTTCGCGCCTCGTCCTATAGTCGTCGTTCGAGTCTCGAACTTTATTAAAGAACCTCCCCCCTATTCATACGTACACACATATATAATATATATATATATACGTTCGTGCGCAACTCGTTTAAACTACCTTCTCCAGCTGCCTATAGTATATATAGTATAGCATGGTAGAAGGAGGTGCCAGTTGCAGGCGATAGTAGTGCTGTACGTATATCGAGAGAAAGGGAGAAAGCGACTACTCCGCAAGCTCCTCTAATTTCGAGACTCTTAGGCAAGCGCATCTTCGCGCGCCCGCTCGAGCTTTATACTTTACTTTATACTTTGTTTCTTATATAGTAGTATAGTAGGTATATGTGTATATACGGAGAAAGAGAGAAAGAGAGAGAGAGCGAGACTATTCTGCACACCTGCGGTGCTTGCTGCTGCTGCGCTAGGCGCCTTGCTCGCGTATAGTATTATACAGCGTGCGTCTTTTCGAGCTCACTCCCGACCCCGACGAAATAATATTGTATACAAAAATTTATGCATTATATAAGGCGGACAGGACCATGATCGGTGCCGATGTTTATATTGTATACGTGCCGATAATTTGACGAAAAAAACGAACGAATATTCGAGCCCAATTTTTTTTCTCTCTGCATGACTTTTGAGCTTCGCGTTGGCGCTTGCGAATCCCGGAAAAGTTCCTTACTATACGCACACATATCATTGACTCGCCCCGGCTGCGCAGCAAGTGCAGAAAATGTCGAATATATATTTTTTTTTCGCTTACTCGCTTGCTTTACTCTCTTCAAACACTTTCTCGGCTCTAATATAATTCGATATGTATACACACACACACACGCGCGGGCGCGCGCGTATATTTGAGGCAGCGTGAAACACTCGAGAGCCTAGTAACGCGCGCGCGCCAAAAAGTCAAGGCAATATTTTTCTTCATTCGCAATAATATTATAACGAACGTCGCGCGTTTTGCAAAAAAAAAAGAAAAGAAATATATATATTATACGCGTTAGAGGATTCCGGTTACAAGGTATATATAATGGCGCGCGCGCGCGCAGCTATAGTATACATTATGCGGCCCAGTGTTCGTGTGTGTGTGTGTGTGTGCGCGCGCTATCGAGTTGCAAAAGAGTCTAAAATATATTTCATTCGAGTCCGAAATATTTTCAAGCGTATAATACGTTACAATGTAACGCAGTGCCGAAAGAAATATACGCGCAAAGGCGAGCATATTATTATAATTATTATTAACTTCTATGCAAGTTGAACGAGGCAGTCGAGGCTGTACAAAAATTTCGCGCGAGGCTTAAACGCAGCGATGCAACGAGAGAGAAACTTTGTCGCGGATAGGAATAATTCACCTCGATCGAAGTCCGCAGCTCGATCTCTGGAAAAATGGCATTACACACGAACCGCGACGAGACAACTATATGTTCAAAAGCAAAGATAATCGCTCTCTCGAATGACACTTTTCCTTGTCTCTCGTCTACCCAAGAGTCGCACAGCACAGCTATATGCAGCTTATAATTTAAGCTCTGCGACAGCATTGCAGGCACCGAATCGTCGTCACGTATACCGGCTTTTAATGCGTATTATATATAGGCTTGTGTGCCGCGCGATACACACAACATAATATATAATGGCCCGATGTAAGCCGCTACTGACAATTCGATCGTTAACCTGTGTTGCGTTGTACTTGGTGCATATTATAGGGCCACAGTACCTTGCACGCGAACATACGCCGCGTGTATAAACGTAAAATTTGAGCACCTGCGCCAGCAGCAGCAGCAGTAGATATAGGTACATCGCTTGACTCGCGAAACTGCACAATTGATTCTCGCCGAGGAATTCCCGTTACTATGTGTCCTATGCACTTGAACATATCGCTATTGTATTGTACCGTACAAAATAAACAACAATATCCACACACACGCACACACACGACCAATGCGAAAAAAATCGTCCAATAAACCGATATCCGATTACGATATATTCTATTCTTATAAATGTCTCAGCCGTTGATAATTACGTTTTTCACTATACAACCTTCCTTTCTATATATCGTAACAATCGTAATAAGTGGTAGAAGAAGAAGAAGAAGAAGTAAGAAATAGTCGCGACGCAATGACTTTGAATTGAATAAGTAGCTATTATATACATAGACAGGAGTGCTCCTAAGTCGAGAGTCCGCATGTATAATGTCTATATGTACATATAATAGAGATGACAAGAGAGCACCACTATAATACACAACGTATCTGCAATGTTTTCATCTTTACACTAGCTACACGTACGTAAATAGAGAGAGAGAGAGAGAAAGAGAGAGTTGAAAGTTTTTTGCTATATTCTATATGTATCGTGTGTCGTCGCGAACGAGTTGTAAAGACGTTTTGACATGTGACAATTTTCTTCAAACGACCATATCGCCACGCGAGTAACAAAAGGTGTGCACGAATCAATAATTCGTCATCTTCTGTCTTTGCATGTATGTACGTCTATGGTTATAAATTCGAACGAATTTTGTCACACGCGTTTGAGATATGAGTACGATGCCGTGACGACGACGACGATCCTCCGCGACCATAGTCACGTGTAGCGTATGCATTATTATCATCACAGCGACGCATGTAGGGCGTTTATTGATTAGTGCAGCCTATTACCTGTATCCTATATAGACGCATATACGACTTTTCTCCCATTTCACGTCCGATATACGTGCGCTCGCACGCACGAGCCTATCAAACCGTTCGACTGTGAATATTCGAAGCATCAAAAGTCAGAGACTCGCGTGGAGCTTTGAACACAAAATTATAAGAGGCGAATCAAACCGTTGCGTATTGCAATAAGATTCACACGAGGCCGTACGCGTAAATCTGTGTTTTAACTACTCTATAAGAATTAAGGATTTGACCAATCTATTTGTCTAAGTAGAGTTTTGAATCAAAACTTTCTTAATATATATATTCTTCTGACTTTTATTGATAACACAGTGTAGGGTGACTGCATCGATACTTCGACAAACGATCATTAAGTTTGATTTAAATGTTCGTCTGAATTATCCAAGAAAATATCCACGTACTAAAATATCCTCGATGCTCAATTGATACAGTCATCCTACGCGACAAATATATTTAAAGAAAAAGAAACAAAAAAAAAAATAAAATAACTATCAAACAAATAATACTTATAAAAAAAAAGCTCGTGTGCTTTTCCGGTACTGGGCCAATATATCACAACCAAAAAACTCCATTTTTTCGACTTTTGAATTTAATATATAATAATATAGAGATTATTGATAATATATAAATGTTGACGAGAAAACAAAAAAAAATTAATTGATATTAAGATTTATCTATAATACAAACATGTACAACACGAATGTGAAAGACAACAAAAAAAAAATTAATGATACGTTTTTATCGTACAAGAGCTGGCGTTTCGTGCCGCATTCTTTACAAAAATAAATAATGTCTGCGACCTAAACACATATCCACTATTAAACACTTTAAAAAAAAATACAAAATCAGCCATTATATAATTAACTATATATTAAAAAAAATTGAAAATATGGGAAAAAAATTTATATACATATACTATATATATTTTATGAAGAGCATTGTCAGCCATAGTTCAAAATTTTCAAACAAAAAAATAAAGCCAATATGGACTTATAAAGAAGGCAAAAGGAACGATTTCCGTTCGTTATGTCTTCTTATAGCATTAAACACAAAAAAAAGAAGAAGAGATTTTATCAATAATTAACGTATAACACGATGAAAAAAAAGGTTCTTGTATATAATAATAGAATTATCCTGGTAAAACGTACATAGTATATCGGCATAAAAGCCATATTTCAAAGTAATTTCTCCGTTAATGAATCGTTGAATTAATTAAGTAAAAAGATTTTATATATATACGTACACACATAGCCAACTTTAATGTATGCATTAGCAGCCGCGAGCAGCGGCCTCAGTGCAGTGCACGTCATTATATTCGTATAGGGCGAAGGACGACGAGGAAACAGACAGAGAACAGAAAATTATAACTGCAAAATGTAATCTGAGCGACAAAGAGAGAGAGAGACGTACTACTATCACTACCTAGAGAAAATTATAAAATAGATTCAGGACATTTCCACGATATCGTTGATTCGCAAATATATCTTCCAATGTTATTGAAAAAAAATACGGCGTCTCTATATCATATAGTTACAGGTTATCTAGGTATACAAAAAAAGTAATATTATAAAATGATAGCGTAATTATTCGAGTAATAGTTCTATAATATTAACAATAAAGTATAGATGCGCAATCGATCTTTTTTTTTTCTTCGATATTATATAAAAAGCAATAAGATATTATCATCGTTGATATCAATGGGAATAAAGCGCAAAAAAAACACACATGAATATGCTGCAACAGTACCACCTCAAGCATACATTATCAAAGAAAGAGAGAGAGAAATGTATTCGCCTGCATTACAAGTGAATTATATAAAAGCGGATGCCTTTGATTGATTTGCATTTGAAAATTGCACACAGGCGATATATATATAAAATTTAGAGCTGCAGAGCAGCGGCGCATTTTCAAGTGCAGCGCGCGTGGATACATATATCAAGCGTAAATATACATATATATATAGATACAGTATTATAAATATACGATGTAGGACCTATTGATTTATTGTATCGGTGCAACAACTGCACAAACTGCCAAAACTCGCAAATTTTCGGAATTATTTACATCTACTATATAATAATAAATATTTACGATACCGTGTATAAGTGGAAGAAAATTATAAGCATTCGAACCAAGTGAAATAAAAATAAAATGAGTAATTACGAGGTAATAAAATGTTTGATCGGTTTCTCGTCACGTTTCATCATCTGCGACCAAAGTGCAAAAAAAAAAAAAAAATAATGAATAAACAAAGGGAAAAACCGCACACGAGTTTTTTCTGTTAAACTGTTCTGCGTTCGTCATAAAAGTTTGTTAAAATTGTTTTTTTTTTCGTCGTGTCCAAGCATACATAAAATCGCAGCTTTAACACTAACAGAATATGAAGCGAGCTTACACCACTACTACCACTACTGCTAACGTCAGCGCTGCAGCACGCCAGCAACAATTGTAATTATATCTCCGCAGCCGCTGCAACAGCAGCAGCAGAGCGTCGTCTTTTATTGCGACTCGTTACTTTATATAAACATAAAAATAATAATATCTTCCCATTTGAAGTTTCGCGCGTGTGCACTGACAAATTTAACACAAACACATCGTCATCCAGTATTCCTTGAATAATCTTAACCACCACCACCAACACCACAAGCAATTCCCGCGATTCGTTTGTTCGGCTTTGATAATTATTTTTATATATGACGCAATAATGTCAGTTGAGAATTGTACCGTAAATTTTCTAAGTGTTTTAATCGAGTAATAAATTATTACTAAAATATCACATCACGTCTAATGGCATTAATAATTTTTTTTTTCATCCCGTCATGATTATTTCCATTATACCTCCTCTTCCTCGTTCGCTTAGCAGTCGTAAATATTCCATCGAGCGATGCGTTTCGTGAGAAACGCGCATCGTCTCTTGTTTTGATGAAGTCGTAATGACAGAACTAATGAGCGATGACATTTCTTGAAATAGCGAATATTTTCATTTTTATAGTACAGTGAATCTTACGAGACTCTTTTGAAAGATGTCGATTTGCGGTGGCCAGTAAAGTAATCCTGATTAGATAATTTTTCGAAGGTTTAAAGACTTCCCCGAATTACTAGTCTTGGCGATTTTTTATCTCGAAATGAAGCGACCATTCGGTGAAAAAATACGCGCGAAGTCGAAAAATCATTTTTATAAAGGCCTGAAGTTCACTAATCTGTGTGCTTCAAATTTTGATATTAAAAGTTAAATGATTCTTCACAAAGTAATCACTATTTTTTATTTTAATTGGTTGCTTTGATAGTAATGCTTGCCTCGTTGTAATATTCAGGACAAAATAAAATTGTACAATCAATTGGCCAACTTATCTATTATACAATATTATCAATCTTGTTGTCTGGCATGGTAAGTACTATCAATAAACTGTCGATTTTATTGACATAATCATCGATTTCATTTACGAAATATGTGATGAGCCGATGAATCAAAAAGGACAGTCTGTATGGCATTGTTAATCACCAACTATTTTGATATGATACATATTAATGAAAATGAATATTAAATTCGTCAAGTATTCAGGAAAAATAGCAATTTCATATTTCAAATTATAATAGTACTACAAATTTTCTAATACATTAATTCAATAATTAATTTCATAATTGTTAAATTTATGGAAACTAATAAAATATTCAAATACCTAACATTAAATTAATAATTATCGTGCGATCACTTTGAAGTAAAGTTAGCAGCAATCGTTACCCTCGGAAAAAACAACAACACAAAACGAAAAGCATCGATAGATGTATTACGCAATGTGTTAATTGCCTTTGGTCAATAATCTGAACATCTAAACTTGAAAAGGTTCTTCTAATGCGTTATCGAGTTCAATGATGAACGTTATCGCATAGGTATTTTTGTTTACATTATCATTTCATACATGTATTTTTTAACGGTTGTCACTATACTGTCCACTTTACTGATTTGCCTGCAGAACAACAAAGAAGGTCTAAGAAGGTCTCTTACTTTGTTTTCCTCCTATCCAGGCATTCAGTTAAGTGACCGATGCAGGCTACCGGTCGAACTTCAAAGTCAAAGCGGTTGTCAACGTGTTACGGCAGTTCTGCGGGAATCCCATTTTAGACCTCTTCAATTCAGTACATAAAACAGCTAGCGGTGCGAACAGTGATGTGATTTTTTCTTTGTCCAAGTGCCTTAAAGCAGGTTAAGAGAATTAACTTTATCGACAATGGGGAAAAAGTCTAAAAAACCGGATTCCGATTGGCTTTGGCTTTGTCTCAATGGTATAGTTCAATGGAAAGATAGTTTCAAGTGCATTTTGTGTACCTATGAATTTGGAAAAGATTATGTTAAAGAAATGAAAATCCACGTTCGAAAAAGTCCTTTTCATGTCAAAGGGAAAAAAATGAAAAAAGGTGAACTACAAGATTCTCTGGGTCAAGAAGCTACTGAGGATGTATTGGAAAACATAGTAAAAAATAGTATATTTTTTAATCCTGATGACAATCAGCTCACATGCTATCTGTGTCAATGTACATTTCCATGTTATTCTAACGTTTTAGATCATCTGAATGATCCAGATCACCTACAAAAATTGTGTGAAAATGAATCTTCTTTGAATTCTCAAACTTATATTTTTACAAATAATTTATATTGCAAAAAATGTCGAATTCATTGTGAAACTCCCATGGAGGCTCTAATGCATATTTTGGAACACTTTCCCAATATAATTGAATATCCAACTAGTATTGATGTTATCAAAGTTTTAGATGGTCAAATATTATGTTCTCTTTGCAATATCAACATTGCTTATGAAGAGTTGAACGAGCATATGAAATCTGCACAACACGTTGAAAGAAGTAATTTCTTATATAGTGAAAATCATAAAGCAAAAGATAATAAGATTTCTAAATCTGAAAAGAATCATGTGGTTGGTAATATTTTTAGAAATTTTCATGCATGGTACTGTAACAAATGTAAAAAGACTATTCCAAGTGACTCAAGTCTTGTTGAACATTTTTTGGGAAGCAAACATAGATCAAATTCTACCAAAATGTTTCAATACAGTGATCATTTGATCAATAAAAGTATCACCATCAATTCTCATAAGTGTTACTTGTGTGGTACATCATTATGTTCTAACATTGTCAGTTGGTTTTTTCATTACAACACAATTAAACATAAAACAAAAATAGAAAATTTTAATAAAATTCTTAAGGAAAGTTATCTGACAATGAAAGAATCAAATGACAAAATTTTTGTAGAGTGTTCATTGTGTCAAATACAAATTAATGATATAGAATCTGTTATTAAGCATATACACTCGGCAACAAAATTATCGCAACAAAAAAATTCATCGAAATTTTGTCGATTTTCAAATGCTTCTATCTTGGGCTAGATTTATCGTATCGACACGCTTTTTTTTTTAATTTCTTGGAAATTTTGTCCTCTTTAAATCCATATAAATTAAGATAAGATTTGAGTTTATGTTGAGTTACCAGTAGTATTTGAGCGTGACCCTAAAAATTACTGAAAAAAAATGACTGTTTGAACGTGTACCAGTACCACAGTGATTTTTTTATCGAAATCTAACATACACCATCGCAAAGTGCTCTTTTCAACGAGTAATTTAAAAAAAAAAAGACCTCTCTACGATTTTTTTAACGCCCTGTAGGTCGATTTGAAGATACCATTTAAAGTACGTAAAATCCCCCGTTTACCTGAAATCAAGACGATTTTCTGGGCATTTTGCGTACATAAACCGTACCTTCAAATCGACCTACAGGGCGTTAAAAAATCGTAGAGAGGTCTTTTTTTTTTTAAATTACTCGTTGAAAAGAGCACTTTGCGATGGTGTATGTTAGATTTCGATAAAAAAATCACTGTGGTACTGGTACACGTTCAAACAGTCATTTTTTTTCAGTAATTTTTAGGGTCACGCTCAAATACTACTGGTAACTCAACATTAACTCAAATCTTATCTTAGTTTATATGGATTTAAAGAGGACAAAATTTCCAAGAAATTAAAAAAAAAAGCGTGTCGATACGATAAATCTAGCCCAAGATAGAAGCATTTGAAAATCGACAAAATTTCGATGAATTTTTTTGTTGCGATAATTTTGTTGCCGAGTGTAAATAAGGAACATTATAAATCTTGTGAAATTGTGGATGAAATAATAATTTCTCAAATAGAATCATATGAAACTCAATCTGAAGAAAAAATAATGAACAAAGAGATAGAAACTAGTGAGGAAGAAAGTGAAAAATTAGAGGTATTTGAATCAGCATCAACAAGCAAAGAATCTGAAGACGATGAGCTTGATGAGCTTATAAAAAATTTGAATGAACTTCAATTAAATAAAAGAAAAATAAATAGGTTTGTTCCTGTACATAAAAGAGAATCAAAGTTGTCTAAGAAAAAGATGGATAAAGTTTCAAAATTTACTCAAAATATTTTAAAAAGCGGTACACAATATATAGACTTTTGTATTAAACAGAGTAAAAAATATATATACAATATCAGTAGCAGCAAACTAGCTCATATAAACTTGAACATGAATTTCATAATTAAAACTGATGATAACCAGTTCTGTTTGCTCTGCAACAATCAATTTTCCAGTGAATCATATTTTATTATGGAACATATTTTTGGTAAAGAACACATTGAAAATATGCAGAAACAGAATAGCAGCGTGATGAAAACAGAAAATGCATCCAACATATCTGATGATAATTTAAAATTAATTGCTATACCTTATATTTTAAAAACTACAAATGAATCTTTTCACTGTCATGCTTGCAAGAATGATATTACAGAGCACAAGGTTTTTGATCATTCTCTAAATCAGTATCATATACTAAAATGCAGGGATTTGAAAAATAATGCTAGTGATACTCTTAAGAAAATCATTGCTCTCTTGAAAGATACATGGTACTACACTCAATTTTTTGCTTGTACAGTGTGTGAAGTGGAATACCAAATGGAGATTGATTTTGTCGAACATTTAAAAAATAAAAAACATTGTATAGAAGTAGAAAAATGTATTGCAAAAGGTGACATACTAGAGTTTCATATATGTTTTGCATGTGTCACATGCATTTATGGAGATATCAGTAAATATTATGATCATTGTGAAGATATTTTTCATAAACGATACCTAACAAAGGGTGACTACAAGATTTCAAAAATGATGCCTCCCTTAATAGGTTTATTAAATGAAATAGAAGATAAAAAGCAAAAAATATTGAATGAATCAGATTCAATTATTTTAGAAAGCCCAAAAGAAAGAAGTTTATTAAAAGCTGTTGAAAAAGTTGTTGAAAGTGTTTATCCTACTGCTACGGCATATAAATTTGGTTCAAGATGTTCTTATACAGCTCTCTCTAATAGTGATGTAGATATTTTTTTAGACTGTGATGATATGTATAACAAAAATTTCAATGCTGAATCATGTAAAAAATATTTATCATCAGTGAAAGAATGTTTTGAAAATCATAAAGATATATGGTATATAGAAGAAGTATTGTATGATACAAGGGTCCCTATTATCAAACTACGGCATTATCCTACTGATTTTAAGTGTGATATTTCTTTTTCAAATGGTCTGGCTCATAGAAAATCTAAACTTGTTAGGTAAGCAATTAATATTGTTAATTAAATACACCTTTGGGCTTGTTATTTTTAATTATCTTATGATTTACAGATATTACAATGATGCTTACGGAATTTGTAGGGAGCTTATTTTATATCTTAAAAAATGGGTGACTTTTTCACAATTATCAGGCTCAGAAGGTATTTCAACTTTCACTGTATCATGGCTAGTCATTTTTTACTTACAATTCATAGGTGTATTTCCAAGTGTATATGAGTTAATAAAGAGTCAAACTCGTTCAATGATTATTGATGGTAACATATGTTCATATAATTTTTTTAAATATCTACGAATTATTTTACTTGTAAAATTTGATAACTAACTAAATAACTAATTGCTTCAGGTTGGGAATGTGGATACAAAGAATATTTTGATGCCAAGCCTAATAAATTTAGTTTTGTTGAACATCTTGTTGGACTTTTTACCTTTTATGCCCAATTTGATTATCAGAAGTATGTTATTTGTCCATATTTGGGTTCAATAATAGAGAAAGAAAAGTTTGCTACCGGAGAATTACCTTCAGAGCTTACAGCTATTCTGAGTGAAAGAAAAAAAGAGGCTGTATCACTTTTCCGCTTTGATTCTCCAATGTGCATGCAGGATCCAACAGATCTTTCTGAAAATTCGACAAAAGCTCTTAGAAAACGTCAACTTAGATGTTTCAGAGAATATTGCTCATCAAGTGTTGAAATAATTATATCTGAACATCAAGACAAATGTTTATAATGCTCTTATTTTTAAAATACCAAGACAAAAATTCATGATGTATTACCTAAATGCAATCATTCTGATGATATCACTTTTAGTGTTCAAAATGTTTATGAAACTTTGACTTAAATTTTTTGGAAAAAAAATCCAAGGTGCTATTTTCATTTCTAATTACTCACTGATATGTATAAAGTGTATGCTAACTTAATAAACATTTTAAAATAATTTATTATAAAAAACTAAATCTCGATAATCATTGAATTTGCTGAAAGTTAATCTTAAAATAATAATGTGAGACGAAAAAAAAATTAAAGTAATAAAAGTTGTTTATTTTGAGACTATATCTAGTATACAATTTTTTTTCTTTATAAGTAAGTGCCAATTACGAATAATAATACCTGCAACAGTTCAAAAACTATTTTTTAATACTTGGATGGATCGCAATTGATCAGTTTCAATAACTTCTTACCAGATACGGATAAAAATAACTAAGATTGATTACTCGTTGTCGGTAATGTTGTGTTTTTTCTGTACAAATAGTCATCATTTTTTTCGATAACTATGAAGAAGTTAAAAATTGTGTAAACTTTCGAGAATTCGACTAATATCGCACTTATGGAGTCAATCGTCATTCGCCGCGAAATCGATCAAACGTAACTTTTTTAATTTGAACACGGCGCGCGCAGACTAAAATGCGCGCGACGAAAAATGATGCAAGAATGACGTCTCGCAGCTCGCTGCGCCAGATCGTCTGCTACGCCTGTGCACACGAGGGCACACCGGCCGCCCACCACGAGGTTTTTTAACTAGTAGTCTAGGCAATGATTCACAGTTGATTATGAGCGATCAGCACCGACGTTGCTTCTCAATTTCTGCCGTGTAAAAAAAGAATATGACCAATTACCACGACGAGGTCGAAATCGAGGATTTGGAATACGACGCGGAGGACGATACGTACTATTACCCTTGTCCCTGCGGCGACTCTTTTCAAATTACCAAAGCCGAGCTGCTTGCCGGAGAGACGGACGCCACTTGTCCTTCTTGCTCGCTTGTCATTAAGATCATCTACGATCACGACAGTTTTGTAGCCGAACACGGTGAAGGCGCCGTAGAGAAAAGCGAAGTCACAGCTAAAAAAATTGCCCTTTAAGTGAGTATTTTTATTTTAAAAACAATTTTTCCACAAGCTATCGGGACAGTTATGAAATGATATGGAAAAGTGAATAGTAAACAAATTAGTATACAACTGTGCGGCTCTGGATTGCAAAATTAGTTGAAATTTCATTCAATTTACAGATGTAAGAATATTTAATTCTTAAATATAACTTTAAGTGCTACGAAAAAAGTTCATTGATACATAGTTGTTGAAACACACATAAAACTTAAATTAACCTCAAAGTTAAGAGGTGCCAAGTTGTGTTGACCTTTATTTACTTTCATAAAATTCCATAATTGATTCTGAACTATTGTGTCTAACCTCAAGAGACAGATTATTTATTAACTTCTGTATTTGCAGATATAATGTCAGGACGTGGTAGAGGAAGAGGAGGTAGAGCCGGTGGCATTCAATTGCCAACTGATGGAGGAGGTAAAAGTGAGCAGCCAACACCAATTTTAAAACCACCACCAGACTTTCCACTACTAGAAAACAAACCAGTGCCTTATGAGATTACCCGTGATATGAAATACGAGTGTCAAATCCGCAAAGAGTTTGTAGACTACTTGGTTGGTTCAGAATACTATGTGAAACTTGATGTCAAAAATAATGACATAGAGAGGTATTGTGATCGCAATCAAGAGCCAGAGAAAAAATGGGAAAGCCAAGTCGACTGGAATTGGATGCCAAAGTATTTGCAGGATGACTGTAAGCTTGCGCTCAAGAGACATAGAGTAAAAGAATTGAAAGCAAAGAAAGGAGTATCGCTCAAGAGGCCAGTCACATCTAAAAGCTCAACTAATAAACGTGCTAAAAAGGATGTTAACATTAATGATAAATTAGCTGAACTAGAAAAACAAGAAGAAACTGTTAAAAGTGATGAAGAAGATAAAGATGAAGAAGAAGAGCTTGAAGAATTGGAAGAACAAATAGCAGATGAAGAAATGGATGAAGGCACAGATTACATGAATAGTTACTTTGATAATGGCGAAAACTATGAAGAAGAGGATGATAATCTTGATGATGGAGCTATTTTTTAAAGTAAAAATTGTGAGATGGTAATTTGTACATAAATGGTGTTAACGAAAACTCTCTTATTATAAATAAGGAAAAATATAAATAAAATGTAAATACAATTTCGAAAAAAACTCTTCTTATTTTCGCTTACCTACATTGATATTGGGGATATGGTATGTACAAAAAAAAAACAATTCAAAATTCAAAATTGATCGCAAAGCCGATATTCTGAAAGCATCGGCATGTTTTATTACGAGTATTTAAATTTCTATAATAATATGATATATGTATTAATGTAATATAATTAGCCATAATAATCTTCAGTGATGTAATAAGATTATAAGTATATAAATAATCATCTGCCAAGGTTTTCTAAAGAGTAAAGGGGGTGGGGAAAGAAGGACTGGCAAAGAGGAGAATACAAACGAACACAAGATAGTCATAGTCACATAATAGGAAAATCTTAAGTCCAATAGTATTATTACATTGACTGAATTTTTTAGCTTCTTTCATTGTCACTCAAATTTGATGCAGATCGATTCAGGCAGGCTTACATTATAGCAACGACCGACGCACGGAAAATATCCCCACTCGGACGCTTCTGAATAATGAGTGCATGCGGTTTTTTTTTCATATTGAATATAATATATAATTATGCGTGTAAGTGGATGTACAGATAAGTTAATAGAATGGTAAAAAGCTATATGTCCACAACGGAGTTGCGCATATCGAATCATACTTTTTTTTTCGTTGTTATCTGACATCTAAAACGAGATTGGCCTGGCTTTGCACCATATAAAATCAAGTACGGCCCTTTTTTATTTTTTTTCGAGTTTACTATAATACTGTAAATCAATGTACGTATACGTGAACAACTAATCAACGGTACGGCACAATTAACTTTTTGTGTCTTCGATTAAATGAGAAATCAAAATTAACGCATTTTTAGTTATACAGTTGATGCCAAACAAACCAGATTTACATTTATAAATTATTAAATTTCAATATAACTTATGTGCAGATAAAATTGGCCGTTGATCAATAGTAACAATATAAATTATTACAATAATTTGATAAACTTTGCGAATCTTCATACGCGCTTACATCTCATAGTACAATAAATTTTTGTTTCCATTTTTTTCTTCTTCATGTAAGAATAACACATTATCGTTTTAGTGGAAAAAATGTAACTGTCTGGGGCAGATATATATATTAATATATAATATATATTTATATTTAAGTTTAATTCCTCTGAAATAGATTTTTAATCTCATCTCACATATCTCCCATAAATTCATCATAATTGTGTATGCGATAACGACACGCGCGCAAAACGTTTCATTCACTCGACATTTAAATATATTGTTTTGACGCATTTGTTTACAAAAACTCTCACTTTTACTCTCAATTCTCGACTCACCCTACATCACGATACCTTCGAGCGCTCGCCGATTCTAGAGATGATAATTCGCACCCCTTACAATCGGCCAGCTCATAAGCTTCATATTATACGTTTATATCAATGGAAAAAATTGCGAGTCTCGAGATGATCATCACATAATATGGTTGTTAAACGATCTGCTTGTCTCCTACTTATACAAACAGATACTTTCCACGGTAAAAAAATGGCAATGTGCGAAGAAATATTTCTTTCTCTTTCTTTTAACTAACAATAATTTGACTAGTTTTATTAACGCGCTGCACCGAACGCGTTACCCTGTTTGATATACGGAACGCACGCAGTCAATCAAATAGCGTGTAACGACGACACACGAAAAAGCTCGCTAAAAAATTTTGAAAAATTGAATCTGAATACGTAGAGGTGTATAGGTGTGCATCGTACATAATGGCTTTTTGTGTGTGGGTGTGTATATAAAAGCTCGCGGCGTCGCTGGTCACACACAATTACTCTTGACGTCGCGTCGCGCGCGATAGTAGTATTATAGTATAAATATAAGTGTGTGTGTGTGTGTGTGTTCGTACGATATACTGCAAAAGAGCGTGTCGGGATATCGATCGTGTTACAGGCGCCTCGACGGAGATGGCAATGTACTACATCGTAAACTCTAGTAGTGTACCATGTTTGTACATGTATAGAGGTAGACATACATACTCTATTATAATTCGTGTCTATTGTGTGTTCTCTCCGCACCGTCTTCGAATATAATATAAGCGCGAGTTGCTGCGCTGCACTGCACTGCGGTCCGTGCAAGTCTGCGTGCGTTCGTGTATACAATGTCTTGCGATACATACTTTTATAACAAAAAAAAGCAGCCGCGGCATCGGTAGTACTCTACATCTACATACTATATAATATAGCAGCTACATATGTATATAAGCGGGCAGCGTCCGTGACAAAATTCTTTTCGCGTATCACAAAGTCACGCGCGCACTCGATTCTTGGCTCGCGCGTCCCTCGCACACACCTACATATATCATTTATAATATTTCACGTGTGTGTCTGTGTACTTTTCTTCTGTATTTAGGTAAAAAAAACGTATTTACACTGTATATACTCGTTTGATGCGTGTTATATCGTATTATCATTATGTTTGGTACGGCGGCTAAGTCGCATTTATATAAATAACTAGCCTAATTTAAAAATCCATTTTACCTACATTCGCTATTACAATATACAACACATTTTTTTACTTTTTTGGTGTGTCTGACGCGGCGCGCGCGCATATATAATCACAAAAAAGAGATTCGTACTTATTAAAGTCTCTGCATTATAAAGTCGAACGCCAAACGAACGATGGTGTGGATAGGATACCCGTCGCAAGCTCGCAGTAAAAAGAAACAATTTTTCGACACATACTTGCGCAATATGCATGATGCATTGGAGGAGATCGAAGTTTATACAACAATAATAAATCGCTACGTTATGATTTTCGTGTGTGTGCTCGAGAGTCGATCACTTTTTTTTTCTTCATCTGCGAGAAAACGCCTTCCATACATATAAGCGTATCGTACGTATATATAATAGTCGTCGAGCTTGTTCGTGTGAATCGATCGACGGGCGCGCTTTTGTTTCGCTCTCCACTCGGTAAATCGATAATATATTATTATTCGCAATCACAGTCGCGCGCACTAACACAATTTTGCACCGGGTTACACGCACACACACATTCGCGCACGCTTACACACACTCGCACACAAACTATATAATTTTTTTTTTTTTATTCATTATGTATATTAATTAGGCGATGAGTCGAGGTGCAAAGGCAGTGTGCAATCGATGCAGCTCGCGATCATATACACCTGCGACTCGCATTATTATTATTATTATTATTATTTTTATTTATTTATTTAATTTTTTTTTTGTTCGTGATTCATCGTTTACGATTATCATCGTTAAATATTCATTCGTCGTTTTTATTCCATTTGGCAATTAGCTTTAAACGACGCGGAGCTGCCCTTCTCTTTCTCTCTCATACTCTCGTACTCTCGAAAGCGCGCAAGTAGTAGTAGTAAGCTCACGACGGAAAGCTTTTTCTCTCTTCTTCATCAATTGACAAATGCGCTGCGCGGCTGCTACTTTATAAGTAGGCCAATATACTTTTAATCATATATATCGTTTCAATATACATGTAACGTATAAGAGTTCGCCAAGCTTACTCTTTGAGGATACACAATATTGTTTATGTACGACACAATTTCCAAGTGCCTGCGCTTGTTTTCTTTCTCTATCACACATTTTCACTCTCTCTCTCTCTCTCACCCTCTCGCTCTCTTTCTCTTAATCTCTTCTCGCCGTTATATAATAATAAGTCTAATTAAATCGCTCGCGCCTCGATGCATGTGTGTCAAGCTCTTCGCGCGGCGTCGAAATTTATGCTCGTTTATAATATATAGCAGCGCACCCGAGCGCGCAATAATGCAATGCATGCCCCGTATTAAAGTACATATAGCCACTGTACACGGACACACATAATACACGTACGCGCGCATGCTATATAATGTTCATGCGTTTATGCACGTATATACACGCGCGCGAGCTTTTCTCGCTCTTTCGCTCTCGGGCGTACCCCTTGTGTGTGTCTCGCGACGACGACGTATTTATTCATGTTTCAGCATAGAGCTAGCGCATGCACACGCATACTTGAGAGAAGTGCGGAGAAAAATTTACACAAAACGATTTTCGACTTTTTTCGGTATGACAAATGGACAAATATTATGGCCGAGAGCTTCTTTTTTGTTGTTGTTGTAATATCTGGAAAGCTATAAGAAATACAATTTTTTTTTTCTTTTTATTAATTGTGTATTTGGACGGGCAGTGTTGACTCGCGCACGGGGCCAACAATAACGAGTTACGTATTTTTTTTTTCGTACGTACCATCGCACACACGCCTGCGTCCGCGCGAGAAGAGAATTATCGAGAACAAAGAGCTCACCGTTTAATAAAGTTGTGTTTTTCATTAAATCATGTCGTAGTAGCAGCTTCGAGAAGATCGAAGAACAATTCGAGCGTACGCATTCTAATTCTGCGTACGATGCACTACTACGCGGCCTTGGTTGGCGTTGCGGTGGCGACGACGGCGACGGCCACAGCGGCGGCGATGGCTACTCGAGGACTATTACTTTTGCCGCGAGTCGGTGTCGGCTGCTGCTGTTTATTTACTGTTGGGGCGGCTGCTGCTGCTGCTGCTGCTGATCGTCGGGACTGCTCTTGCCCCAGAACTTGTCGAAACGATTGCGCGCCTTTTCCAGCAGGTCGCTGGCGTGCTGCTGTGGCTGCTCCTGGATCGGCTGGACCCCAGAGTTCGAGTTAATTTTTGCGCGAGCTTTTTTTTTTTGCAAAGCTCTTTAATGATTCATATCGTATACCTCGTCTTTGCTGGCCATCGGGCTTCCGGCCGCCGAGTCGTCCTTGTGCAGTCCGTTGCTGGCCGCGCCGAAGCTCGGCAGGGACATGCTCTCGCTGTCGGGCGACTTGTAGCCGCTGCCCTGCTGGTGCAGCCTGTGCTGAAGGCGCCCGGTTAGCTCCGGCGGCGCCGACTGTGGACCCCAGCTTCGGGCCTCGCTGTGCGCTCTCGTCAGCGGCTCTCCTATCGCGTACGTAATCGTAAAAGACGATCAATCGAATCAAACGTTAGACGATGCAACGTATACTTACCCTCGAGTACGTTTTGAGTGACAGTGAAGGTCTTGCCCGTGTCCAGGGGCACGGTCCAGTTGACCGGCTCGGGCGAGCGCATGATCATCTGCTCGGGCGACTTGACGCGCGTCGGCTCGGGTGGGCTTTTTACCAGCGGCTGGCCGTTTTCCATCCAGGGTGGCTGTTCTGCTGGCTGCTGTGGCTGATCTTGGCCGTTGATTGCCGGCTCCGCGGTCACTGGAACGAGACAACGAGGCTTACTCGCGAGATGCTTGCGTGAGTTCCGGAGCCAAGTTTGGCGCAGGGCTGCGCAGGCTGCGGCGAGCGAGACCCGCGACGACGACGCAATTATCACCTTCATTATACGTTTCCGACAAGTTCAAAGAGTCGCGATTGGGAGAAGTCGTCGTCGTCGCGCGAGTCTCGCGTCGAGCGCGCACAAGCCCCACGAGAGTGACCCGGCTGTCGCACGCTGACACAGACACGCGGCTCATTTGTACATGTATTTATGTTATATCGTTAAATCGGGTTATAATTCGTAAAATCGAGTATATTTTTTTCATTTCATAACTTGTGATGACAAACACTATTATCTAATAATGGTGCAGAATTTAAAGAGACAACGAGTTAGCTGTCGGAGAAAAAGTAGGTAATGATAATAAGTAATAGAAGCAAAAGCGTGCATTTATGCTGCTCGATCACTTGGATTAAATTCAACCAGTACCAAGCGGCAATCAGGCGCACACACATAATATAATAATAATATCATAATAAACAAGCAAATTGGATATCTGTACAATATAATGTAATGTAATAATATAAGCAGAGATGCGGATTCGTGCATGATAATAGCCTTTAACGATTATCTATTCGCGCGAAGTGGGATTTAAATGCATTATATATATATACGGCTGCTGCGGCAAGACTATATGAATAGTCCAATCAATTAACGGATATATGTATTGCGTATGAAAGGAGGATTATCGTTATATTGCAGAGTGGCGGCGGCAGGCAGATGCGACAGAGTACGCTCGCGGGTGCATGCTACTTACTGCTGCTGCTGTTGGGCCTGCTGCTGCTGCTGATCTTCCGCGGCGACTGCTGCTTCGAGTTCGGCGACGGCTTGTTACTGACCGAGTTCGCGGCTGCGTTGCCGCTGCGTTTGCCGTAGTAGCTCGACGGGCTTACGTTCGCGGCGTTCTCGCTATTACGAAGCAGAGCCGAAGCCGGCGACGTCAACGAAGGCGGCGACGGCTTGTGATGATGAGCGTGATGAGCGTGAGTCGATGCAGTGGTAGCAGAATGATGATGATGATGATGATGATGAGTGGCAGGGCGGTGAGGAGGGGCATTGGTCACGAGGGAAGCTAGAACATGAATTGTTGAAAACAGAAAAGGACGATCACACACTGTTGCGGCTGTCGATTTTTTTTTTTTATGGGCGTCTCTACTCGCGCGGTCGATGGGACATCGCGGACGCGACGGCGGCCTGTGCTTTTGACCCAAAAATAAGAGCTTTTTATAATACGCTCGCAATATACAGCTGCTACAATATTTTTAATATAAAAACACATAATCGCGTGATGATGATGATGATGATGTTGTACTTCAATTGTATACAAGTGCCATTATCTCTCTCAGTGCGGATCTGATTTCTCTCGTTTGTTTTTGTTTTTTTTTTCAACGTACGTTTCTTATTATTACATCGGATCGAGGGCCTCGTCACCATCACCCTCGCTACGGGAACCGCCGTGCTCCTCGTCCGAGACGCCGACCTCGTCGTTGTCGCCACGCTACTCGAGCTTCTTCTCGGTCTTCTTGTTGTTGACGATCCGTCGTCGATTCGTACGATCTTCGTGCGGCCTGCGGTTTCTATACAGCAGGTTCCATTTACTTGTCACTTGCTTTTTTTTTTGTTTTTTGTTTTTTGCATTTTAGTGTACATCAAAGTGTCATCGCTATGTCTCGTCGATATGCTTTTATGCGTCTCTGATCATATACTTACGAGGTCCAAATTTGAGCGAGAGGTGTACTAAGATTCAACTGACTTTAACTACTTGAGATATTAATGCTTTGAAATGATATGCATCTTGAAATATGTGTACTATGTCTTAGGAAGTAATTGTTTAAAATAATTTTAAAAGATGCATGTCCAGCAACTGTTCGTAATTGAGTATATACCGTCGTCCTCGGCACAGAAAGGTATCGCTTTAAATTTAGAATCTATATAAGAGTACCTTAATCCCTATCTTATTAACATAGAACAGAGGTACTCTTTTGCTTCTGAATTTTAAGCGACACCTTTTTCTGCGCTAAGAACAACGATACCAGGCTAAACTAATAGTAAGTAAATATATAAACTCAACGTACGTGAATATAAAGTCAGAAATATATAGTAAAGAATCATAATACTAACTAGATAGATTAAAGTCACAATGAGTTTTGGTCAGCTAGTTTCTTGGCAGGCTACGGCTCTACTACTGTGTCTTATCAACAGCTATTTTGCATATCGAACGATCATGATATAATAAAATGTAACTATTGTATAGGCGGCAAGTATGCTTATATTGTAGGAGGAGAATAAAAAAAAACTAAGTAAGATAAAAGTAATAGTAATAGTAAAGTACTGCGCGACAAGCTGCATTTCGATATACGACGATTAAACGTGGTACCAGCTGATACGTTTCATTTAAGGCACAGAAAAGTATTCAGCAGAGTTTCAAGGCTCGACATTCGGCTCTTGAATAGCACACACATAATTCTGACACAATGTCAATTTCAACAGTACATTCAAAGACTCTGTCGTTACGATGCCTCATGCAGCTTATATCAAGCGTCGATAAATGCATCGTAAGTCATTTGAAAAAAAAATTTTATTCGAGCAAACTTGATCCCGCTTGTATAGAATGGCGATGCATTTATCGCTTGTTTTAATGAGCAAAGGGTAATCTTCAATTACGTACACATTGTCAATACAAGAAAACGACTAAAAAAAAAATAATAATAATAATTATACGGTACGAGCTGCGCGAGTTTGGCGAGGCCAATCAGCGTCGGATTACAGTGGCTCAATTAAACGAGAGGGGCGGCGGCGGGGAGGATTTGGATCGGCAATTTTTATTTCCATCGAACTTACTCGGTCGTGGCTGTCGCTCGGTGGTCTTCTCCCCGTCGACTTTGTTGGCCTGGCTGCAGGAGACGGGCCGGCGTTTGGGCGAGCGACCCTCCTTGAGCGCGGCGGGACCCGCGCTCTGCGAGCGAGCCGCCCGCGGACTGCTCTTCGGGCTGGGTCTCGAGCGAGCCGACTGCGGCGGCTCTTGGCCACCTTGGCCCACGGGCGTCTCGTCTCGTCTTCTCGGCGTCACGGGCTCCAGCTTCTCTCTCGTCGGAGAGGGAAGGAGTGCCCCGTCACCTGATAAAGAGCACAAAATCGTTACACGATACACGCAGTATTATAAGAACACGAGAGCCGAAGCGCGTCTCACCTAGCGTAACCCCGGTGGTGCGATCGAGATGATGCCTGAAGAGAAAGTCTCGGCGAGCACGTGCCAGCGCCCGATCGTTGTCCGGCCCGAAGTCCTCGGGCTGAAAGACGGGCCTGGCCTGCTCGTTGCTGGGCCTGCCCGCCGCGGGCACCGCCACCTTCCTCGTGTTCTCCTTCTCCTTCTGCTCCTTGCTGCTGGGCGACTGCTGGTGGCGCGCCAGCGACAGGGCCTCGAGGGCCTGACTGCTGCTCACGTGACGCCACAGGCCCGCGTTCTCGTCCTCGCCCGAGCCGGTCCAGTCGCGGTGCTTGTACTCCTCGGCCAGGCGCTTGAGCTCGCGACGAAGCTCGACGACTTGGGCGGCCGAGAAGGGCCGCTGCTGCTGCTGCTGCTGTTGGCTGCCGTCCGGATCGACGAGTCTCACGGCTCGACCGGCTCCCGTGGTACGTTTGCGATAATTCACGGCTGCTGGTGCCGTCGGTGCTTGATCGGGCTCGTCGCGCTCCTCGACGACGTTGCTCAATAGATGCTGAGGTGGCTGCTGCTTCCTGCCGACCAGCGGCTCGAGCTCCGACGACGATATCTGATGCGACTGTTGTTGCGCTAGGACCGCCGGCTGACCGGTAATCTGCTGCTGTTTGTTAATTTCCTGCTGGCCTCGCTTCTTGTGCACCGGAGCAATCGGGGCGGCACCACCCGGACCACCACCGCCGCCGCCGAAGAGGGAGCCCTGTCTCAGCACACCCATACTGAGGGATTTACGCGGCGGATGCTGACCGGCCTCGTTGACCTCGCCGTTCGTCAGGGCCTGCTGCTGCTTGCGCGGCCAGGCGAACTGCAGCCGATACTCGGTGCTGATCTTCGTGATGGCTTTGCTCAGCTGCGACGTCGGCAGCACCTTGGCTACCTCCTGTCGAAATGAGACAAAAAAAAAATGAACGAATGAATGAATGAAAACAGGCGAGTACATATAAAGAGATGAGGTCGCACGAGGGGCGAGACACGTACCCGCACTTTGTCAGCGACGACATTGGAGTCGAGGCAATCGACGCCGGCCGCGTCGGCTGCAGCCGCCGGTATGAACTCGTGGGTACGATAGGCCAGCTCCGGGTACTTTTTTCTTCTCGGCAGTGGTGGCTCCATGCTCGGGCCTGGCGTCGAGGAAAAAACAAAAAAGGAATCGTTCGTTTTATACACGATTGCGCAACGATGAAAAAAGAAAACTGATTGCGTATATGGAAACTGCCAGATATATAATAGAGATAATGGAGCAAAGCCTGCAGCGGAGCTTGCACATGCAGAGATATCACAGCGCAGCAGCGGCAGCAGCAGCAGCAGCGTTTTATATAACTTAAACTTACAAAACTATGTAGGGGAGTGGAAACGAGTGGTCTTGAGAGCTCGGCGAATCATCCGCGAGCTGCACTCGGCTACGTGGTAACAATTGTTACGAGTCGAGCAGCCCCCGCGCTTTTGTGTCTATATATATATATATATACTTATAATGCTTTGATACTTATAGGCCAGTGCCCCGTACAGTAGTGTTGTTGCGCGCGCGAAGAGCGAATTATAGTAGTAAAGTAGGTATATGTATACACAAATGAGCAATGGTAGTCTACTTCAACAATTGAAACAATTAAGCTCTCGGCAGCAACTTTTCGAATGCATATACATACATACATACGTACCTTGAACACACGATTCAGAGATCGGAGCTTTTTTGCATTTTACTCTCTCTTTCTCTCTCTACAGATATATACAACTGCTACGTCAACTTTCTACTTGGCTGAAGCTGCTTTGTACGTGCGTGCAGAGAAGAAAATCTCGATACTGCTATAAAACTAAGAAGGATCTCGTGCAACGATCCCATTATACACGGAACGAACAAAAATTTTTTCAGCTGCGTTCGGCAGATCGTTATAAACGCGTCGAGAAATGTGTTTCAATATTATACGCGAGAGAGAGAGAGAGAGAGAGAGAGGGTCAGGATCGAGTCGGCGTTCGTATATTATATACTTTTGTGTGTCCATGTAGTATAATAATAAGGATACGTAAAAAAAAAAGAAAAAAGAGAAACGAAGTAAATATAATAAGCCTCGTATAAGGTAGTCGCTCCGAGTTTGCGTGTCTGCGAGGCGTTGCAGCAACGCAGCAGCAGCATAACTATATACACTATATACAGCAGCGGCAGCAGTCGAGAAAACACACGATCGTGTACATCACACACGAGTAGAGCTATACGTATATATAGGGTCAGTATAACGCGGCGCGCGACTGCAGCGAGGCCGAATCCATGATGTATATCGTGTAATGTCTTTTCTCGCATGCGGGTTAATTGCCGTTACACGCACACGCACACAATCGTACATATAACATTCATTCGCATGCGCTATAACAACGAGCCAAGTATAGATCTCTGCACTCGTTGGAGCAGCAGAGCAGAGCAGAGAGAGAGAGAGAGAATATTTGATTTTGAAAAACGCCGCTATCATCATCCCGTCGCTCGCGCAAGCATCGATCCATCAGCGCCGCTGAGATGCAGTTTGTGTTGTACGAAAGTATCATAGTATTATAGATAAAATAAAGAGAAGAAAAAAAGGGGGGGACAGCGAGCAAAGAAAAGGGCGCAGGCTAGTTTTCGTTGTTGTTTTTTCGATGCGCTTCGAGCAAGTAACTAACTCACTACTACTACTAATGCTATAAGGATCGGCTCTCTTTACGAAGCTTACCTTCGCCGGTGCCAGCTACATCATCCTCGGAAGGCTTGATGACCGGCGCCGCGGCGACCAACTTGGCCTCCTGCTCTTTAGCTGAAAACAAAATTTCATTTCTCGTTTTTTTTTTGTTTTCTCTCTCGCGTCCGCAGGCTATGTAGAGCGTGTATGCGTGCTAAAATTCTAGGATATATATATTGCTCAATTAATTTTTTTTTTTTTTTTCAGTTTCTAAGATACATCATCGATTTCGACGTTACTTCGCTCTTCTGACCTTGGACAGGGGCCGGGGAGAAGGAAAGAGCGAGGAGAGGGACACCTCGACGAGTGCGTGTTATATCTCCTCGAGCCGGAGCGGAGCGCGAAATATCTGAACTACTGGTGATCGCCAGAGCTAGAGCTAGCTAGCTGCTCGAGAAAGAGAGAGAGAGTCAAAGTCAGTCACGACCTACATGAAGTTTATTATATCATCGATCTGTATATGCTCGTATTATATACCGACAGCTCGTCGTCTTCGAAAGCTTGAACTTGGACACGACGATATATAAATATCCATTCCTCGGAGTCTCCGATCGATCTCTGCTGTATCGCCGAGCGCGCGCGCGAATGTTATTTTAGTGATTTTTGCGCCTTTTTTTCGTATCTTCAACGATATACGCAAGGGTCGAAGCTGCGCGAGCTTCGGAATGCATAACGTTTGGTTTAGTGAAAAAAAAAAATTTTTTTATACCGCAGCGAGCTTTCAGGAAATTATGTGCGCCGAGAGAGAGAGAGAGAGAGAGAGGAACGCTTACAAAGTTATAGCATATAAGATACTTATGCTCGGCCGACGACGACGCCGCGGCTAATGTGTCCCTTAATTTAATGTCGTATATAGCTTACTCGAGCATAATGCGAGGTCGAGCTTGGCGGCGGCGACGATATAAGCTTTCGTACTCTCTCTCTCTCTCTTTCTCTCTGTAAAATGTAGATCGAGCGCCGCATTCGGCTGCCGGGGGGGGCTTATTATTACAGGTATATATATACTACGTAAGGTACTAGAGAGAGAGTTCACAAACGAGATCCTCGTTATCGTGTAAAGCGTACAACTGCATTTACATAACTCTATACGTATTTTAGATATGTACATTCTATATAAAAGGACTTGGCATCTGGCATAATACTCGACTTTTTTTTTATAAAAAAAAAAAGTAAAACTGCTGAGATTGTATACGGTTATACATATGTACAGGAAAAAATATAGGGCAAATATTATATGTTATAATAATAATAATGAGATGTAGCATAAAAAAGTAAGCGTATCCGCTGCTGCACTCACGATTCTGTTGCTGGTGGTGCTGTTGTTGTTGGGGCGCTCGGCGCACCACCGCCTGCTGCTGCGAGTTGTGATCCTGCTGGCCCGAGCCCGTGTACTCGTGCCAGGTGTAGGTGCTCCGGTACTCCGAGTGGAGCTGCAACGACAAAAATCGAGGAACATACATCAACGGCGAGCATATACATATATGTATCATCGTAAATACGCGCCTTGTCACGCGTACAGTGTTAATTATTCGTGATAGATATCGTGTGTGACAAGGCCATCGGTGCGCGCGGCCAACACCAGCCAAGTACACACACGTTATAGCGGCTAGATCGGACACGAGCATAGAGCATCGAACGGGCTTCGCTCAGAAGTCAGTCTCTCTCTCTCTCTCTCTCTCTCTCTCTCTGTCCGCGAGAGATATGGCGGTTAGCTACTACTCCAGGCGTGTGGGTGCGTGCGCGCGACTGTCCTATATCATCATTATCGCATGTATATACGTAGAGCGCTAATGCGTTTCGAAGAATCGCTTCCGCCTCGCCGCCACCGGCCTTATATATATGCGTTGACGCAGCGCGGAGCAGCGCGACGATATAGTTATCTCTCGTTCGCGAGCCGCCCGCGCGCCTCGCTAGTAGTACGAGTCAACGTACCGGTGCGTTTACATGTGTATATGATAGTATACGTTTCGTACGTGTGTGCGTGCGCGGGGAGTTTTATAAAGGCGAGATATCGCGCTATACGGACTCCTATATATCCTAGCGCTCGAGCGCGGGGGTAGAGTATATAAGAGAGACGTGTGGAGCGCACGACACGCAATATATATAAAGTATAAGGATATATAGGAGCTAGACACGGCGCGCCGCTGCAACGAGAACGAGGACTTGCAGCAGCAGAGGCATTATAAGCACGATGCATGTATATACGGCTATATATGTATATATATATATAGGCAAGCAGCAGTAGCAGCAGTGGCAGAGGGGAGGCCAGCCAGCCAGCCGAGTGGCGCAATGCCGCAATATAAGCGAGCAGCCCCCGACTGGAAACGGAGAAACTGCAAGTCGATTCGAATATATAGAGGTATTATAGGATCTCTCTCTCCACGCGCCGCTGCATTATCCGATTGATTCTCTCTCTCGATACTATATCCGTGTGTTTGAGCGATGCGCATGAATAGTGAAGACGACAGTCGTCGACTCGATGTCGATATTGTCTTTATAAAAGGAAAATAAGCGAGTAAAAAAGCTCGACGGAGCTGTATACACACAGCAGGACGATCGATCGACGAGGACTCGGTCTCTCTCCCTCTCTACTACTCTTCATTAAAAAAAAAGGCAGCGCAGAGTTGTGTTACGGCACACGCGTAAAAATAACCCGAGCGCGAGCGCGAGACTCGATCGACGTCGGAGTAGTTGGTGTGACCAGCAGCACGGCGAGACACCGTGGTCAACTTGACCTTGTCACACACACGCACAGACGACGGCGGATACGAGGCGGCTCCCCCGGTCGGTCGCGATTTTTGCTTTCTCTACTCTCTCTCTCTCTCTCTCTCTCTCTCTCTCACCTTGTCGATGGGCATCGAGGGACAGGCGCGACATAGGTTCCAAAACGAGCCGATCATCCTTGCGCTCTGTGTGACTGAGACGACTACTGGTGCTGCTGCTGCTGCTGATTAAATTTCGCTGTCTATATATTTCGATCGAGCGTCTGGCACAAAGCAACCTCGTCGACTCCGGGGGTTACTGTATAACCATATCGTCGTCGTGGTCGCCGCCGCCCCCCCGCGTACACGCGAACTTTGACGATGTTTTCGATCGACGCGTAATCGTTTTGAAGATATCTATGTGAATTCGCACAAGTAGGACTGAATTTTTGATGTTCTTCTTTATTACTTTCCCACGGAATTATATTTGTATAAGAGTCCTCCAGGCCGCCGCTCGATGTGCGGGCCCAGCCTAGACTGTCGTCGTGTCGCCGCTGCGAGGGCAGGAGCGTCGTCGTCGTCAGCAGCAGCAGCAGCAGCAGCAGCAGCAGTCAAGTCAGCAGCAACACACGAGCAACGCAGCACACAGTGTGCGGCACTGACGGCGCAGCTTCGGGGGAGCGCAGGCGCCGCGCGGACATAGCCGCTCGATACCCTCACCCCCTGCATACGTACATATATACATATTATAGTCAATCGCCAAGCCCGATAATACAGGGGTTGTGTCGCACCCCCTCGTACACGTAGCGCTGCACTGTTTTCCACGATCGGCCGAGCGTACGGTCGTGTGCAGCATAGATAACGGTATTACCGACGCTCGCGCTTAGATGAGCGCGCGGATGATTCGAATCGCGCCAACGCGAGGAAAAATAACGCGAATCGACTCGTTGACCCGCTTTTATATTATACGCGATCGCCCCTGCGGCGGCGGCGGCTGATCCTGTATATACGTGCGAAGCTAAGCAGTTGGCGCGCGGACAATAAAAAAGCTCTCACCTCGCGGGACACGTATGCCTAGTATACTATACTATATACATACAGAACGACGAATATAATGTGCTCGTGCATACGTTCCAAGACTTCTTTGTTCTGCAGCGGAATATAAGACAATAAGACTTTTAATCGATCGCGCGTATGGGTATGCGCACTCACGAGATTGCTGTGCTGCAGGCGCTTGGACGCTTGGACCAACAGCTGTTGTCGCTGCCTCGACGGGCGTCTTCTCCTCGACGACGACGGCGGCTGATGAAAGCTCGCCTGGGGCGTCGCGCACTTTGGACTCGCCAGGTGATGATGATTGGCCGTCTTGTTGGCCGGCATGGCTCGAGCGGATGCTATAAATATATATATTTATATTTATACCGGCCGATGTTTCGCGGCTTCGATGCGAGAGGAAAACGCGCGCGCGTGTATCGGAGCACTGCGTACCGACAGCGTTGCGTAGGCGCCTCCTCCCCCCGAGAGACTGACTGTCAGTTAGTTTCGTAAGTAAGCAGAGAGAGAGGACTATGTAAGAGTCTAGCTGCTGCTGCTTGACATATAAGAGAGACGCGCGCGCGCACGCGACCACCTTTCGGATCGCGCGTGCGGCACATGCGCCCACCTCCTCCTGCTCCTCCTCCCCCGCTGACGATGGACTCGCGGTAACTGCTGCTGCTAAGCTAGGCTAGGCTTGAACGTCTTTCGTATTTGCCGCCACGCACAACGAGAGCGATATCCTAACCATCCTTATGCGCGGGCGAGAATTGCCGATCTCGTTGCGAGATAACGCATGCTTTGTCGCGTGATGCTTTCTTCCTTACATGCTCGATACGTCGTATCGTTTAGGCGAATTTCTGAATCGTATGTATACAGTCGTCGAGTGTCGCGTATGTGCATACCTTTGGAGGAGCTAATGCAGTAGCCGATACAAGCCAGTTGGGTGCCATTCGATATTTTCAAGTTGTCGTATAGAACGATCGACTTCCGTGATTCCTCAGGAATTCATCGACGTTCCTTCCGATGCAGAGTGACCTGCGAAAATTCAAGTGCATTTAGTCCGATGAACGTTGTGAGGTATATAACGTTGAAAAGTTTCGTGCACAAGACCCCAAGACGATTTTATCGATCATTCATGCTCATGACTATAGAATTGATGTTAAAATAAAACGTTAAAGACTTTGCCCTATGCAACATTGATTTCATATCTTAGAGTAGAGGCACGACTGAATTCGAAGAAAGCTCGAGAGCTCTGTAAATTTTTGCATTTTTATTGCATCGTAATCAATATATATACAGCAATATAAGGCTGAACTGGTCAGTTTCTGAATTCACATAAGGGTATCGATTAACGTTACTTATTGTTCGCCCTTTAAAAACTTATGATTCATTCAATCGGTTTTGCAATGTATGCAAAATTGTATAAAAAACCAGAAACCAAAACTGTTTCATGAATTTCCTTGAAAGAACCGCTTCTAAAGAGCGATAGATCAACGTTATTCATTGTATTAAGTGTAATAGAAGTTGGTCATTAAAAACAATAATGCGACGCCCATTTTACAAGACTGCAATTACTTTCAAGGACGATCGGGGTCCTTTTGCTCAAGGTTTTATAGAAATAAAAAAAATTTACGATGCGTCTCGTAAATCAACCAAAAATAGAATCCGACTTGCTTGCAATACTATCTCTAAGAAGAGGCTGTATCGCATCAATTAATCATGAACACGATAACTATCAAAATATTTGTGACTTATATTTTGTCATCAAGTGCTAATTACGATGCTCGAGATTCCGCAGTATTTCCGAAAGTATCGTATCGTAAGAATTCATCGATAAGTTCAAATCGCTCGTAAAATGGGAAAATTACGTTTCTGAAATGTCAACATTTCTATATTGCTTTTGATTTTTCGCACCTATACACGATTATATTAGCTCAGGTGGATGGATTTTGCAGATCATAATCTTCGATTTTACGGTTCGTAAATTTATAAAATAAGATACTTACGAAAATACGCTGCGATTTTACAAGTACTTCTTCACGTTGGCAAGAAGACGTAACATTTGTTTTTTACGAATGGTGAAAAAAAAAAATACTAAAAAAACATTTTGTGCTCTGAAAGAAGACAAAAAGAAGACGATTCATTTACACGCTAATTACAAAATGAGTTGTTTCATTCAAACGAAGCCGGAAAGATCGATAACGTTTTGTAAATCGAAGCAATCATGACAGTTTGAAAGAATTTCGGTTGTAAGCTCTGTTTTAACGGTTAAAAAAGCGATACGACGCTGATAACGATTCGCGCGCGCGAGTCTATTTATTTTAAACGTGTATACATATAAGTCAAGCACATGTGGGTTTACCTCGAAATAAGCGTTGTGTCGTTGTGTGTATGCCAACTGCCACAGTAGTATGTAGTAGTAGTAGCAGTAGTAGTAGTCGTTAGTCACGAGCTGATCAACACGAGATAATCCAACGACTGCGCTGAGATAGGCGCCTGTACGTAAGAGATTCGAGCCTCCGATTTAGGTCGCACGCAAAACACAGTCGAAAAAATAAAGCAATGGTATATATTAAAGCAGGTGTGCGCGGATAATGTTACTACTTGGAATAGATGCGATGCAGAAAAGTAACGATTTACATTTTCGGAGTGCGCGTTCGATTGTTTCAGCGAGCAGCAGCAACCGGCCACATGCCTTTACTATGCGTCTCGGTTATTCGTTATCATCGGGCCCAGCGTTCGGCAAATCCCGCGCAAATAACTCGGCGTATCGTCTATTCATATACGGTCTTGATACAGCGAATTCCTACCAACTTGGCGATTTTCTGCGGCCGCAGTCGTCGTCGCGTGCCGCGCGCGCCGAGTATATATATACGAAATTGTTGTGCGCCTGCGCACGCCGCGCCGCCGCCGCTAGACCGAGACACTGAGAGTGAGACTCTCCGGGCGCTCGTCGGTGCTCCGAAGTTTGCGGTTCAGTTCGGAGCGCCATAGCCGCGATACATAGTAGGCTGGCTGGCACTTGGCTGGCAGGCAGGCAGCGAGTATTAAAGAGCGCGCGCGATGATTATGTTGTGCCGTGCCCGTGCCCCGTAGTTAAAGTAGCACTCGGCAGCAGCCTGTCCATGTCCGTCTGGAAATAAATTCGCTCGCGACTGTCAACCGTTGAAAGACTCTCGGGACTGTGTGTGTGTGTGTGCATGTGCAAAAAAGTGTGCGAGTGCGTGCGTGCGTGTGACTGTGCATGTGCGCCCCTCGTGAGCGAGCTCGACTCGACTCGGCTCTTGCATCGACGAGCAGCGAGACATATTTTTATACACAAAACACTGCACTGTGCACACTGTAGTATCGGATCGCTCGGAGCGCATATAGTATATACAGGGGCACGGCCGTGTGCGTGCGTGCGTGCGTGCATAGCAGCGCATCCCATGAATGCCTCTGTTATACACACACATACTCGCGGAGAGTCATGATTTGACCTTGTAGCAGTCGTCGTACTACTGCTACTACTACAACTATTACTCCTCTGCCGCCGCGGCTGCTGGCTATACCGCTGCTCTGCCTACTCCCATCGTCGTAGCAATTTTTGCTGGCTGCTGCTGCGTCCTATAGGCGTGTTGTGTTGTTGGTTCCGCACACGCTCGACACAAACAACAACTGCCATCATGACCGTGGACTTTGCCGATTATTTTTGGGTTCGTTTGGACGATCTCTCTACATATTCTATTACCGTTAATTCGCTTACCGCTTCTTATTACGCTCGGCTTGCGTTTCCTATAGCTTATGCTCGCGCGGACTCGTTCTGGTTTTTTTTTTCTACTTCGAATCTCTGCACTGCACTCGTTAACGATACGTACGTTTTCCATTTCTTCGCGTCTGCTTTTCTTCCTACTATCCAACGAGACTGCCTTATCTTACCCGTCAATTATTACCGTTCGTTACGTCAATTGAGCCTCATTGAATTATAAGCATTATCGGGGATCTTGCGCTGTCTGTCTGTCTCTGTTACGTGTATAACTTGCAGAACTGATTTCTTTCAATGTTTCTTCTTTCTCCAGGGTGAGAAGAACAATGGCTTCGACGTGCTCTATCACAACATGAAGCATGGCGTGGTGGCCAGCAAGGAGCTGGCAGACTTTCTTCGTGAAAGGTCTGTCATGGAGGAAAACAATTACAAATTGCTCAGCAAGGTGGCCAAACAAGCCAGCAACAGTAACAGTACACAAGGCACCTTTTCACCCATCTGGACGGCACTGAGGACAGCTGCTGAAAAGCTTGCCGGTCTTCACTTGCAGTTGGCCCAGAAAGTTTCTGAAATTATAAAAGACGTTGCCAAGTATTCCGACGAGCTCCACAAAAAGCATAAAAATGTGAGCCTTTTACGCTTACACGCGTTCTCTTTTATTTGTCTGCTACTGATACAGTTCTTATCAAAATCCGCCCACTTTGTGATTATGGTCCGACAGATAACAACCATAAGTTCTATTTATTTTAGGTGAAAGAAGAGGAATCCTCGACATTAGATGTAGTTCAAAATATACAAAGTATTACTATCACACTGCAAAAAGCTAAAGATACTTGTATGCAAAGAGGCCTTGAATTAGAAAAACTCAAAAAAGATAATGCCAGTCAAAAGGAATTGGAGAAAGCAGATATCAAATTTAGAAAAGCACAAGATGACTATAAAACATTGGTAGATAAGTATACCACTGTTCGCAATGATTTTGAAGCTAAAATGACACAAGCTTGCAGGGTATTTCAATTGATTCAATACTAATTTACAAATATAATTTTCTTTGTCATGCTAAATCTAATTTTTTTCTTTGTAAATTTTGTAGAGGTTTCAAGATGTTGAAGAATCACACTTAAGAATAATGAAGGAATTTTTGAACACTTATGCTGATGTTCTTCAATCAAACCACGAGCAGATTGGACAAGTTCACATTGACTTCAAAAGACAATGCTTAGACATGACAGTAGAAAAATTATTAGAGCAGTTTGTTCAAAGTAAATATACAGGATTTGAGAAGCCAGGTAATGGTATGTTCAATATTTGCTCAATACTTGTAGCACAAAAATAATGGTACAATGTGTTTCTAGGTATAATCGAATATGATCAAGTTTTGACGAGTATAGCTGAAATAACATCGCAAAGCAGCATAGACAAAAGCAACGAAACCCAGAACAAAGAAGCAACAAAAGGAGCCAACGGAGAGACCGGCGTAGCGGGTAACTTAGAGGCACTAAAAAAAACTCAAGGGGTTAAAAGGGAGGGTTATTTAACAAGAAGGGGCAGGTTCAGGCTTGATAAGGATAAGGATGAACAGAACGAAAGGGAGAGCGAAGGTGTAGAATCTTTGCAGCAGAGCAAAACCTCTCGACGTACCACTTCGCTGCTCAACCTTTTCATGTCCAACTCCCAGGGTAGGTGTATGACGTTTAATCAGTCGCACATGCTGCTATTTGTTCAATATTAATGTTAAATCGTCCGATGATCTGGATTACTGATCGTTAAATCATTGTAGGCGCAGGTCATTATTATTCGTTATGATCGAATCAACTCTTTCGAAATTGAATGTTGACGGTGACGAAAAAAAAATGTAACGCACACTTCATTATGTTTCACGGGAATCGTGCTGCTTTTGTGTTTTGTTGTTGGGTTGCTTATCGCGCCATTAATCCTTAACGACACACAATCAAACACGTGGTTTTGGTGGAAGTTGTTACAAACTTCAATCACGCAGTGACTTTCGGAATTTCATTCCTAAAATCACTGTATCATCGCGATTAAATGCAAAAAGAAACAAAAAGCAAAAACAAAAGAAAGAAAGCAATTAAACATCCGTTCTTGGTCAAGAAGATAAAAAGGAGAGTGAACGAAGAGATGAGTATTGTTTCAGAGAGGCAAAGACAGCAAGCCGGCTCTGGTTCAGCTCCTGTCACTCCTCAGGACAGTATGTCTCCTGGCGTGCCTACGGCAAGCATCTCGAGGAACCCCCTGAGAGGATCTAAGTGTAAAACTGCTTTCACTTGAAACAATTGGCATAAGCTCATTTTATTATTATTATAAAATGACATCATCACCATCATTTTATTATTATCATCAGCATTGCTTCTCTCTCGAATCTAATTAATTTCATTCATGTACCATGCGCTCACATTATAATCTGCACAAGTTCACGTTTCACGTCTCACTTTCTCAGTATTTTTTACTCACCGCTTACCATCGTCTCATGTGTATCACTTACAATATATATTTGTATTAATTATAATACATATTATAATTATTAACTTCGCTCGGTATTGTCTGTATACTTCTCAATATCTGCCTCTTTTTTGTATTCTCGCGTGGGTTTACTAACAAAATGGACGACGTCCATCGAATCATTGCGTATATAAATTAAGTAATTTTAACACTTCAATGTCGAGTCGAAACTCTTATCTACTGCGGGACTGCGACTTTTGTGTTATTATAATATCGATTACAGTTATGGCTACGTATCCAGAGGCACACGCGCTCGTATCTTATTATACTCTCGCTTGCTCGAGATTGAAAACAAAAAACAAAAAACAAAAATGAACTAACGGTGTGTCTCTGTTGATTCATTTCAGTGACAACGAATTTCGTTGTGTCTCCCCTCAGCTCTCTGTTAGGCAATCAACGTAGGTATATTACAACAGCAGCCGACCTGTTGCTGGCATTATATATTTGTTGAAATCTTTCAATTATTTAAATGCAATGTACATCGATCGCCGCTAGCATATATATAATAAATTTGAACCTGTTGAACATGTAGTTACGCAGTAGAATTGATTTCCGGTCACGAATCGTCAATTTTTTCTCGGTTCTTCGGGTCGCTTCCATCTTTTGCTCACATTATGGTTTTTTTTCTAATAATGAAAAAGAGTAACATCTGTACACGATCAGAGACTCAAGTCAGTACCGTACCACACACGATCCGTATACACGAAATAAAACACTCGATCATTCTATAATAGTGCATGATGGTTTATTCGCTCAATGTATTTTTTTGGTTTTTCATTCGACGTGAACTCGAGAGAAATAATTTGTTGTCAAAAGAAAAACACTAATGTATGTGCGTGTGCGTTGTACATAGATAAATATAAATGGTATATACTATATGACCTGTATAGGTGTGTCGTGGCATTGACACCCATAGAAAAAGAAAGGCAAATAGGGAGCTGGACTCGAATAAAAGTTGATGCACTGCGAAGTGGCTACTAACGAGGAGGAACCTCTGCAGGTGAGCCTCAAAGATCAACGAAACAAAAAAAAAAGCAAAAATTTCAAAGAAGCAAAAACAGACCTTTGCTCGCCCGTTCGCAATCTGTTGTGTTCCTTTTTTTTGCGCAGATCGAACGAGACTCTAGTCTTGGTTTTTTTAATGTCTAGAATTATTTATTTTCCAAGTGCCGAAGGGGTGAACAAAAAAAAAAAAAAAAATTACAACGCAGAGCGCGTCGCGTTCATCGAGAGTCCAGCATTAATCCGCGAACTGTACTTCATTTCTCGCGAATAATGCATAGAGGTTGCAGGTCGCAGAGCAGCAGACTCTTACACACACGCGCGCGTGTGGTTTCATTATTGGTGACGGGTTGTTTTTTTGCTCTACTGATTCTCATATCTTTGTTTTATTTCAGCTTTTATAATTGTTGTTTTTTCTACTTTTAATATTTTTCCACATATATTTACATTACTCTATGATTCAAACGACGATATTCTCCGGAAAGTTTATAGCGCCGCACGCTGTTGTCGCTGACGCCATGCTTCAAACGTGCTAAAACGTCTCTCTCATACTTAATTTTTTTGTGTAGACTCGAAAGCAACTGTGACTCGCTTGTATTTATCAACTTTAACTCTCACGAAGTATTTGCACCCTGTAAAGCACTAATATTTAATATGTATACTTTTTTTGTTAAAAAATGCGTGTTCGTCGGGTCGAGCGACTCGTGTCACTTGGAAAGTAAATTGACCATTATAGCTAATCTCTATCTTAGTAGCCGGTTCATTCGACGCTATAAATTATGGCTAATATAGTAAACATTGATAGAAAAAATTCATGTACTGCGATTTGTAACAATCATTATTACTTTAGTTCTGTGTATTGACACTATTTTATAACGTAGATGTAGAGAGTAGTAGAGAGTAGAGTCTTTGTTGCTATCTAGGCACGTGATGGTTGTATCTAGAAAAACAAAAACAAGCAGCGGTGAGAAAACGTTTTTTTGTTGACAATCGTTTTAGGGTTCCTGAGAAGCAGGCGCGAGAAGCGCAAGGAGAAAAAAGCCAAAAAGAAAAAGGACTCGGTCGAGACATCCGGAAGCAAGGACGAGGCGAAATCCGATACGTTAGTAGTACATAATAAACAGCACAAGAACGTAGCTAAATTTATTTCGACACAGCGCGGGCACACACGCTTTACACCTTATATTGTTTTCTTGCAGCGAGGACAAAGAGCAGGAATCGTCGCTGAAGAGCGCCGGTACGCCCACGCTCGAGGTCGACGAGGAGGGCTACTGCATCAAGCCCAAAGCCCCCGACGGCACCTGGGACAGCCAGGAGAAGAGCAACTTCTACTCGAGCTCGGACTCGGACTCGGAGGACGAGCGCGAGCGCAAGATTCGAGTCGAAATCAAACCGCTGAGGAACGGCGCTGGGCCCATGAGCGCGAGCGTCGACGAGCTCAGGGCCACCGTGGAGAATCTTTCGCTTTCGCCGGCGCCAGGTCTGATCGGTGGTAGCGGTCAAGGAGGGCTTTCGTCCTTGAGGGGTGGCACGCGCTCGGCTCGATCGACACCGGCGCCGACGCTGATGCCACCGCCTCCGTCGTCGTCGCTGCAGTCTACCCGCAGAGGCTCGCAAGCCACAAGTACCGGTTTCGATCCGGACGGACTGATGAAACGATCGCAGTCCGTATCGCAGCAGCTCAGCAACAACAACAGCGGCAGCAACAGTAAAACGGCCAACAGCGAGCTGCTGCTCAACAGTATATTCTCACCGAGCCAGACGCAGCAATCGAGCGCCTCGACGCCGCTGCAGAGTCCGCCGACGGTGTTGCCGATGCGCGCCCAGAGCACGCCGATAGCGGCGATGATGCCGCCGCCGCCACAGTCCGCGCCCGCGCGCACCGCCAGCTTCTTCCCCGAGGGCGATCTGTTCTCCGAGATGAGCGACGCTCCCGGGCCGGCGCTGCCGCCGAAGCAGCAGCATCAGCAGAGCTCCATAGCCATACCGAGGCCGCCGTCGCGCCGCGGCGACCCGGGCAGCAACGCCAGCGTCATGAGCAACAACACCCTCGGGCCCTCGGCCAGTCGTGGCCGCATGTCGCCCGCGACGATCAGCCGCGCGGACAGCGTGGCCAGCCTCGAGTTCCGGTCCGCCGGGGTCGCCGTGGGAACGTCTCGCGGACCCTCGCCGCTTACCATCGGCATGTCCGACACGATACCTCTTGCCGTGGCTTTTCACGAGATCGTGCACGCCTACTTTCGCGGCAGCGACGAGTCGCGTTGCCAGGTCAAGCTCGTGGGCGACATGATGCTCTCGTTCCCGGCGGGCATCGTCGCCGTGCTCACGAGCAATCCCAGCCCGGCCAAGCTGTCGTTTCGGTTGCGCAACAGCGGCCGCCTCGAGCGCCTGGTGCCCAACAGTCAGCTGGTCAACACCGTCGAGAGCCCCTCGGCGGCGGGCTCTCCCTTCTCGCCCACTTCGTCGTCGCAGCAGCAGTCTTCGACCCCGGACTCGTTCGAGTTCAACATGAGTGCCTTAACTGCGCTGCTGCGACGACAAGCCGAGCAGAATCCTCAAGCCGCCTATTTCAACGTCGACATTCTCAAGTACCAGGTGAAGGCCCGCGACGGAGCTGCCTCCTGTCCCTTTCAGCTCGTAGCCTACTGGAAGACTGGTCCCACGCACACCGATCTCAAGGTACTTGAATTCGCTCAAAATTGTGAAACGTTTTGGTTTTTATGATTATTTTTTTGTGCTCAGGTGGATTACAAGTACAATAGTCGGGCGATGGCCGCGCCGAATCCACTACTGAACCTCCAGTTATCGGTTCCCATTGACGGTGGCTTCCGATCTGTTCAGAGTCAGCCGAATGCCCAGTGGCTGCCAGAGTCCAATCGACTAATTTGGAAGTTTACCGAGCTCTCGCAACTCAGCGACGGTACTGGCGTCGGCTCGCTCAAAGCGCGCGTCGAACTGTCCAATGGTCCTGGAAATCAAGGTACCATCTTCACGCAGTTCAATTGCGAGGGCACCACGCTCTCGGGCGTCGAATTTGAACTTGCTGGGCCCGGTTACAGAGTGAGCCTTATCAAAAAACGATTTATATCAGGTATGCATTGAATGGACTACATTTTTGTTAAATGTCTCGAATACTGCATTATCATCTACTTTTTTTGACTTTTCAGGTAAATATCTTTGTGACGGTGACGTCGATCTGCGAACCCGATACGCCGCACCACCGAATATCGAATAATGATTTTGTACTCATGACTCTTGTGACAATTTGTAAAAAGATTCTGGTCGCAGATTCGATGTTGAAACGGATGTTTAATTTAAGTAGTCCGTTAAAATAAGACATTTCCCCAAGAATTCCATAGTGATTTATGTGTCGTTGTCGTTTTGAACTTTTCACCGATGTAAGATTAGCCTCTATGAAATTTCAGAATGTAGATATTTATGTATGTATAAAAGTAACAGCCGCGTATGTTCGCATTTTTTTTTGCGACTGAATTAATCGGAGGCTATACGATTGTAGGACCTTAACTTGTTTGTAAAAATGTATATTGTGCAAAGGAATAAATTTTTATACAACCTCCGAGTGAAAATATACTTCCATACAATTTATTTGTTTACACGATCGATAAATTTGTTCATTGTGACTGAATGAATTGTATTAATTATTGAATACATTAACTCAAGTGCCTGTCAACGTGTATTGTAAAATTAATGTTAACTATATGTGTCACAAATTCATCACGGCTACCTCCAACCGTTGACACTTGTGTGGACTAAATGCCGATGAATCATAACACTTGCATTGATTAATTTTGTGTAAGTTTTCAAGTTCTTGTAGTTTTAAGTTTTACGATTTTCAATTATGTCCAAGATTATCGCTGAAGTTTAGGATAATGAGTTTTTTAAGTTTCGCAGATTATTAAGATTGTTGCTTTATTGCTTGAAAAGCAGTAAAAATATTTTAATTTACCATCTTATTTAAGTTATTTATAGAACCAAAGAGTTTTCAAGCTCAAAGATTTAATTTATATATTAAAAGCATTCTCTCACACAAACATTACGTATAAAAAAATATATAAATATATATTATTGTTATAAAGGTAATAAATATAAATCATCGAAAATTTAAAATGCGTTACTTTTTTATTGATAGATTTTTACGCCATTAATGATGATGTGATATAATACACTGAATTATTTACTTATACTGCTGTGCACTTCCTTTGAAAGATGAGAAAAACACTTCCATTAATATTTCAATAATTATTTGATTTTGCATAAGATTATTGGAAATCATCGTGTTAGAACAAACTTCAAACATCATAGCCTCGGTGTATAAGGAAATACCCAGCATTTCCAGGCACTGATTTAAATATAAGATGAATTTCCATTTTCAAAATATTTGTTTCACGCCCACACGTAGTAGTAAACATCGTTATCAAAAAGAGATTGAGAGTAATTCATTATCTTATGTTAGACAATTACTTAGCATAAAGTAGGTCAATAAGAAAATAAATTTTTGTTTACAGGAAAGTGTTTTTACATATATTTCAGAGATAGGCTAGTCAGAGTATACAAACTGTGCAGCTAATCCATACAATTCTACGTAAATTTTATAGGAGTGTCTACATACCGAACTCTTTTTTTTAAATATAATCATTATCAGGAAGAAATCACAGTTATAAACAAGAGTGGTTGATCATTCTACAATTTTCCGTACATACTTATTGATTTAGTATTTTTTCATCTTTCCATGCGTAAATATACGGCAAAGTAAATGCGCGATCATCGCATTCAACCAAGTTACTAAAACGATACATAATAACATTATGCATGTTAAAATATATCATTCCTATCTAATAGGCATATCAACGAGTATAGACATGAATATACAAATAATAAAAAGAATGTACACGGTATAATAAAGAAGCGCACGCTCATATGAGTAATATGTATAAATGAGTCCTAGCAACGTGCGCGCATAATCATCATTCCAAAAGATGAACCTTACTTGTTACATATCTCGATAAACCTTAGGATTCATACAAAATAATCTAATCCATCCAAACAGCCTAAAATATCCACGATTGGTTATAACATTCATAACTATCGTAATCTTAGATTATACAACTCATACTGTATCGTCGAATACTTTTACAGTTTTAACATTAATTTCACAATTAGTTTTTACAGAAACAATCGCCGAATTTATTTTTCTAAATTTTTAACCATTTATTATTAGTTTTCGTAAACGTGTCGCTTACTCTTGCGACTACAATTTTTTCGGCAGAATTACCACCGTTACACATACATAAGATGTCTATATAAACGTGACTATAAATCTTTGAATAATTTTTAGTTTAGTGTAATACAAAAATTATGACTGTATACAGTTGAAAAAATAAGATAATCAAGAAGTCACTTGATTACAGCGCCGAAGCGCACGCGATTAGTCATCACACTTATTTATTTTATAATTGGCACGGAATTGAATCGAAATCTGCGCAAAACGAAATGATTAGTATAATGTAACACTTTTAATTTGTACAAATATCATTTTTAATCACGTAAGAAAAAGTTAACAAATGTTTGAGATCAAATCTAAACGTTTTACAAAAAAAGCGTACGATGTGTTCGTAGCACTTAGAGTTTCTCACAAGAATTAATCATTGTCGAATCGACAAAAATGAAGGTACAGCAGTGAATCTATTCAACTCTTTCATTTCTCAAACGGATATACTAGTGAACAATTTACAACGAGCAATACATTGAAGATATACGTGAGTGAGTTCGTGATACGTGTTTCGCTCGTCAATCCTCGAACAACGGATTGAACAAGCGCGTTGATTTACGAGAGGGCTCCCTTCAAAAAAGTAAATGTTTAAAAGGCAGTGTGATTTTTATTTGTAGCGTGCGTGTGAATTGATAAAAAAATCAGAAACCTGATTAGTAAAGTCAGCTCGATCATTTTAGTGAATCAATAATAAAAAAGACCGTAACGAAGACTGAAAAATGTTTTCACGGCTAAAGCCTTTACGGAAAAATAAGCTCAGCAAAGTTAGCGTAAAATAGTTACAGAGAATTTATCCGCAAAAAATGTCAAGTATTGCCGCTATTGCTGCTGAATAGATCACAGTCGGCTCTTACTTACATTTATCGAGCGAATCTTGTTTTTTAGACGGACTCGTACTCGAGGCCTCGGCGGAGCGTCTGTGCGGATCGTAGCTGTCGCAACAGATAGCCTCATCCTGAATCTGCTTTACTAGTTTGTTCACCGGACCGGAGGCAGGAAGTGTGGTTGTTTCGAACTCTGGCTTCGTGCCCGTTGGCGAGTCCTTCTCTTCGGCTATCCTCGGCAATTGACCCGAGCTCTGGGTACTGGCTATACTGATAGATATGCTGTGAGATATCTTCTGCGTGGAGTAATCCTGCTTCTCTTCGTCTTTCAACACCTGTTGCTGCTGCTGTTGCGACAATTGCTGACCACCGTTCCCTTTCGAGGAAACGATCTCACTCGACGCAGAATCTCCACTCTCTTGCTGGCTCGTCGTGCAGCTCGTTAAGCTCGAGCTGCTGGAAATCAACTGTAGCGAAAGTCGAGCGGATTGTTGCACTTTTGGGCTAGAAGAGCTGGAGGAACTACCATTTCCGCTGTTAGCAAGTGGCGAAATAGAAGTTTTGGATTCAGCAGAACGCGGGTGAAGTCGATCGGGACTGAGAGCGCGCCTCAGCAGAGGTGAACCCGGTTCGGCAGATTTGGGTCGACCGTAGGTTTTCTTCTGACTGTTTGGCGTTGACAATGAAGCACCTAAAAGAAATCAATAAGAAAGATTGATTTTTAATACATTCGTACTTCAGATAACTAACATAGCTCATACTCACCAGGACTGTAAGACTGTGTGGTATTTGAACTGCCAGGTTGATGGCCAGTAGGAAAAGCTAAAGGACTAGGACTGCGAGTGGGGCTGGCCGGTAGAGGCGAGGGGCTAGGAGTGCGAGCCAGCGGAGACAATGGAATGTGACCGACAGATTTCCGCCTGTTCGGCGAGTGAATGTTCTTCGCCGCCGTGTGCAGTTTGTGCTTCAGCCCGTGCAGCGTCGACGGTCGCTGGTAGTGCGCCTGTCCGCTGGTCGCCGCGCCGCTACTCAACGAGACGCTGGATCCGGGCGACGAGTTCGGACTGGAGCAGGGGCTCGAATTACCTACGTGCACAAATTTAATGTAATCATAGCGTTTCTCGGGGGACTGCGACGCTCGCGGCAGAGAATACCAACCGGTCGAGTGGTACGACTCCGAGCATCCTGGACGGTTGGCTCCGGTCGGCGGGGACGGACTGAAGTGTTGCGGCGAATTGCTGTCCGATTGCTGCGATCGAACGAACGCCTGGAATGAGCGAGTCGGTGTCATCATCGACGGTGAGCACAAGCCCGCGGCCATCTGCAATGGACGAGAGCGTTGATTATTAAATAGCCCAAGAAAGATCGCGTTGCAACGAGACTTCTTTCGGTTCATCGCGGATTATCGAGTGTGATGGCGTACAAAGTAAAATAGAGTGTAGAAGGAAAAACAAGCGATAAAACAAAACATAACGTAAGCGTACCATGTGTGATTTGTTGTTGCTGGACATATTAGGTGCTGACATGGGACAACTGATAGTTAATGGCTGTAAACGAAATTATAAAAAATGTAAAAAACGTGTAACCTTCGAGCGCCAGACATTTTTGATGTTTGATAATTGCAGCTGGTAATACACAAATGTCAGGTAAATTATCAAGTAATTAAGTTGATAAAATAATAAAATAATAATAACGTATAAATGATCTTGTGCGTACGTGGGTTACAAGTAAGAATAATCAACGTTAACTAGTGCGCTTCGTCGTTACCTGTTGCATCTCGGCACTGGCTCTTTTCGAGCTGATCTTTCGGAAGAGCGAAGTCTTTCGCTTCTTGTCAGAGTGATCGCGCTTCTGACGCCTCTGTCGCAGAGCTCGTTTCGCCATCTTGCACTGGGCCGGCTCGCGCTTCCTGCCGCCGCTCTTGATGCTCGTGTTCTCCAGCGGTGTGCTTCGCAACGTCACGTGGTCGCCTCCGCTCAACATGAGCTGCAGTACTTGCGTGTGATACAAACCTTGTACCGGTTCACCGTTGATGTGGGTGATCAGATCACCTGGCCGCAAACCAGCTTCGAACGCTGGACTTGATTGATCCACAGCCTGTGTTTAAGAATTCATTTTAGTCTTGGTTCAACACAACGTCAAGTTAGAAATTATTTTAGGAATTCATTACCATGACTAGATGGTGCATAGTGTAGAAATCAGTATCACCGTAATACACTCGTATCGTGTGCACCGTGAAGCCGAAACCATTGGGTCCGCGCCGTATAATAATGGGAGGTTTAAGGTTGGTAACCAAAGGACTGAGCTCACGACAAGGCGAGGTGTCACGTGAAGATGCCGTAGATGAGCCACCAGGAGACTCGATCGCTTGAGTGGAAGTCGACGGTTCAACTGATGAAAATATACAAACCGATTAATAACGAATCTTTGACGAAACAGAAATTAAAATAACTTACATGAAAAGTCGCAATTAGGTATGACTAGGGAGAGGCCACTCGTAGATGCGGATTTAATGACCGAGCGCGTTTTAAGTTTGCCACTCGGTGGCATGGGTCCAGCGGCACTGCTGGCCGTGGCACTAGTCGACTCGTAAGAATCAGTACTAGAGTTGTGCTTGTCCTCGACGAGATCCTTGCTCGACGCGCCCAGATCGAGTTTCGGCAGCTTGTCTCGGGAATGAATGTGACGTTTACGCTGGATCTGAGGACTGATGTCGTCCGACTCAGTTTGAGAACTTTCCGGTGTACTGTGATAGCAGGTCTTCGGCGTGGGCGGCGTTATCCGTCTCACCGTCATCATCTGAAACTCGACGGGATGGTCGCTCGTCGCGGCGTGCTGCTGACTAGCGGCAGATTTGCCTGGAGAATTTTCTATCGACAGGCTCGGTCTGACGAGCGCATGAGATTGTACCGGTGTCTGCTGTAGCTGTAGCTGCTGCTGCATTGCACTAGACGGTTTCGTAGCACCTTCCTCTGCCTTGTGCGGACTGCTATGCGCGGTAGATACTGGAGAGTTCAAGCTGAGTTGAGCGACCGTACGTTCAAGTTCGTTCCGGAAAAGCTGCTTCTTCTGCGTGTCCGATTCTGGATCGGGTGGCCGCGTCTGAGATATCTTTCGCGATTGTGGCGAGTACGACGAGAACGAACCGAACAGCGGGGAATCGTCGGTGTCGTCGGTGTCGTCGCCCAGATCGTGATTGTAGCGATCCATGCGACTGTCGAAATAGCTGGTGTCCTCTTCGTTCGACAATTGGGGAACGAATTCGGCCTTTTGCCTCAACAAACTGTTCCAGTTCACGCCGTAAAAGTACGGATGATCTTTGACCTCGTGCGAACCGCCCGTACCGAGTCGATCTCTGGGACTCTGCTGCAGAAGCGCGGTGATGATGTCCTTGGCTTCGGGCTGAACCGTAAAATCCTCCTCGTCGGGCCACTCGATGTCGTCGTTCACGGTGTGCGCGAATAACTCCTCCGGCGTATCACCGAAGAAGGGCACGCAACCGATCAAGAATTCGTACAATATTATACCCATTGACCACCAATCGACGGGTTTGCCGTAGCCCTGACGTAGAATCACCTCAGGTGCGATGTACTCGGGAGTTCCAAATACTTGCTTATCCGAAAACTGTCGGGTATCCTTTTCAATGTATCCCTCGTACAAGTTGGTAGCAACTGTAAGACAAATAGAACGTTGTTAATCGTTTTCTATTAAAAAATGGTATTATAATAAATTTATGTACTCACGTGACATGAGACCCATTTTACTCAAACCAAAGTCGGTTAACTTTATGTGTCCTAACGCCGTGATGAGCAAGCTAAAAACATATATAAATTAAATCACTGCATAACGAGTTGTTATAATAATTTTTTTTCGTGTCAATTTCACTTACTTATCAGGTTTGAGATCCCTGTGAACAATCCCATAACTGTGAAGATATTCAACTGCCAAAACAGTTTCAGCAAAATAAAATCTGGCCATGTCGGGAGGTAGAGGACCGATATTTTTTAATAAACTAGCACAATCACCACCTTCGACATACTCCATAACCAAACACAAATGTTTCTGCAATACAAAAATTGATATTCAAGAGACTTATATTTCAATTTCATTTTTCGATTTTTTTCTCAAAAAAAAAACAACATACCTTTGTTTCAAAACTGCAATACATGGAAACTACAAAAGGATTGTCTGTAAAACTCATGATGTCTCTTTCCGCAAACACTTGTTCCACTTGATTTCTCAGCATTAAATTATTCTTATTAATTTTCTTCATAGCAAAACGCTGCCTACTCGACTTTTCTTTAACCATATACACAGCTCCATAAGCACCATTGCTGATAAGTTTCAGTATTTCATAATCATCTTCGCAGGGTATTCTCTGCTGAACTTGCTTATCTTCATCAGACTTGTTAGAGGTACAATTATCTTCACGCTGTTGACTTTCCGCGGAGTTATTTGGATCCTCTAATTTATTCATTTCTTCTTGAAGATCAATAAATTGCAAATCGAACCTTGATCCGGACCAGACTTTTTTCTCCAACTTACCTGATATAGGATCGCGGTTCAATGACAATTTATTAATGATGTACTGAGGTATATCTTTTTCAATGCCGATCGTGATTTTAGCTTGTCCTTCGGCTTGCTCGAGGAGATGGTAAAATTCTTCTGGGTCGAATTCGAGACACTCGAGCAGACGAGCAGGTCTTGATATGATCAGAAGCAGTTTCTTAATGAGACCAGTTAGACGCGTTGCAGCTTCCAAAGATTTTTCTCTTGTCTACAGAAGATAAAAGAAATTGAAACAATTTAAAAATAGTAACATTCGAGGCGAGAAGAAAGAAAGCCTTTATATCTTACCTCCATCAGCAGACGCTCGAGGTTCTCCGTCATCTCGTAGAAGTAGCGCGTGGTAATGAGCTTCTCTTGCGACTTGTGCAGACAGTCGCGCGCCATCTCGATGATCTGGTGATGAACAAAGCGCAGAATCGGCAGCGAGTCCGGTGCCATTTGCGACACGACGTCGTACTCGTCGACGTCCTTGTTATCGTTGATGAAGCTGGTCAGGCGCTCCTCCATCTGCTGGGTGGCCTTGGGGAAGCGCTCCTTGTACATCGTGTTCATCATGACGATCTCGCTGTCGAGGATGGGCGAGCGACTGGGACTGCTGAGACTGCGCGAGCGCGGCCGATGCAGGGGCGAGCGACGACCCGTCTCGTTGAGCTCGTCGAGGCCACCGCCGCCTTGGCCTTGGCCGCCGATCATGTTACCCATGTTCGGAAAGCCGGGATGGACTCCGGAGCAAGGCGTGCCGGGTTTGGAGAAGTGACAGGACAGCATGCGGAGCTCGTCCTTGGTCGGCATCATCGGCAGCTGGTGCAGGCGCTCTTGACTCGAGCACTGCGACGAAACGTTGCTCGATCCAGGAGTGGTGCCGTAACCGCTGGAGGGTAAGCTCGCCACAGACCATCGTCGACCGTCACCGGCATTAGTCGTTCCCACGCTAATTCTGTAAAATCAGTATCATAGTTTTGTTATCTGTACTGGGAAAACTATAAAAACTTGTATCAACTTTTTTTTTATTTAACTTACCGCTTGATAGGAACGAAAGCAAAGTGAGGACTGGATGACATGCGAGGGCTCTCCAAAGGACTTCCTGCCACCGGCATGAATGCTGCGAAAATAGAAGAGAAAATTGCTCGTCAATTTAATTCGCTTATGATACTGTGCGTGATACGCGTGGCTATAAGTGAGACTTGTATTTCGTATATGAAAGACCGCCGGCCGGCTAGTGACCTTGTCGCTAGACCTTGAAAAACGCTGTGCTCAGCAGCAGTAGCAGCTCAGGAGCTTGCCAACTTTTTTTTACGAAATCTTGTCACTAGACCAAAACTCTACGAATATCGCGTACACACAAAGTGTATAAACTAATGACTGTGGGAGTCGTATTACTAAATTACGAATGTATTTAATAATTATTCGCACTCGCGCTTACCTGACAAGGGCGAGTGACAACGAGGTAAAGTTGGAGACGTCGTTGAAATGAAAGATTTTCTGTGAGATGCTTTGGTCGAACGACGTGGGACGTTGAAATCACGCTGAAAATTTTATGATACGCATGAGATAATGTTTTTTTTTTTATCTTCATTTAATTTATTGATAATTGACAAGTGATTTGATGTACGTACCATGTGAATAGAAAGAGATGGAGCTGACTTTCCAAATGCAGAGTTGCGCATTCGAACTAGATTTGAAGTTTCAGCATTACTCACTAAAAAGTCAAACCATTGGTTATTAATGAATTATATTCATATTTTCAAGTTTATGATAATTCATAAAATTGAATCATTTGAAATAAGTATAGCAAAAGGTTGCTAAAATAGAAATTACCTGTTGGAACTGGAGCCTCCTTGCTCTCTCCCATGGACGTAGCTGGTTTTGTCTGTTGTTGCCTGTCAGATTCCATTTTTCCAGCTACTTGTTCCGACTCTGCTTGATCGAACACCAGAACTCGGGCCGAGTTGCTGTGCATTCGCAGACGAGGTCTGCTTGGTCGGTTTCTAGGTTGATCCATCGTTCCAACACTTCCTACAGTAAGTGTCAGTTGTGAGTGTCATTAAAGCCATATAAATATGGAACAATGGTCAACGGCACTGGGTGGTGGGTGTTAAGGATGATGACGAATATGGAGCTGAGAGAGATGCTCTCTGACATTCAGTAAGTAAACATCAGAGTTGTGTATTGCATAATGTAATTGTTTGTTAACAATTGGCTACTGGGTCAATGCTTATTGACGATGCAAAACATTGATCACAGCATTGTGAACTTGTGCAAGCTCCAAAAAGAGGAGGCAATGCATGTGAGAGAGAGCGAGTGAGAGGTGTGTATATGAAGGCTACCTGGCAGTTTGCCCAGAGTAGCAACACAGCGTCAGTAGCATGCGTGGTTTTGTGTATACTTACGACGCGGCCAAAAAAGCGCGTCAACGAGATAGGCAAGTAGAAGAAGAAGAAGATCTGAGAGAGAGAGAGAGAGAAACACGCGTGGGCAGGACGATGACTCGTGCCTCGACGACGACTCCGCACCACACGCAGGTGTGTTAGGAGCTCATGGCTGCTGCTGTTGCTTCTTCTGCTGCTACTGCTGCTGTTGCTGCACAGGTGGATTCCATGAAGGACAACAACATGGCTCACACAGGCACACACACTGGGTTATGGTTCACACTTATTACACGCGAATCATCGCGAGCTTCTGAACGGCAACGCACATGGCGTTGCACACGAGAGAGAGAGAGAGAGAGAGAGAGAGAAAGAGAGACCTCGAAGTTGTCTCTGCGTTATAAATACATACACACGTATCGCGCACGTATATATATAAATCAATTATAATAATGGATGGTGTATTATAATAGCAACAGTTGTGTGTCTGCTTCGCACGGAGTGTGTTCACGCGGTGCGAGTTTGTGTATCGTTACATATATACAGCCACAACACAACGATGGTTGGCGCTTTATACTATCTAGCTACTGCTGCGCTGCTGCTCCGCAATAATAATCGCCGCGACGTATCGCAACAACATGCTGCTGCTGACGATTACTATTAATATATTTATTATTTGGGGAGAGAGAGAATATGTCGCGACGACGAGCAGGCGGATCGCTCACTACACGTATACACCTATATGTGTATATGATAACCCGCAGCGGAGATTACAGGTATACATGCACGAGACTATACATATATGGTTGCGCGCGCGGTTAACGCCGAGTGTCAGACTGCCGAGTCTCGCTCGTTGTCGGTGGCATGCGCGCGTGCAGCCAGCAGCAACAGCAGCGAAGCGAATGTGTCAGTGTCGGAGTCGCGCGCGTCTGCGTGTGTACGTACTCCATATATACAGAGAGAGAGAGAGAGAGAGAGAAAGAGTCGAGTATGACGTCAGTAGTGTTGACTGCAGGCCCGTAGGGTGCGTGGCTGCTGCTGCTACTGGCGTCGCCGCCGCTATGAGCTGCTGTCGAGAGGCTCTCTATGTAGCTCTTCTCTCTCTCACTCTCTTAGTCCAGTGAAAACTTACATGAAATTGCATTTTTTTGGGGAGAGATGAAACCTAGTCTACTTTATGTTTTTGGGTGTGCTGAATTCATTGCCGATATTATTTTTTACCCAAAACATCAGCGTCAGGGTGAAAATCGAGGGTGAAAGAGTTTTTCGCTGATATCTCGCGAACGAAGCAAGATACAGAAAAACTAATTGCACCAATCGATTCCTCGTGATATTTTACATCGAAAGACACTTTAAACTTTTCAAGTGTCAGTGCAAAATTGTTCACAATATTGAAAAATTAGTTTACAGCGGTCGGAGGTAGTGGGGGCCGGCGGCGCCGCGCTAGTATAGCTATATATGTCGCTTCCCCTTCGCTGCCGGCCCCCACTACCGCCGACCGCTGTAAACTAATTTTTCAATATTGTGAACAATTTTGCACTGACACTTGAAAAGTTTAAAGTGTCTTTCGATGTAAAATTTCACGAGGAATCGATTGGTGCAATTAGTTTTTCTGTATCTTGCTTCGTTCGCGAGATATCAGCGAAAAACTCTTTCACCCTCGATTTTCACCCTGACGCTGATGTTTTAGGTAAAAAATAACATCGGCAATGAATTCAGCGCACCCAAAAACATAAAGTAGACTAGGTTTCATCTCTCCCCAAAAAAAATGCAATTTCATGTAAGTTTTCACTGGACTACTCTAGCCCAAAGGCATATAAAGCATAAGCAACACACTTGTGCTATATATATATTATAATAGCGATGCACATGCGCTATTATCGATTGTATAGACCTCGGACTCTCCGAGCCTAGAGAGCGGAGAGAGAGAGAGAGAGATAATCTTCCGAGCTTCGAGCTCCGAGCTCCGGATGAGAGAGAGAGAGTAAGTGAGTGGGATGGAATAGGAAATGAGAAACTGGGGAAAGAGAGAGAGAGAGAACTGATAGACGTGCGATAAAAGCTCTCTGCTCTGCTCGGATGCCAACGAAAGCTCCGTATTTTTATTTATATGTCGGAGTTGCGTGGGTCTCTAAATGTTATGTCTACTGTCTGCTGTCATATATAGGGGGAACTAACCCAGAGCCGGATGGCCAGCAGAGGCTCCCGCGCGCACCAGGCAGGGAACTAGGGTGGCCGCCTGCTGAGAGTGCTGGGGGCTGCCCAGACTCAGCCCGATGTGGCTGGGGCGCAGATGATGGTGGTGCGCGGGCGAGGTGTTGCACGAGGCGCCCGACGGCAGACCCGGGGGCAGACGCAGCTCCGTTGGCGCCGTCGTGGTCCCGGGGAGAAGCGACTCCTTGCCTTTTGTTGCATAGCCGGCGGTGGTGGTGGGTCTGACGACGACGACTCCTCGCGGCTGCGGAGGTGGCTGCACTGCTGCTGCTGCTGATCTGCTCGACGACGATGACAGCTCTGACGGGGCTCGCTTTCGGTGGTTTCGCTCTTGCAATCACGAAGTCGCGCGGCGCACACGCGCTCCAAAAGCTTCACAGCAACGATACACGGGGGCTGGTGGTGCACTACAGCAGCCAGATCTCGTGTACGACACAATTGCGCTCGTACGTTTACGATTGCGAGCCCGCGCGCGAGGTACAGACACGTGTGTTGCCGCAGCCAGCCCGCGTCACTCGTCACACAGCAAGCTCGCGAACGCACGAAAAAGCTCGCTCGCTCCCGAGGACGTACTATCACACGCGCTACCTAGTATCACACATACACGCACACACCGCTCGCTCGTGCTCGTCCGGAGTCGCGCGCGCCGCCCAACCGACTGCCTATATCGCTGCTGCTGCTGCTTCGTACGCTTATAGGTATACGATACGCGAATCTTTGCTCTATCCGTACAACTATCCCAGTCGGAGCGCGCGCGCGCGCCAATATTATTATGCGTGCGCCCGTGTGTAGGTGTGCTCGTACCACTACTGCTACTGCTACACACCAGCAGAGAGTGAGAAAGAGAGAGGAGTATATAATCGTCATTTTCGGAGTCGGAGGCCGTTACAAGCCGTATAATATGCCACTTGCGCGCAATAATAAACTCATTATATTAATCTCGCCGCCGAGCCTATACTTATATACCGATTGACCGAATTTTATGCAGACGCACGTGCTTGCGTTGATACGTGCCTACTATATATATATGTGTGTGTATTAAAAGCTCAGCTTTTATTTTGTACGCAAATGTTAATTTATTCGTAAATAACAATATACAAATTTTGTATACTATCGTTAGTTTATACACCTATATTTATAAAAACTAGATCTTATTTACAAAATACATTCGTTCATGTACAAAATCGTCGTTTTTTTTAGCAAAATATACAAGCCTCGTAAATTTTGTCACTTATTAAACGCGCACTTTTTTTTTAACCGTAGTCGCCGTCGTTGACGTTCGCTCGATCGTTACTTACACCATCGAGCTCGGTCGAGTTATTACCGCTCGGCGAAACGGTGTTAGCATTGGTATTGGTTGCAGTGGCCAATGCAGCCGCCAATCTGACGGACAACAGATGCCTGAATTCCGAATCCAACAGAGCATCGCCGTTGACGTTGTTCGACATGATCACCTCCCTGGCGAGTCTTCGTAAACACGCCTGTCGCGTCAACGTCGACGATCCGTTACTATTATTATTCGAGCCTAAGATCTGCATCGTCGTCGCGATGTTGCTGTTGTTCTCGGGACATCTGACTTGTCGCGTGGCAGCGGTGCGACTGTTGTCTTGTTGTTGTTGCTCCGGTACCAGGACGTCGCTCATGCTCGGATTGACTCGTCCGTTTCTATTGTTGTTATCCATCGACGACGAATTCGAACTATTGTTCACGTTCGATCCGCGTTCCGAATTATTATTATTATTATTATTATTATTATTATTATTATTGTTATTGTTATTGACCGGTGCTCTCTGATTATTGCTCGACGGGCTCTGGGGATGATGAGGAGGATTTGGGAAACGATTCGATGCCGATCTTCTCGAGAGCCAGAGGGATCTTCGCCTCGCGTAGGGGGACAACACTTCGTGGAGCGTATTTCGAACCCGGACCGACTGATGCTCTCGTTGCTGCTGTTGTTGATACGCGCTTCTTATCAATCTACCCTGAGTTGAGCCGGAAAATATCATGTTTAGTAAGGCTCTGCTGCTCTCGGATACGTTGGATTGCGTAAGAGCGTTATGAAGTCTGTTGCGCAGAGCCAGATACATACAAGAATTATCCGCGTTGCCTCTATTCATCGACTCGTAATTCACTGGGCTAAACGATCCTCCTGCAAAATTACAATCACTCAATTTACATCGTTCAAAAGATGTGAAAAGAAAAAAAAACGGAATATGTCATTGATTTTTTACCTGTAGTCCTACGTTGATCCGGCAATGATCCTTGGGCACTCTGAGAGATCGTCGTATTATTTTCATTGGCATTCACAGAAAAATCATGATTTTGTAGTTGGTATAATCTGCTAAATACACTATGGCGATTTCTATCGGCTGCACCGCTGACAGATAAATAACTTACCGCGCCGGCCCGGCCATCTTCGTTATCTATTTCATCCATACTCACGTCGTCTCTCGCATCATTGCTGTCCTCGCTCGTGGAAGAATCCTCGGACAGTTGATTGTCTCTGTGAATTAATCGTCTGAACTCGGTTGGACTGATATTGCTGAGCTGCGTATTCATTCTTCGCACGTACAGTGGAAGATCTTCATCCGCGGAAGGGCCCCTTCCCATCATTTGAGCTTCCATTGACTCCTGCAATGAAAATTCAATTTGAATTATTGATTTCTCTTTGTCTCAGATATTGTAATGATGATATTAATGAGTATATTATATTTACCTGCATTGTAACAAATCTTGTAAAAAAATTTTCTCCTCTAGTACTTCCTAACAATGCTTCTATTTGTGCCATTTTAGCAGCTGCAGCAGGTGTGTTGCATAGAGCATCTAGTTCAGCTTCATCTCTGTTTACATATTGAGGCACAACTTGTTCGCCTCTTGACTTATCATCAACTGTATCAGGAACTCTGTATAAAGCAATTACAGATTCTAAAGAATTTAATAATTGAGTGGCAGTCAAGCGTTTTTGTGGTTGAAGAGCTAATAAATTTTTTATAATTCTTTTGGTTTGATCAGAAACTCTGCTGTCTCTGAAATATGAATATTATTTATAAATGAAATTTTAAATTAGTTTGGGCACATAATATTTATAAAAAACATCAATTATGATCTACTTACTCAGGTATAACATAACTCACTGATTTGATTTGATTGAACAGCTCAGATGGAGTGTTTTCATAGAATGGAAATTGTCCGTACAGCATTGTGTACAACATGACTCCCAAAGCCCACATATCAGCAGGTTTACCAGCATAATGTTTTCCAGACAAAACTTCAGGAGCAATATAGGCAGGCGATCCTCTTTGGTCATAGAGTAAGTCACTTGTAGCAGACTTATGCTCACCAAGGCAAAAGTTTGTTATTATTGTCTAACCAAAAAGACGAAAAATTAAGAAACATAAAACCATTAAATCTTTTTCAAATGTCATTCTTAAGTGATTTCTTACTTTTCTCTGGCGTATATTATAAACCAAATTGCCTAATTTTAAATCTCTATGAATGACATGTTTAGCATGAAATGCAGCTACTGTCCGAACAGTATCATAAAATATCACAAGAGTCTCTTTTTCTGATAACTTTTTCTGACTAATTACATAATCTTGTAAATTAATGAAATTTTCACTGTCAAGGTTGAAGTCATGATTTATCAAACAGTCGAGAACCAGACATAATCTTTGCTTTATTTTTCCTGTATAAACACGCTTCTTACGGCGCTTTGATTCAACCACTTTTTCATCAATGGCATAATCCTGTAAAAATAATTCATTTAGCATTTGATTTTTTTGAAAAGAATCAGTAGAAAATTGTTAGTATACTTTTTTTAAATACCTTGAAAAATTCATGTTTGTTTATAACACCTTGCTCATGTTCTAACAAGCCCAAAATAGAGTGCTCTGCGTGCATCAGCATTTTACCTTGCCGATCATCTTCAGTTTCTTGATCGAGAGAATCTTTGAGAGTTAATATTTTTAAGGTATAACACTTTTTAGTAACTTCATGTCTGGCTAAACACTGCACGATACTATGAACGGGCTGCGGTCCAACTACCGGTCCCAAGATGTAAGGCCCAGCTTTTTTAATAGTTTTCCTAGATACCCTCGAACCAGCTTTTGGCAATTTTGATTCTGCCATTCCCGGGGCTTTGCCCACGCTGTTCATAACAATACTGTTTTTAGTATCTGGTTGTCTGTTTAAATCAGCGACAAAATGTATCGAGGCTCTGGAACAAGTTCTATCGTCCAATTGACTGAAAGCTCTGTCTTGCATGGATACAATATTCAACGAATGTGCCGCGGATGCTCCATCAGTATCCATTTGCATGACATCTTGATTCATGTTATCAGCCATGATAATAAGCTCGTTCAATGAATATTTGACTGATAATCTGGAAATGATTAATAATTGACAGTTACCGACAGAGAATTCGAAGATAAGCCTCGAACAATCGATTGTATTGTTGTTGACTGCGAATGGCAGTAAACGTGAAAATTCTGCAATCGAGATAAAAAAGTACTCACTTAATATTAGGCGCGCCAGAGATATATTTCGTCAGCTACACGGTCTGCTGATGTAATACGGGCTGTTATTGTGATTAATGAGCAACAAGCCGCAACGATTGTCAATATAGCGCCGAATAAGACGAGGAAATCCACATTATAGCCCCTCTCTCATCGACTCGATTTGAACATTATTATAAAATCACACCTGTCAGCTGTCATCTTACACGATTGTATGGACACGAGCGAGTGTGTAGGTAAGTACACCGTTATAAAAGGTAAACAAAAATGCTCCGAGGCCGAGCAAAATATTATAATGCGTGTCGAAGCATGGCGTTACAGTAGACACTTCTGCTGTCATCGCGAGTTCTACAATGAAAATATTGTCAACGGTACTCGCAGCAGCGGCTGCTGCTAGACGCCGAGCACGATCGTCAGCGCCTCTAGGTGTAGCACCTGCGGATTGGAGCAGCGGATTCGAATTGTGCCCGGCCGCCGGTAAGTAGCATAAACTGAAGTACAACAATAAATAATTATATTTGTCGATTGTATTACAGTTCTGGATTTAATAACGACAAATGATAATTAAAGCAAGGTTTGCATATAACATTTACTTTACAAATTTTAATGTTTACTCATTTGTCTTTTATCCATTTTATCATAAAGTATAATAAAAAATATTTCATTTTATGCTAAAAGAAGTAGAGTTTATTCAATAGATTTTTTTCAAGCATATTTGAATTTTGTTCATGTGACAATGAAAATGTTCCATTGGTATGCATTCGATGCCAATGCCAGTAAGATATTATATTCAATTGATTTCTGTTACAGAAAGTTTGAAGAGTCCAATCATCAACGAGTATTAAGCGAAGAAATATGTGAAGGAATGGAGGATTCGGTAAATAATAATTTACGTAATTTATAGTGGAGGTACTTGAACAACATTGAATTCGATCGAGAGACTCGAGTAAATGTTTTCTATAGTAAATTAATTGCAGTATTTTTAAATTTATTACAGGATGTTATAAATTCATGCAAATACACATCAATGTAAATTACGTTATATTTTTTTATGTGAACTTTTCAAAGGATTACATGCACTTTTTTTACGGAACTTTGCTGAAGTTTCATCTCTAACAGCTACTTATTGATTAAAAAAAATAGTTGTACGTTTGTAAACGAAAGCGTAAAAATTAATAATTTAAAGCTTGTTTTGTATAATCGTTACATATACAAAATTTATCGTAAATGAAAGATATCATATTTTTAATTCAGAGCTTTTCGATGTTATCAACAGATGGAGTGTTGTGAATTCGCAAGTGGCAAAAAAATGTTCCATCAGTATAAATACAAAGCACGTTCGATAACGCGATCATTTATAAATTCGTAATCATTTATAAATTGGTTCTTATGATTTTTCGCTTAAAAATGCAGAAGAACCAAATATGGAAACTTGGCTACTCTTTGGAAGTAGATCGGCACGACGTCCGTATTTCCCGCTCGGTTCATTTTGACGTCGTAATATTTCGAAAAGGTCCTTCTATAATGTCTGGGTAATGGTCGAACATTAAATGAAAAAAAAAAGGAAGGAAGCAAAGCAAATAAACGAGAAATTGTGATTGCAAAATTTCAAGGGTAGCTTTGAAAAAGGGCGAAATAAAAATACAGCTGCAGCAGAATGAAAAGAGTGTATAGTCGGAAAAACGTGGTTGACGATGGCTTCTGCTGCTGCTTCTGCTGCTGCTGTAAATACACAGCACAGTGTATATACTTGTGTTTGTTCACAGTACACACAGTGCTGCAGTACATATTATATACGCAGATACGTTTTACACGCCGTAGTACAGTAGTAGTCAAACACTCGTCGCTCTCTCTCTCTCTCTCCATGGCTTTGAGTGAAATATCCAAATAACATGTTTGGCTGCTGCCACCGTCTGTTGAAGCACTACACGCTATTACATGATAATATTTCAGTCGACAGTCGTCGTGGTCGTCGAGATCGGTGTTATTTGCCGAGTGTCGCGCGGGCGCGCAAAGCACGAAAAAGCTTTGCACGTATGTATATACGCATTACATTATATCGAGCAGTGCGTTTACGCGATATACAAGGGTGCTGTAGCGTTAAAAGGTACTCTCGTTAATGACTGTACCAAGGTTCATCTTTTGTGTTTGTATAAAATGGGTCACGCGATGGGCTTGTTAAGAGGAAAAAAAAATAAATAAATAAGTGCCAGCTTCGCGGAAAAAGATCCTCGTCGCGGGCCGATGTATATTTTGTAAAAGCGAGAGTTTCGATCGTTTGCCGAGCTCAAACATACACCGGAATCGCTCGATAACTCCGAAATATTCTATTCTGGCGAAAGCTCCAGAAGACAGCAAATAATACGCGCGCTCGCGAGTTCGTGCGCAGTTCGCGAGCTATATAAAACAATGACTTGCGGAGGAGCTTGCGGCCACTTGGACGTCGATTAGCGCGATCTGCGTTTCTAATCGGTCTGTGGGTGTGTGTGTGTGTGTGTGTGTGTGTGTGTGTGTGTGCGATCCAGCACAAATCCTTTCGATCAACAAGTAGTACGTCACTAAGTTATGTATATATATAGGCATTGCAGCGTTTCGAGCCACGCGAAACTGTCGCACCCCACCGCGACGCGAAAAATCTTTGCACCAAGAAACCCGAAATTCCTGCGCAGGGAGGAGGAAAACTGACGTATACGGAGACACGACAGCGCAAATACGACGCGCTACTTTACGAGCGAGATCGTAAACTTCAGCCCACACGCATTATTATGCATGTATACGATACCTGCGTGCAAATTTACATACGGCAATAAAACGATGTAGAGGCGATACAGCGCGAGAGAAAGAGAGGAAAAGAAAAGCTCGTCTGCGCGGCCGATCGCGAGCGAGCTGCACCGCAACGCGGGCGGGTATCCGGTTTTTTCGCGCGCGCACCGCACATATACATAAGCTATTTTTCGCTCGCGCGCGCGAAAAAGCTCGATCCTTCTTGTTCTCCTCCCTTACTCCCTCGCACAGCAGCGAAGAGAAAACAAGCGTTCCTCTCTCTCTCTTTCTATGTACACATAATATTTTACGACGCGTCAAAAAGCACGAACCGTACATTATATATTTTGTACATGTTTATATGTATGTATGCCCTTGCACGCGTTTACATATGGTTTTTGGCTCGCGCGCGTACATAGTATTTTCTTATCGGTCTCGAATACACGATGCTCGCGAAAATTAGCATGGAAATGGGATTGTATGTGTACCTTGCAGCAGCAGCAGCAGCAGAAAGAGTTGCGCTTGGGATATTCATATTTATTCATTCGATGCACTCTTATCCAGCTCTGACCCAGTGCGCGCGCGTCACGGGTTTTCACATGCGGTTTTTCGATTATACGAACGAGTCGAGTCGCTGTGCATATTGTAATCCTGCGCGTACGCAATGTATCCTTGCTCGCGGAGAGTCCGCGATGACGATTGCGATAGAAAAAAAGCCCATACCTTTCCGATTAATCTTCGAACACGCAGACAGTGCTAAATCATATACAAACGAGTTCAAATCGTTTTAATCGAGGAAGCGACTCCTTTTTCTTATGCTTAACCAAGAGTTTACGCAAAACCTCCCCTGTTGAATCCGCGCACCAACGAATCGTTGTCTCTGGACGATCAACCATTATTATACGGTGGACGAATAAGAAAGGAATAATTATTTTGACGCAGCAATGCCGATCGAGCTTACGATTTTTAGCTCGAGCACGCGAACGCAGTTATCGAAAACGAGTCGATGTTCGATCGCGCGGCTGCGTAAGCGTAACGAACGATCGCGCGACGAGACAAAAATAGATGGGAATCGTTACAGTGCTAATTAAATGCGTCTCGGCAGCAGCTTCCCACGCGTCTCTCGAGCTTGCAAGAATCAATGCGCGCCTCGTAACGCAACGTATATACACGGACGTATACGCGCTGATTATTTGCCATCGCGCGCGCGCGCGCGCATATTTAGGAAAAGCTGCATATACATAATAATGATAACGCGACGCGTGGCCCCGAGTATCTCGAGCTTGCGTAGCGCGACGAGCGGCGCTTGCGTACCGCGCACCGACCGACCGACCGACCGACGACGACGACCGGTTCGACGGCGAGCTTTATAATACGCAAGCTCGCTGTGTGAGCGATACGTACGTACGTACGTACGCATTCCCACCCTACTCTCTATCTCTATCTCTCGGCGTATAGGGGCTGCTCGCTTGCTGCTGCTGCTGCTGCTTCTCGAGACTCGAGACCGTTCACAAGTAGCTAGCCCGTCGCGAGGAGGAGACCACGAGGCAATAGTCCAGTCTAGAGCGACTCTCTCTCTCTCCGCCTTGTATAATCGCGCTCTCGCAGTTTGCTCTCGCTCCGGCTTTACATCAGCAGCAGGCTACCGTAACGCAACGCGGCAAGGAGGATACCGGAGCTCGGAGCCCGAGACACACCAGCAGGCCGCGATCCAACGGAGAGGGACGCTTCTGAATTTATCCACCCGAGCAGCGAGCTTTATTTGCGGGGACCACTATTGTCCGTCGACTTTTATCGTAAGTTTCATTCAGAGATCGAATTTTTTCGTGTATTTTTCTCGTGCCTATTTTTTTTTTTTTTTTTAATGGAAAATTAAAATACATATTGATATACAAATGAACCTTGACCAGGGCACGCAGAAATGATACATCGTTTTGGAACGTGATCTGCGAACTTTGTATACGTTCGTCTTTTTTCCCCCCGTCTTTTTTCTCTGTTTATTGTTATTAATTTTTACCCCCCTCTACGACTCTATGACACGTGGATAACGAATGAAATTATGCGCAATCGAGGCCCCAGAGTGACTCGCAAGCTCCGCCACTCTAAAATTTCAGCAATTCCCGTTACGTCGCGAGATACATCAGTTAATTAAAAAAAAGCTCGCTCGAGCACTACGTTTTCTAAACCTTCCCGCAAGCCCTTCTTCTTTTTCCCGCGTTGCTTTACTTTATGTATCGAAAAAAAGTCACCCTGTGTTTAGAAAAATTCATATAACAAAAATATAAAGTATACACGAAGAGGAGAAGGAAGGAAAAAAAAGACAGAGTGCGCGCGCGATAAAAGCTGCCGACAATTAGTGTCAAACGCGGGGCGCTTATAGTCGAGTTCACGCTATACTCACACACACACACAACCTGGGAAAATATTTATCGTGCGCAAATCCTGTCGTCCCGTTTTCATTCGTTCTTTCTCTTCTTTTTCTTTCTTTCTCTTTTTTTTTTGCTGACTCCGCCAAAGGCTTTCAAGCCTTTTTTTTGCCGTTGTCGTTCGAGCTCATCGAAGAGAGTATGCGCGCACGATTATAAGCTCGTGATCGTGTCCGGCGCTCATTATATAGTGCCCCAGCGCCACGCGTTTTAATCACGATAAAGTATCTCTCGCGCGCCGAAGCTCGCGCGCGATTAATCATTCGTTTGTATAACGCCGCAAGCTCCACGACGAGGAAACCCCCCGCGAGGATGAGAGATAAATCAGCGATGAGTGAAAAAGTCTCGGCGCGATGCGGTCGCGCGACGATATTCACGCTGCGCCAAAGTTGAAAAGTCACAACTAGATCAGTTTTCTCGTGGGAAAAACCATGTAAGCGTGGCGAATAAGCGACCTGCGTCGATTATACGCGTATGTATTGTCTTATACAACTCATTCAAGCGCTTATTGAATTGTCCAACTGCTATTCGTGGCTATAACGTAATATCGACAACAAAAAGTTTACGCAACTAATACCGTTGACGTACGCGATGCCGTATTCCCTTTCATTCATTCAAGCTCTCTCGAAAAGTCATCGATACGCGCGCGATCGATTCTTCCATTTTACTCGATGTAAAGATTCGAATTTCTTCGAGCGTGAAAAAAAAAGATCTGGGGAAATTTCGATGTAATGCCTACGATCGGGTGCGACGAGATGAGAATAAAATGCCGCTTGACTTGGCAATGCGAGAAAAATCATTCAATTTTCCTGATTGCAGAATTTTCTGATTATAAATTTATTATCATTTCATCCACGGTTTTGTCGTAGTTCTTTTTTGCTCTCGGGAATTACATTGCCCCGAAACGGGTTAATGCGAAGAAAAATAAATTATAGATGGTCGTATAAGTTATGTACGCACATTCGCTCTGCGCCTTACGGCATCATCCGCGTGCACGCATTCGCTTCGGAAAAATCACCGAGTGACTATTTTTAGCTTCGTTCTTGCGGGCGAATTAACGACGGCGACGGGGAAACGATTGCGGGTGGAAAGTAAGGAGAAATTCGACCAGTGTGTTCGACCAGTTGCGGGGTGAAAAAAAAAAAATAAAATGCACTGCGCAAATCTTTATCGTCAACCGAGTAGTTTCACAATCCTCGTTAATTACCAGTTTGCGGCCAGCAGCAGCAGTAGCTCATGAAGCTTGTCTTCGGTTTCGCGAAACGCAATTCTTATAAATAGTCGTTTCGCGCGCGAGAGAGAGAAGAAGAAGAAGGAAAAAAAGGAAGGTAAGGAAAAAAGTCACGGCGCGAGCAGTGATTAGTCGCCCAACTAGCCAATTAGTAAGAGGACTCGCGCTGCGCCGAGTCAGTCTGATTTCTCTCGCTCGTGGAGCAGCGGGACCTCGAGGATATTTTTTTCTACTCAACGACGTCTTTTAGCTTTATATAGATGGTACATAACACTACTAATGACACTGCTGTAAGAGGATATATAATACACTGTCGGAGCTTTATTAAATATATATATATATGTATATAGGAGGGGAGTAAAATAAGGAGCTTGCGACGAGGAAATCCGGCGTACCCATTGTTACTTAGCTACTAGCTCCTTTGCGCTCGTGTACCCCTCGGATCTTCGAAGATTTACATCCATATTCCTGAGGTTTTTATTTCGGACACGGAGGACCTCCTGCCTTTTTTTACGAGCATTATAAGCTCGTCGATCGTAAAAAAAGCCACCACCAAGAGACATTAGGCGTCGGACGACGATGGTGTAAGTTAAAGCAGGTGTGGAAAATGTTTGCTATAGCTCCCTTTTACTTTTTTTTCTTTTTGCCAAATTGATGCTCCTGCGACCTATTATAGCACGAATACCTTAGCTAACACGACGCGGGCCCTTCTCTCTCTCTCTCTCTCTCTTTTATACAAATGGGGAAAGATGTAGCTTTTCGCCGCGGTAACCCAGAGAGAGTCATACGTGAGAGGCTAGAGCCTTTTTATTCACTCGTGAAAGCCACACGAAAAAGCTATTAAGATTAAAATTTATATCATCGCTCGTATACGTATCCATATACGTTCGTATAATAGCCCGAGATATCTGAAAAGAGAGTGCTGATCGATGCGCCAGCAGGCATAAAGAGCTCTCGGCTCAATCTTGAGCTTTTTTTTCATATATCCCCCCGAAAATGTCGATAATTTTGGTTAAAGAAAATCACGCGTGTCGTGACACCCTGACGATTTCGAAATTGCTTACTATTATTACATATATTTTAATTGTTTCGAGTAAATTTTTTTTTTTTAATGCGTCCTCAGCAATCGTACTCTTGTGTGCGCGCGACGTTTGTTCATCTGCGTCAGCGAGAGATGCAACACATATGCCCAGAGGGTGGTTGTTCAACGAAACCAGTGAATTTCATCTATTATCATAGATCCTGCGACTCATTCGCAGCCCACTCGTGATTCTCAGCTATTTTTGATTCGATTCAAAATTAATACAAAAAGGGAATTATTTTTTTAATCAACGTGCAGAGTCTATGAAACGTGAACTTTCAACAACGTATTGATTGAAAATATGATAGAAAAAGGGAGGCTAGCGATTTTCGATACAACGTATACCTTCGTCAATAGGATTGAATTAGAATTTTTGCTTTTTCATCAGCTACTTAAAATAAGAAGAAAATGAATATTAATTAAAGATGTCTCTTTAATTATTTTCAAAAATTCCTTTCTGAACCCTTTAATATGCCCTTCTTGACAGAGAAAAGGCAAAATTGTTTGAAAATAATGACGTAAATAAATGAAAATTTTAGTTACAAACAATAAAATCTTCTTAACCTACATTCTATACATAATCAGTTTTAGAAAATAATGCGCTAATTCCTGTTTTGATAAACATAAATTACACGAAAGGTATTTAAGAATCGCTTATTTTTGAACGAATTAAATAACTTTGACAAATGCATTAAGTTACTTTTCAAACAAAATAAAAATAAACTTCTTAATGGATAATTATCAGTTATAACTATGATGATAATATTTCATTGCGTGGCTAATGAGTTGAAGTGTAATTTTTTTAGTTTATTTTAAACAGATTAATGAGGAACTTATTTTTCGAGCAATGCGTCTTTAAACTTAGTCGAGCTGTTATTTACGGGGGCCATTGGTTTAGTAACATTTTTATATCAAAAGCTGGCTCAGACTCTTCAAACAGACGGATTGATTTGTTCGGCACCTTCAACTCTCTTTAACTTCACAACTTTATTATTTCACGTTTGGATTTGTCGATGAACGCCATTATAGATTTCTCATGTTCCATTGGTATTTGTTATTTATTATAAATATATTCATTGCTCATCAACATTTATTATTTAGCCCCAAATGCATTTATTAAATAAAAAATTTACTTGCTAGTTTTCAACATCATCTGAAATTTTTCAACTCGATGAGGAAAATTAGTGGATCTTTTTGAACTTGCTGATCGTGTCTGCCTAATGTTTTTGATCCGTGTACGTTGAAACGAGGGAAAATGAGAGAAGGCCAAGAAAAATTAGCCATCGCACCGATATGAAAAGCGTCGAAAAGTCGTGACGCGCGCGAAAATGGACCCGAATTGGCAAACGCCTTTAATTGCACTTTGAGCGTGATATATATAGTGAAAATTTGGCTTTGAAAGAGCTTGGCAGATATGTATGCACTCTAATACATATAGGCGAGCTGCAGCACAATTCGGCAGAGTAGCCGTCGCCGCCGGAAAGCTACAACGGATATATAACCACAAGCTCTCGACCCATCAGCCGAAAGATTGAAAACGATACGCGAAATGGTTTTTTATCGGACGTCGAATATAAAAAAGAAAGGAAAGAATGTATAGCCATTTTTTTGCTTATATGCCAATTATGAAACGTGCAATCCTTATCCGATTAACAAGGGCAATTCTCACATCTACATTCCAATGAAATAAAATAATGTCATAATTCGACGCGGATTTACTTCTATAGGCGTAAAATTCACTCGAACATCGATTGCAATACGCTCTGCTACGCTCGTAGCTATTTCGGAATATTTTTTTTATCACGACACAGGCTAGAGAAAGAGCGAGAGAGATTCAATTTACGCTCTATTTTAGAAAAGTACGAAATTGCGCCGCTCAAAACTTCAAAGATGCATAAATGCGTACGTAGTAGCCCCCGAACATACGTTTGGGAGTGAAAAAAGAAAAGTGTAGTCCGTTTTGCTGGCAACTGTTCCCCAATGTGCTCTCTCTCTCTCTCTCTCTCTCTCTCTCCTCTTTGCTGGCAAAAAAGAACTCGCGCAAAACTGTATTATAAG